GATTCAAAGGTAGTTAGACTACAGTAAAAATTCTATGGCTATCGTCACCCAAGCCTTAAAAAACCAGTGTCGGTCTTCCAACCGGTACGCAGTACTATCTGCAACTTCGAAGCCACCGGTTCCATGGTTAAGGTCTACGAAGTTTATGACATACGGCGCCGCCAGTTGTCCGAAATCCAGAGCGCTAGAGGGCTTAAAAATTTTCCTGACACCTACGGCTTGAGTATTGTCAGGTCTGTCAAGTCCCATCTGCGAAGGCGAGACTAGCATACGATAGATGTTTTTGCGAGAATCGAATAACTGGAGGCTTAGAAGTCGGAGGGATAGGAGGGTAAGAGGCGGGAACAGGAAAAGTTTGCAGATTATTTCCCTTCTCCTCGAGTGCTTCAATCTAAAATCTCCCGAACAGTGCCGGAAAAAGTAGCAACATCAACATTGTCGCGGCTGCAACAATCGAGCTACTTAAAAAGATTCTATCACATTAATCATCTCTTCGTCCACCTCAAAGCTACACGACCACTTTTCATACCTTCTTCCCCTCTGCATCCAGCGACTCGAAATAGCTCGTAGGTGTTCCGAATAGAGCAAAATCATATTGGTGAAGGCCAATCGTCGCTGGCGCACAGTCGTCATGAAGTCGTGTGGCATCTAAGATCGACCCACCCTCTCCATTATCTGCTGCCGCTACTTTCGCTGCTCGTAGACTGTAATCGAACTTCCGCAGATCTATGAATTCCAGTGCTTCTTTTCTAGTGGTTGGGCCTCCAGCTCCACCAGGCGGAGTACTAGTTCCTTGTTGACCACCTCCGGTAGAGGAAGAGGATGCCGCTGATTGTGACCCTTGTAGTTGACCTTGCTGCTGCCCTTGTTGGCCTTGCTGTTGCCCTTGTTGACCCGCTTTTTTAGGAATAAGTCCTTGTCCCGATCCGCCTACATCTACGTGGTCTTGAACGCTGTAGCGGTAGACAGGGTTACGGACGAAGATACGCAGACTCACCGAATGGTGAACGCTAGCTTTTGAGAAGACGGAGATGAGGAACTTCTCGTGACTCTTCGTCTCCGTCTCGCGATCCTGAAGTTCAGAGACGCCGCCGCTTTCGTTAGAGTGAGAAATAAAGATTGTGCGTTTTGATTCCATGATGATAAAGCAAGAACAATATGAAGATAAGTCGTTGGTTTTTCATTTACATTTAGCTCGAGAGAAACAGAGTTGCTTAATATTCTACTCTTTCTCTTTCAAATAGAGCAGAACGGGAGTGTAGTATTTGCATCTTCTCGCCTTAATCTGTAAAATCGGAAACAAGCAGGCATCGTTTTCTACAGAATTTCTTGGAAAAATCTGATGTTCGAAGAGCGAGTCCTTCTCAACACCTGCCGGGTTCTGTGGTGGAACCCCTGCGAGCAGCATGTTTTTCGCTACGTTCGGACTGGTACGTAATTGAAGGTAGAAATTGGATTCGCCAGGTTCTTGAGATGTGGACGGACTCTGATACTGTCCCGAAGCAGAGTTTGATGTCGTAGGGCTGATTGAGGCAAAGCTGGAAGCAGCAGCAGCACTTGCGGCTGCGGCACTTGAAGCTGCTTCGGCAGGGCTGGCTGCAGCGGCAGGGCTGGCTGCAGGGTTTGCTGCTTCAGCAGGCTGCTGTTGTGCTGGGATCTCTACGGGTGGGCATTCGCAAATCCATACGCCACCAAAAGAATCACGAATTGCCTCTTCTGCGGTCTGTTCGCCTCCATGACCTTCTCCTTGTGGTCCTTGCCCTGAGACACGACTAGAGCTAGCGAAAGCACTAGCACTACCCTGATCCTTGTCCCCTTCCTCGTAATGGCAAATACGTCGAGTGTTTTTCCCAGCTTTCTGTTGCACTACTCTCCTCTCGTCTGGTACGAGATCTACCTCTTCGCCAGGACAGGCTTTGTTCTCGTGAAAAACCACATCTACACTGCCAGCAGCACTACTTTCCCCAAACTGGACTAGGAAGTCCTTCGGCAGAGCACGGTAACGGAGCAGTTCGTCTGGTGGCCGAAAAAAGTTAGCTGAGACGCGACCGCGTAAAATGTTCAGCTCTACTTGGTTTCGGTGGATTCGTTAGAGGGAAAGTTTCAGTATAAGCAAAAAAACAATTTGATATTGTATGTATGCTCCATATGATGCTCATCCTCATCCAATTTCAACATCAACATGTATGCTCCATATGATGCTCATCCTCATCCAATTTCAACATCTTCATCACCCATAAATATTCGGCAAGAGGCTGAAATCGAATATTCTGACTAAAGCCCAATGGAGCTCCAACTTTACGAACTCCTCCGCTTTGACGAAAAACGCCGTTTCGCTGTGGATGTGACACAGACCGCTTACACTCTTCACATGCAAGTAAAAGCTGCGAATGTGAGAGAGGTCGGCAATATCGTCTTCCTCCAAGGCCCCGTCTGCGGTGGTCACGTAAAGGTATGAAGATGCGGTCAATGGGGTGTGTCAGTGGAAATGGGTACCTTTGCCAGAAATAGATGCTGGATTGATTGATTGATTGATTAATGGGTACTTGTTCCGCACTTGATTGATTCATTCATTGACGACCAGCCTTGATTTTACCACCTGCAGCTCGGGCTAGTCTTCATTACGCTTGCACCAAAGTCATAAAGTTGTGCCCATCTGCTCTTTTTCTTGAACGAAGCTCGTCCCAACAACATTATTAGGTTCACTTCCACCAGCATTTGACGAAGAAGAAGCGGCAGAGGCAGACAAATCCTCGGTGACTACTGTCACCGTACAAGCGTAGTGGGGGTTCGCAATTCGTTGTGAATACTGCACCGTCAAAGTCGATCTCTCACGGCCAAGAAAAAACTCTTCTCCCTCTTCCTGTAAGAAAGCCCCAGTCGTTCGTACTATGAGCAGCAAACCAGAATCATAGGCTGCTGGGCGATCGCCTGCGGTTGGCAAGTCTTCGACGCCGAACCTGTTGTTTGTGTATTTGGATAAAGAACATTATCAAGACCCTGCTTCAACATCATGTCTTTGAAGAGATTTTGATTTCATGTACAGCAAAGCTTCTTGAGACATGTGCGCATAGCACTACTGCTACAGGTTGCGCATCATCTATATAATGATCGGATCGTCAGGAATGATGTCACGGCATGAGCCCTCGTTTTACGTCTTTTCTAACGTTATAGAGGGCGTTCAGCCACCCTGTACCTTCCGTATGAACCTTGCCAACTCTACATTTACCACTTCCTAAGCTGTTCGTCTTTCAGCATCGCTTTCCAGACTTCGTTGGTCCACGAGTTTTCAATCGTAGCTTCTCGTGTGGTAGCATCCACAGTCTGTGTGCCAGGGAACATCGATCCGGTAGTTGCTTGGTATGAAAGGAGTAAGACTAAATGATCATCCCCAAGATCAAATAATGAGTATGAAAGGAGATCATCCCTATGATCAAATAATGTTGATGACAAGAAATGCCCTATGATGAAATAAAGCCGGTACTTCTACAAAAAGCTTCTGACATCGCGTGGCCTTACTATCACGTTGAGGTGAATCACGAAATAAACCTCCATCTATCTTCGCGTGGCGGAAGAAGGGGGGGCGGGGACTTAAGCCCCTTGAGTTAGCTAGTTAACTCCCTTCCTTCAGTCGCTAGTCATCTAGTACCGCCAAAAATATTTCCGAATATGAGAATGAGAGCACATTTTTCTTCCATTTAAAGCCTGCATCTATCACACGTCATCTGTTACTTCCATACAGCCACACTCTTGGGGCCGGAGCCACCAGCCGTGGCAAACTGCACATCACAGTTGGCTAAGGATATTTGCAAGTCGTGCGTTCTGGGAATGTAGTAGAGTCTCTCCCGAGGCTGCCAGAGGTGGACGTAAAAGAGATAAAACCCTCCGATGAAGGCGATGGTGATTAGAGAGCTGTAGGGGCAAGGGAGAGGGTGAAATGGAATCCTTGTTCTTCGGATTGATACGGATTTTTAGATGACAGATAGACCGACATAATCACTAGTACAACAGTGCTCCCTCTCACTGGTGCAAATAGTAATAGATGCCTAATGTGTCACATATTAGTAGAAGGACGAGAATAGGTACGCAGTGGAGTGCACAAAAAAAGCAATCTATCATTCAAGCAACCCAAGCAACTTCAATGCTAGCCATAAAACCACCACCAAAAACGTGACACACATGATAGGCCACCGGGTTCTGTAGGGTACCGGGATCGGTACGCCTTCGACCACGCGCACCTTTGCACGGGAGATGATCCGCATTTCTTGGCTGACATCTCTATTGTTTGCACCACCGTTCTCGAGCACGCCACCAGACGTGCGCCTCCCGCGATTATTGGAGAATGCAGTTGGCATTTTTGCTCCTCTTTCTTAGACCTTTCTCTGCCTCATCTTCTGCATCCTGTAAGTCATCGCCAAAACGACCAAATCGAAAGTGGAGGTCAGTCAGCCAAAATCAAGCTTTCTTGGAATAACGGACAAATCAGAGCTCTACTACCAGACTGAATAACGGGATTTCTCCATCGTCGTTTTGTTCTTCAATCTGCCGTATTTTTTCTTTGGTTGACTTTTTCTTTAGGTCAGGAACCGGTTTGCATTCATAGTCCATTGTCAGGATTAGAGCATACTCGTCTTGAGAGAAACTAAACCAAAGTGAAAAACTATCAACTCCGCCCCTTCCACCGAAGTTGTGACTGATAACCGAGCAGCTACAGATATTTTTCATTCCTCGTAATAACCCTCATAGTCCGTCACTCGGTCTCTACTTCTTGCTCTCAGAAATACCGACATCAAGAAGATCTAGAACTACAGAATGGGCCTAAATGGTGCTACCTCATTTCTCAAACTCAAACTAACATGACTCGAAATACAAATATCTATACCAACCACGGATAAGTATACCGACGACAGACTCCTTGTAATGTGATTTCCATACTCCGACCTGAGGTAGAAAGATCTATACTCCTTCCTCGGTTACTACCATCAGAGGTTTAACTTTTCGTGCTGCCTGAGTATCGGAAGTGCTCCCCATCCCCTGAGGATCGGATGTTTGCACCAGAGGACATGAAGAAAATCGAAGATGAAGAACCCTTGTTCTCCTTTACCTTGTTCTTGTTCATCAGAATGGTTATAATAAAGTTGTCGGTTTACTCTTCACATCGACCTTCAGTAACCCTTGGTGTCTAGTACGTTGTTTGAAAGAAGCATCAGCTGAACAGGCTGTAGGCTATGACACACCTGAAATATCTTGATTATCTCACCAGCCCAATACATTCCACCGATACTCATGATCGTTCTCCTATCACATCCTCTTACTTATTCTTTTTCCACTAACAATATGGTCATGTAAGCGATTCCGAAGACAAGCGGCACACATCTCAAGATAAATGCGTGCAACGACAAGGGAGCACATTCACATATCGCGAAGCGAGTATCAATAAGTTTAGTTTTTCATTTTCTCCCCTCTTCTTCTCACCACCATGCGCTTCCCGTGAAATGATTGAGGATGAGGTGTTTTTTTATGCATCAGGGAAGATGGAGGAGAACGATCCCGATACAACAATATCACAAGTGATGCAACCACACAGCAGTACTACACCTTTACTCGAAATCTACTACCTCTTACCCTGTTCGGACACGTAGTTTTGGATCAATTCTTTTATCTCCAGACGCTTTCTTGTTACACCTAGAGGTGTCAGCGTGTCAAGCGAGCCCCGCGTATCCTGATCACTGGTGGTCGCGGCTATGAGTTCTGCGAAGCAGATGGTGTACAAGCCACAATCATGATTGTTAGCCTGCTGCGGTACCTTTTCTTGGACTATGTGTGGTGCTTCACCACTTCCGCCTGAACTGCCCGTGAAGAATCGACTGAGCTTTGTAGCGAATTCCACTGCAACGGGGAAATTCATAGACCCTCCAGAATCAAAATGTCGCCAGACTCCAGAAGTACTCGACACGATTCTATCTTCACCACGACCACGACCAGGCAGCTCGAAGCAAAGAAGGCTCCAGTGCGTACCACCACCAGCTACGTCGCTATCTGAGTTGTTGTTCAAAGGAAAATAGACCCTCACTCTGTCGGGAGAGAAGATGCCGAGACTATCGATAGTTTGGGCGAGGTCGTCTTCATCACTCTCCTGTCGTAACCAGAATGATGCCTCGGCACCGATAAAGAGATGCTTTTCCTCGACATCACTCTCTAGTACACCATCTTCTTCAAGGGGGGCGTGGATCATGCTTCTCCTTTCACCTTGATTGATGATGTTCTGTTGTTCACGCGAACGTCGAGTAGGGGTGCTAAAACCATCTACTTCTAACACGTCTGGTTGTTCAGGAGGCGGCTCCTGAAGGGGTCGTAACTTAGATTCAACATATTCATTAGATACTAGTAAAGAAGATAGAGAACATAATATAATCGACCCACTTCTAAAATCTTTTCATAATCGAAGACACTTCCTCCGGTGGTGGCTCGTTCTGCACACTTCCAACATCCCCTGATGCTCCGCTCACTGAAACGTCTCCGTTTCTCGTCTCTTCAGGAGCATCCCCAGAGCCGCCTGATGATGACGCTACTGCATTAGAACCGGCTGTTCTTGACGCGGGCGATAATGTTGAGGTGCTTCCTCCGTTTGCGCTTGCTAAAGTTCCACCACCCGCCAACGCACTAGAACTAGATGAAGATACAACTCCTGCAGCAACATTTTGTTCTACTTCCTCTTCAGGACAAGATAGACCTTGCCGGCCACGAGACACCTGCTCGGGGCTTGGGGGTGAGCCGCCAGAACCTGCTGCATTTATAGGAGACCGTTGAGGATGGCCGTTGCTAGAGGAAGAGGATGCAGCTGTTGATGGTCCTTGACCTTGCCCTTGATCATGTCGGTTGCCATTACTCTCAGACGGGGGCGAAGAAGCGTCTGATGGTAGTGCTGCTGGCCCACTCGGAAGTGATGGTGCTGGTGCTAGAAGTTGTTTTTTCTGATTGACCAAACGCCCAATATGTTCGAAATAGAAGGTGATGATGTGATCGTTGACCCAGGCCTGGGTGTTGTCGAGGATGGCCACATCCTCTGAATGAATCTCAGCACCACGCCAAGTTAAGACGACGACCATTTTTTCGGTTTTTGATATTGAAGAGCTTTTGAACTAATCAGGTAATGTAGTGTGTGTATGTCATATGAAATACAAGTGTAATGCTGCTCTTTAAATCCTCGCAAGACGGAGGGATAAAACCTCTTTCCTGCGTGATATTTCAGCTAGTAACTTGGAATAGGAGAAAATAACACTTAAACAGATTATAAAACGAGGATGGTCCTCAAGAAGAGAGAGCACTTCTCTACGTATATTTTAGATCATTTACTATTTCATCTTCTATGCATATTCAAACACACACACACACACACACACACTGAACTACAACTCAACCTGCTCGGTCGAAAGTACCAGGCCTCGGATCATGATCATGAGACGGCGAAGTTGGCTTACTTCATCTTTAGGAGTTAAAGTCGTTTTCACATGTTATCTTCAAAGCGTCAGCAGAGTCAGTGTCGTAGTCGTTCCGTTCAGATCTAAAAGAACTGTATGCAAAACCTAATATAAATTCGTATGTAAGATGAAAGTATCTCTGTAGTTCTTGCGTTACGTTATCCACCATGATGAGCACCATGAGCTGCCTCCTCACGATCTTCGTTGATGAACCATTGTTCTATCAGCTTGTCCTTTTGGTCTGCATAAGCTGGGTCAATCGTCCTCATCGCCTCCTCGACGATCTCGTCAGCGCAAGGCAGATGCGATAATCCTGCTGTCTGCAGAACCCATAATGCGATGTCCTTCGCTGTTGTTTAGAGCTAGTACGTGGATGATTCAACAAACTAGATTTGGATGGGGATTTGGAGATTTCAGAAAAAAGTTTTCTCTTTTTTTTTGTATCCTGGGGCTACTGAAGGAGCGGCCTCAGCTTTATCCAGTTCGCAAACCGGCGGCAGGTGGAGTCCGGTTACCTCCTTATATTACTGTGCACTAATTGCCTACGAACCTGCCACCAGTAGGGGCACAGCCTAATGATGCTTTGAGAGGACAAGTAAACGTCGCAAGAAGGTGAAGAGACACGTAGACTACGTCTACCTCTTCTATCAAAAAACTGAATAGATATTTTTTACTCTGAAGAGACCAAGCAGCTACTCGACCAGAACCGAGGCACCCTTTCAAGTTTTGAATTAAATGTCTTCGTGCCTAAACAAAAGGCCCAGTGTAGTCGTGCACGTCGCCCTTCCGAATGATCTGGAGAAAAGGCCCACAAGCTGGTGGATATTCGGTGTCTAGTGGGCACGAAGATTCCACCACGTTCATCTCGGGTACTGCTCCTTCTCCTGCTGGTGTTGACCCTGTATTTCGAAACCCTGTATGATCCAAAGCCACGCACCTCAACTGTAGTTCATACTTCCGGAAAAGTTCCGCAATGGTCTCGACTAGGTTACGGACCAAGGCAGAATGGAATGTGAGTGCGCCACTGTGGAGGAAGACTACCGGAGTTAGAGGATTCGTTACAACTAAAATTCGTAAACTACTATTATTATTATGTTCGCGCGCGACCCTACCGCCCCACGCGTGCCGCGCTCGCAAGCACACAGCACTTCTCATATACCTGGTGGCAGTCCTTGACCTTGTGTATGTGAGTGTTTGATGTCATTATACATAGATATTTCTATTCGTGAAGGAGCTCCTGACCACCAGGACGTCATGTCTAAAAATCGACGACTCAGAAGATGCGGATGCACATACAAGAAGCTCGATAGTTACAACAATTCTTAAGGAAGGTGCTGCCATGTTTTCGACGACATCGACCATTTCTGGGAATTTGATGTTCTCCAAGCCACGACAGCCAGTTGACGTACTAGCTGTTGATGTCGTACTGGATGTACCAGCTAGAGAAGAAACGGTAGCAGTTTCTGTTGCACCACTAGATGCTATGGTTGCAGTGTTCTCTACAACTAGTCCTGTTCTTCTACTCTTCTTCTGCTCTTCAATGTATTGCATGAGCAAGAATGGAGTTGCTGCGAGGATGCCGAAAGTTGCCCAAGGGAGAACTGCAAAAAAGCGCTGCCATCGCCTTTCAGAAGGCGTAAGTCGCTCGTCGTCGATCAGAAATTTTGCTCCACCTTCAGTTGGAAGGTATCTGCGATAGCGATCTACATGATTCGATGATATGATGTGACGATCATTCGTTAGAGCATTTATTCGGGCCGAACCGGTCAAAGTCGCTGTAGAAGTAGTTTGATGTTCAACTATACTCGTCGAAGAAGAAGAAGATGGGGTTGATCCAGCTTTGGTCGAATGGTGCTGAAGTCCTTGTTCTTTTTCCCGTTTTGACGCCAGGATGGCTTCGATCGGAAGAGGATGCTTCTCCTTTTCGACACTTGTAGAAGTAGAGACCTCCGGCGCAGAGTCTTCTACCGTTCTTGCAGTCGTGGGCGCGGCAGCCGACCGATACCGTCTCTGTACTGAGAATGCTCTTCTACTTCTTGGGAAGCTTAATGTAGTCAGGCACGACGGATGTTGATGTCCGGAGACAATAAACACCTTGGCAACATTTCGATTTGAATTTCTCATAGTGGTGGTTGATGTTGGCGATGAAGTTCAAGAGGACGTTCTTGTTGCTGGTGGTTTCACTTAGTTATTGAGGAAGATGTTGTAGAAGGTATGGGTACAAGTAGAAAAGTGAAACTACTTGCACCTCGTCTACTACAAATTGGAACAGTCTCTGGTCTCTAGAACAAGTCAAATAAAATCAGTTACAGTTTACTTAGACATGCTTGGTAGTGGCGACCCGTTTCCCAGCACGAAGATGAACAACCTCAACGAACGGCAGTAGAAAGAATAAAGATGCTGATCTTTGATCAGTGCCCATGAGATGAAACTGAGTTGAAGCGTTTTAGCCTCTTCAGCATCCTTGATCATAAAAAGCCACGACGAGGTTAGTATCAACTGTTGGAGGACATCAGTTACCACAGGCAGTAAACGATCGATACTGAAGATTAAGATAGATCACCTCAGTGACTGTAAGTCTGAGGTAATGAAAACAAATTATAGACTTAATACTAACTTTATGTTTATTGTTCTCACCCATAAGAGGCGAGAGGAAAAAAGAAAATCGCTACAAGTAGAATACTTATGACACCCTGCCTTGATGTTGTTCTTTCTAGCACATGATTGGTGGAGTTTTTTGGATATCAGTAGTACAACTACGACACGCACGTCCAAGAGCGGGGACAAATCTATGGCCTTCTCCACCTCTCGAGGTGTCTTGTCCCATTTATGCTCCCACCTTCGCCCCATCCCTAACCCCTCCTGTAGCCTTCTTATTGGTCGCAGCAGCTACTCCACCCTTTGCCGTTTTTACCCCGTTTTTGTAGACTACAGCTGTCTGATTGCCTGCACGGCCCTCAACCCCCTTGCCATGCTGCTGCCCTCGTGACCACTGACCCGCATAAACATGGCCATCAGGCCAGGTCATCTTTCCTTCACCATCGCGATGGTTTTCGGAGGATTAGAAGAAATTAAGGCCAAGATACTCTTGGATGACCACGGCGACGTGTCTCATAACCCTGGCACTGGCTTCTCTAGTACGGGTACGCCTACCAAGACTGCCTGAGAACGAAATGAAAACTACACACTGCATCTGGTACACCGCTGCATCAACAAAAACATGATCCCGTCATAAGTAAAATTTCCCTCGTAGACACGGCCATCGAGCCACCGCTGGACACCTTGCCCATGTTGCATACTCGCATGAAATTCCCCTTCATACGTTGATTTGGCGCACTTGTAGACACCTAGTTTCATGTGATGAAAGTGAAGCGATCAAACTGAAACTTACTTGTAGACGTTCACGTTCCTTGCTATTTCAGCTGTATCTATTAGTGAGCGTTATGTCTCTTCCCCGAATATTAAGGTCTCGAAGATGTCCCATATTCAGAAAAGATTTAGAGGACGAGGACGACGGAGCAGAAGATATTAAAGATGACAAAAAGGTTTCTGAATACCTTTGCCCTCAATGATATCATTGCAAAAGTCGCCTTCGTATTGCGAGCCGTCGTCCCAAAGGTAGCTCCCTCGGCCATGTTTCATGCCTGCCTTGATTAGAAAGGGCGAGTCAAGACGGATCAGCCTCCAGAGAGGAACACCTTTCTTTGTGATGCAGCTTCACAACAGAACCTCCTCCATCGATTGACCTTGTGGTGCAACTACTTCACAACAGAACCAACATTGATGACTTATGCTGACAAATTCGAATTTGAATTTCACTGCGTGCATAACCTGTATTCTCCCACAAAGACGGATTTGTCCTCGAACCACATTTCCCTTCCATGCCCGTGCTTCTGATCAGCCATCCACTGACCGTCGTACCTGAGTAAAGAGGAGAGAAATGAAAATGATGGGGAAATGATGGTATGATTCTATGATGATTCTATCTTCCATTCCGCAGGCTGGCTGGCAGGCTGGCTCTGGCTCTACAGCTTTGAATTCATAGTGATGACGCACTTGTTCCTTGACATCTCTTCATGTCACTCAACAGACTCTGTTCATGCTTCGCGTGTAAGATGTAACTCGATGTAAGACAACAACATCGGCTGACACGTGGCTCCTTCATTCGATCAAAGTCGAAGCATATTGAGAACTTCAGTTTGAAACTGTTGTAAGCTGAACTAGTAGCTGTGAAGAAATCCACCTTCAAGAACATTAGTTTCGTCTCGTCTCGTAGTACTAGTAGTGTCATTAAACTCGTAAATGAAAAGTTGCGTTTTTCCTGTTCTGTATTCTGTGTCGATACTGTTTGTCTGAAGACGAGGCTGGACATAGATTCAAGAGTTTTAGTTTTTTTCATTAATCGGTTTTCGTTTTCCTAATAGATCTCTTTCTTTCCGCCCTACGCTTATATCCTCTATTGTGCAGGAGGTGCGTCCGCTCACGTCAATGTCGTGATCTTCAAGAGCGACGTCACATCTCTTTAGCTTTGTTTCAACAATGCGACGTATCCCGCACTGCTTTTCGCTTTTTTACCACGGTCAAGGAAAGGCGAGCTCTTCCCCAAATCCGCAATCCAGCTCATTGTCAGTCTTGCCCACCCAGCACGCCCATAGTCGCGACCCGCGTTGAAGTAAACCACGTCTTGGTACGTCTCTGCTAGCCAACCACAACTGTCAACGCAGTTGGGACCGAGATAAAAGTATCCTCCTTCCCGTGTATGGCACCACAACAGTGCCAATGTTTGAACGTCAGCCCAAGGGTTTAAAGGCTCCCCGTATCTGCCGAGACCAGCATGCTCAATAGAGGAGAAGCTAAACCAAGCATCGACGTCGAGAAGGGTGTCGTTCTCGTCTTGGTTTGTGGTGTCCAGAGTGGTCGAGGCGTCTTCCGGGACATGAAAGGAGATCTTCTGGTACTACAGGCAGATTGTATCCTAGTATTCCTACCTGAAAGAAACAATGATCTAGTCTAGTTCTAGCATTTGCTTAACCATCTTAATCTTACTGTTCAACGAAACTTTTGATTTTCTTTCATAACGCAGTAGCAAATCATGAAACGGCAGGAATCGCCATCTCGGATGCGGATATCGGGTAAATGTTGGCTTTCTATAATCGACAGTGATGATTGTCGCGTTCGGCCGTCGATACAAAAGCACGACTTCCATCCAAGGCTGCTCACTTCCTAGGATGCCAATGCGCTCTTGTACTTCGTGGTCTGCTTTAATAGTAGTAGTACTAGTGGTACTTCTTTCTCTTTGTTTCTGTTTACTAGCACCTCCCGTACTATTGGTATTCAGTTCCATCCTCAACAACACTGCATCTAGACAAAAGACACTATCGCGTTTGTAGCTGCTAACAGTCTCGTTTACCCGGTCAAGGAAGAGTAGGTCTTCATCGGTCCAGCGATCTAGTGCGTAATCTCCTGAAACGGCTTTACCACTCGCGATGTTCTCTAACAGGCGATTGCGAATGGTGTCTGCAGCATTTTTTGGTTTGAGGCGGTTTTTGTTGGGTGACAAAAGATCCTCAAACACGTTCCCATCCCACTTCGACGTCTCCTCACGCATCTCGTCATTTGAAGTCTTCGACTTGACCTGGGAAGATGTTGCACCGCGACTTTTGTTAGCGCTTGAAGAACGCGTACAGCATAAATGTCCTCATGATCTTGTCTAGCGTCAAAAGAATATCTGTATCATGTTTGTACGTCGCACCTACTCCTGATATTGATTTTTCGACACTGGAAAAATCAATCTTGCCCTTCTTGTTGCCGTCAATGTGATCGTGAAAGAATCAAAATTATTGAATAAATTGATACAGGAGATACCAGCAGCAGCCATAATCTTCGTATAAGCTGGATTCTCTGGGTCTAGATCCGCAGCCCAATCGTCTGACGACGTCTTTTGCATATAGAATGCGTTTTTCTTGAGGGCTTTGCCATATAACAACAAATCGGCAGTAAACACTTTCGGAATGCGCAACGGCGGAGGCCACAGGTGCGACTCAGCCATCCTCAAGCCTGGCGAACGTCGAAGGGCAGGACAAAAGGGGAGGATCAGCTTGGTGGAAAGAGTGGAAGTACTAAAGATATCGGGAATTCATCTCAGGGATCTCATCTGTTGTTGTCCCTTTTTCCTCTTGTCTTTTTCCTCTTCCAGATGACTCCTGTGGGGATGAATTCCCTACACACCCATAAAAGTAGGAGAAGACGTAGTAGTTGCAAGTCCACCTCCAAGTGCCTCTTCCGAATCTGATGTTGTTTCAGCAACATTTGAAGATGTTCTTGTTGTAGTCCTGTTATGTTTGTAGACCATTTTCGCGTCCTCTACTTTGGCTCTAGCTATGTTGCGATTGCAGATATCCTTCTCGCAGCCCTTGCGGAGGAGAGGCGCAAGTCGCTCATAGTAGACGGCTGCAACTGCGTCCATCAGATTGCCAACTCTGGAAGCGAGGGCAACGATGTGTTTTAGAGGTGTTCAGTTTTTTCCAGCACATGCTTGGACGTTGGAATCGGGGATCTCTGGGAATTTTATCATGAATTATCGAGGCTGAGGCAATACCCCGATGATCATGCTATCGCTATGGAAGTAATGAAGCTTCCCAGTCGGGAAAATCAAAATGATGGGTATACGTTTACGGACTCCTTCCATCCGGAGAGATAAGCTACGCAGTAATAGCAAGCTCTTCCTGCATTAAATTATCATCCATAAATGTCCTCGAAACTCCCGAAGACTCGCCCGCAACTTACTGACTTCCTCCTTGTGGAAATCAAAGCTAAACGTATCCAATCGATCAAATTCCGGTCTCACGAAATGCTCTACCAAATTTTGAATGTCTACGTTCGCTTCAGTCCTCAGATCCACTAGAAGACGTTCCGTTAATAATACTCGTTCTGTTGGAGAAGTACTTCGTTCTTCCAAATCCAACAGTTTTTCATTGATGAATTTCTGTAGTTCCTGCACCTGTCGGACGCGCCCATCTGTAGCTCGCCTTCGCATTTCATTCAGAGCACGAAACCGCGCATGGAAGCGTGAAGACTGTCGAACTAAGGAAGTTACGACGCCTGAGAGAGAACGGGATCCAGCAAGGCGGTCGATCATTAGAAAGTGAAAGACATAGAAGTCCTCTTAAGAGAAAAACTCAATAACAGATTAAGTCATATTCTTAAGAGAAAAACAGGTTTTTAATGGTGGATTTTTTTAATAAGAACTCCAGTCCTAGATCTAGAATCCACATTCACGTTCAAATTCTCAATTTAAGCCTTTCGTAACAGAAGGAAGGACAGATCGGATGCAGTCAGGAGGAGTGTTTCCTTGTCTTTGTTGCTCTGCGTGGAACCGGAACCTCCAGACTGGTGGTCATCCTCTTTCAGGTTGAGTTCATAGGGCAGTGCCACACTTGTGGCACGTCGAATGGCTGAAAGCTTGTCCTCGTGATCAGAGAAGATCTCCATTATTTGCACCAAGACCTCCAAGTCCTTAGCACTAGAGGGAACAGTGAAAGGGAAATCAGTAGTACCATCTTCTTGTATTTCTTCAAGGACTTCCTGTAGAAGTTCATCTCCTGTAGATGTTTCTTCTTGCAGTGACTCGAACGTCAATTTTTCGTATTTTCTTCGCAATCTTGTTAATTCCGCGTCAGCAGCCTGCACAATCTTTATCGCTTTCACAGGCAACAAGTCGGTTGCGCAAGGACGACTAGCTGCGTCTTGTAATGGCAAACGAGGAAGCTGGTTGATCGGAAGCTGGTTGATCTTCTCTCCTAAAGCTGCACCTGATGATCCGTCCTTGTCTTCTTCGACCAAAAGAGATGTCAAAAGTCTTTCCTTTTCTCGTTGAAATGGCGTTTGCTCTCGCAATGCACTCCCCAAACTAGCACTAGCCACTGAAGACTCCGACGCAAGTAAGCCTGAATCTGAACTACCACCTACCGCTATATCGTCTCGCCCGATACCAGGAAGTAAGTCTATTCTGCCACTACTTTCATCTCCTGTATATATTACGCCTCTTGCACCAGCCTTACTTTTACCCTGCTCTTGTTCTCCCTCGTTGTCGTTTGGTCGTCCCCCTACGCCTACACCAGCACTGGATTCGCTATCGCTCTCGCTATCTATGCTAGTACTACCCTGTCCATCCGTCGAAGATGTTTTCTGCAAGAATATGTGTCTCGCGTACTGAAACAGGTCGCCGTTGTAGGGTTCACCGTTCACCACCGCGGATTCCCACGTATGCGCTCGATACTCGTGGACTAGAATCTCGATGTTGTTCTTGTCTAGTTTTGAAAGTGGTTTCTCGTTGCTATCCGAGGACGTCACATCATCTTGTTCAACATTAAGGGCTACTGCTCTATTCGTAGACCACCACAACGGTGTCTTATCCGGATACAACACATAGATCATTGGCATTAAGATGCGACGTACTAGGTTCTGCCACTGCTCACAGGCAAATCGAGCGATGTCCCACAATGAGGCTCTGGCAGTGCTTTTTCTGCCAGCTTCTGAAGACATCAAAACTGCTGCGCCTGCGTCTCTCATCTTATCGATACCGAAGATACTTCCATCCGAATACTCATCCCTCAGGCACGCTTGATTCAGTTTCAGCCCAAGATTTATCGTCTCGCCCTGGAGGTCATCGTTTTGGTTAGTTTGATTCAGCATACTGAACGACCATTGAATATATGATATGCCTGACGAACAGCAAGTTCAAGATACTGCTTGCATGCATGCTACAGAATTCACTTATCTTTTTTGAATTGACGATAGAGATATGTAGAAGCACATGATCAACACAATACTCATTCAGTAGAAAAAAAGTAGAGAAGATGAACACTCTCAGTACGTCTTCCGCATCCGCACCCTCGTCTAACAGCATTGCTAAACGTTCACGTTGCGCAATCAGCCGTTCCTCTACACTAGTTCTTGTGTCAGCCGAAGGGGTACTAGATGTAGTCTCCTCCAACCCGTCTCCATCACCTTGCTGTTGTACAGGAATTTCGCCATCACGATACGCATCCTTTCCCGTCGCTGCAATAGCTGCCATACCCAGTTTCCCTAGGCAGTAGGACAATTCCGGTCCCTCACAGCTGATTGTTTGCGTGTACAACGGCGTGTCCCAGCAACAGGCGTCGAAAGACAACAACGTTTCGCCCCCATTGGCTTCCTGTGCGAAACATGCTGGGTCTTCTTCGACACAACATCGATGGTAGTTCAGATGAACGTCGAAAGGATCCGTGAAGCAAAAGAACTCATCTCGGTAGAAAGCTAGCTCTCGACCGTGGACATCAAGGACAGGATCCGGATGGAAGCAGAGGAGCGACAACGAGACGAGTGGAGATCGAGATGATGTCCTTGGTCGAGGCCGCTTGCGGCATGATCTCCGAAGTGCAGCACTTCGCTGCATGTTGTAGGAGGTGGTCGTCAACATCGGCTGCCTGCAGTTCTTGTCCGCCGCAGGAGAGAACTCATCTACAGAGAGCCTGCGCTTGTGCAAAAATGGAGAACCATCAATATTACGGCGATCCTGTCAACCTCAGCCCTACCATCTTTTTGTCATTGATCATCTGAGACAATGACGATTAGCTTTCACTTCCAGTAAGGATGAGGTGGAGGACGTGACGAGAAAATGTGGCGCATCCTACCAGCAAGAACGAGACTTGCTCGAGATCTCTAAGTAACGTTACGTGTGTTAGCGAATTGCAACTTTTGTAAGTTGGTAGAAGTTTCAAGAAAACACGTTTTGTTCATCAAAGACAAGGAAACGAATTAGGACATCTTGTTCACGGTATTATTGAATAAACGATAGCTGTTAGGACTGAAACTAAAAAGAGCAATATTGAGCTACTTTCTTACACTCCTATCCGTTTTTTCGCCGAGACGAGGAGCCACAGCCATAAAGCCTGCGGAATGAAGATCTGATATGTGTATGTTATAAATACTAGACCACATAGCCATAGGTTGTAAGCTCCAATCAACAAAAAGAATTACTCTGATTCGTCGTCTTTCAACTTGCCTTGGCCGTTGCACTTGTCGTCCCTCCACTCCCCTTCGAAGATTGAGGTTGCATCCGGGTAGACATATCTCCCTAGCCCATGTCTCATACCATTCTTCAGATACCCTTTGAACTCTCCGCCATCTGGAAATCGCCTCTCGACATAGCCAGTCTGCGTACTTGGGTCGTAGCTGCCTTGTTGAACTTGAAGTTAGAGCTCCTGCGTACTACTCTAGTTCTTCATCTCGAACAAATTGTTCGATGTGGTGGTCGTGGATGATCTGGAGGATACGTATTTTTGCCTCTTAAATCTATTTGCTTCTCAATGAGGATTTACATCAAGATGAATTTGAGAATGAGAGAGTGTGAATTAGATGAGAATGAGAGGTAAAAAACTATGCATATCCCATCCGGAGGCCATAATTTCCACCTACACCTGGAGAAGATGGCCCTTCGACGAAGACCGATCCGCGCTCATGCTCCACCTTATCGATTGAACAGCAAGCTGACGTTGCATTCCCCATTTTATCGGAAAAATCTACAACATATGGATATGCTACTTAGCCTTAGTCAACCATCTATCTTCAAAAGGATCAACAACGTGTGTTTCAGTCACTCTCACTTCGCAAGATATGGCGCTGTGGTATTCACTTTCAAGTTGTATCAAGCAATGGCCAATATTCAATGTTGTCCCCCTCGAGTCGAGCTTCACTCTTTGTCATCATCTTCATCTCCAAGGATGTCTCTCTATTTGCAATTGAACCACATGGATTTGTGGTTGCAACTGAACACACAGCAACTGCGCTCCTTCTACGTGTAGTGCTGCTACTTGGTGCAAGAACATGGGAGGTCTACTTTTTAATAGTAAAAATACCATCTTCTGGGAGGTAGAAAATAACTAGGCGGGACGAAACAATGTATTGCACTTGTATCTTCATGTAGATCATCAACTTAGAAGGCTTCCATAGAGGAAGACCACCATCAACACTTTTTAGTTCTGACTTTTTGTCTGTGTTCTTCGAACTCCTTGATTCTTAGTTCCAATAAGCCTAGAAGTTCTCTACTTCGTTCGGCAGCTACTGGCAACAGCTCTTCAAACAGGGTCTGCGTAGGATCTTCACCAGGTACTGGTCCTACAATATCCGCGAGACAGATTTCCCCGAATTGATTCACCGCTAGGGTGGCTCCACCGTCAGCGAGCTGTTCTTCGGCTCTACAGGGATCTGCGATTGCATCACCAGTGGGCAAGAATCCAAAAGTCACTGGGATCGGTAGAAAATGAACGCTCAAAGCAGCTGGCTCACGCTCAGCGGCACTGTAAAGACGGAGACCATTCTTGTTCTCGGCAGTACGAGAAGCAGCTCCTGTCATGTTTATTCCTGCTGTTTGCGGCCCTGCTCCTCCTTGGCGATTTTTATCTTCCTCTTCCTTACTCGGTACAGACAAGTCTTCATGAACGACTTCGACCACTTTTTTCCTATACGTCTTGAGACTCATCAAAGCAGCCAAAACCGCACAATCCGCTAGGTTTCCGTCGTTGTTCAGGGCCCTAACATGTATGCTCAAATGCCAGCACTGCTTGCCGGCCACGATGCACAAACTCTCTTCATCAACCGCATGTGACAAAACCTTCTCAATCCTCTGCTGCACAATGGTAGCTGCTTCGCGGGGACCCCTGTGCTGAGTATGTTGTTGAGACTGGGTCTGTTGTTGTTGAGGCGGAACATAATGGCCTCCACCAGTTGTGGTTGATGAGGATGCTGATCCGTTCCCGCGGCTAGTAGGTCCGTTTAACACTCCTCCACTATTCTGTGGAATCATGCCACTAGTCGATCCGCTTCCCGCATTTGGAATCGTGTTGTAGAATGCCGCGTCCTGAAAAGCTGCATCGGCTATGCCTCCGAATTCTACGCTGTAGGATATCTTTCCTCGTGCGCCATTTTCCGATGCTGGTGCAACGATTTCGCCATGACAGGAAGCCAGGACTTTTGTGTTGCCCAATGACAAGAGGACATGCCCAAGATCGAAAACTTTCAGACCAATAGGGCGAAACTGGTGGCGGCTAGTGCGTCCATCTGGTCGTTGTCCTGCTGCTTGCTCCAGCTCACAAACAAGGCCAGGGCCAAGAGGCAACACTTGGTTGCTCATTACAGCGATGTTGTTGTCGAGAAAAACCATTATTTGGATAGACGAGGTCTAGCAAATAAAGCGCTCGCGGAACAAGAGAAAATGTTGATCATGAATCAATGTGAATGACTTCCAAATATTGGTAACTATAATGAACCAGTAGAGCAACGTGTATTATAAGTGTAAGACGATCACAAAATCCACAGGAAAAGTGGCCTGATCGATTAATACATTAAAGAACAACGTAAAGGCAGATCTACGATGATGATCATCCAGTATAAGTAACTCCATCGAATAGAGACTGATCATAAAATCTTCGGCCATCTTCTACGATTCGTCGATCTTTGTGTCGAACAGGGAACAGGAGACCAGGATCATTCGCGTATGATTTCTTCTCCTTTGTGTCGAACAGGGAACAGGAGACCAGGATCATTCGACGCGTAGGATTTCTTCTCCTTTGTGTTACACAGGGAACAGGAGACCAGGATCATTCGACGCGTAGGATTTCTTCTCCTTTGTGTTACACAGGGAACAGGAGACCAGGATCATTTTTTCGAAGATCTTGCTCTTGCCTCTTCTCCGAAGTGAATGGTTCCGGTATTTTTGGTATAACCTGAATTTGATCATAAGGAAAACAAGAAGAGAATCCTTGTGATCAAATTCAGGTTACCAAATACCAGAACCTCCGTACACGAAGGGCCCGACCACTAATGAACACTTGGTGGAAACTACATTCCATGATTTGGATTTTTCGACATTGTCGATAGGACTAGATGAATCGTCCCTCTATCGAAATTGAAGAAATGAAGAAGATGTATTTTCCACGATGAATGTAGTCGTAGTTGCAAGAAAGGTCTTTTCATTGAGCACAGTACTGTCGATGTACAAGATTAGGTCCAATATGTGGATTTCCCGCCACGACTTGCAGTTCTTTCTTGAAGACAAGTACGTCTAGAATTCTTGTTGAGATTGTTAAAATTTGAAAAATTTGAAAATCGTTTTACAGCTTCACAAATCTTGGTTCTTGTTTGTTTCTACGAAAAAGATCTATCTGCTATGTTTTATGTTCCCGAAATAACGGTATTCTAATTCTTTCCGAATTTTCGATTACATGTTTTTTTGTAAGCATAATCATGATGGTCTATAAGTACATTTTCTTTCCCTGTTATCTATTGCGCACGAGCAGAAGTTCTCCCAATCTCGTGGTTTGCTAAATTTTCTATTAGCTAATGCTGTCCAATTTATAAGGTGTACAAGTAGGTGAGACAAAGTGCTGGAGGCTCCTTCTAGTTCCGCGTGGTTTTTCGTGTTATCATTATGTATAGTGCAGAGGTCGATTAGGATTACGTAGTGCAAGAACTGTCCTCGCAGTCGGTTACAACCCTGCTGGAAAATTCTAAGAAAAACCCCTTCTAGAATCGATTTGTCGTGCTTGTTAGATTCAAAGCCTACTCACTGCTTACTTCTTCTCCTCCACCTTGTCACCTCCGACTTGGATTCCATGCTCGTAGACGACTTTTTGCTGAGTGCCGCTCTTTACGACGACAACTCCCGTGCCATGCATCGCATTGTCCGCCCACTGGCCTTCATAGCTGCTTCCATCCTCCCAGGCGATCTTGCCCTGTCCATGTCGCTCGCCCTCTTGGAATTGACCGGTGTAGACCTGTGGTCCTCGTGTTTCATTGGGGGAGTGGTCATTATATATAATTCAGGGTTTCGATTTTTTTATTGAACAAATCGATGCTGTTCGAGGAAAACAAGTTGAATCATCAACGACCATGGAAATTTGGATATTCATAGAAGTACAACGCACCAGAGCTAGTAACCTAGACCTTCAAACATCAAACTAATTATTTTTACAGAAGACAGCTCAGCTGTCTGTTTAACAGAAAGTTCTTCGTCTTTTCTACTGACGAGGAGAGGTGAGTGAAAAATAAGCTGGTCGTGTCTTCACCTCCAGCACAAGCACATCTACCGTCGAAGTAAAAAACCTGATTTTTACCGATCCGTCAGTATAGGTGTAGGTTCCGTAGCCATGTTGAAGGGAATCCACGAAAGCACCCTTGTAAACGCCATCGCGGTCATGGAAGACTCCTTCGCCTTCAATCACATCATTCTTGAAGCTTCCGACGTACCTGGAGGTGGATGAAGGGTAGTGGCTTGAGGCAGGAGTGGATGAGGTGGATGGTGCTTCTTGAACTTGAAGATTCAAGTACTTCAGATGATGACGAGGCGCTACTTGATGTTCCACACAAAGCATCGAATTTTCAACAGATGAAATTTTAACCACGTTTTTTAAATAAAACCGGGTTGATAAATATGTTGACCACAATCATCGTTTAGCATCGATACCTCGTTCCATCATTCCAGATGTAAACTCCCGTTCCGTTTTTCATGCTGTTTGAGTGCTGGCCGATGTACTGGGTGCCATCCGCGTGCCAGATTTCATATCCTTCACCCTCCTTAGAGCCGTTAGCCCAGAACCCGTAGTAGAAGCTCTCCAAGTCCTTGAGATGGCCCTTGCCGTTGCATCGATCGTTGTTCCACTGACCCTCGTAGATTCGGCCTTCCTTGGATGTGTATTTGCCGCTGCCCCACTTCTTCTTTTCGACCATCTGGCCTTGGGGCTTAGAGGAAGACGAGGAAAGGAGAATCTAGAGTCGTGCTATTATTTCTAGGTCGAGTGGGAAATCTACTCCTTAGCCTTAGGTACTTTTTGTTCTTCACTGTGCAGTAGCAGTGTTGCAATTAAATTGAATTATTGCGGAAAACGAACACTGTTACTGAAATTGAAAAAAAGTAAAAGTGTATAATTCTACTGTATCGGACGTGATCATGATCCATGGTGCCTTAAGATAATAGCTGCCATTTGTGAAGGCCAGTTCTACAGCTACTGGTTCTTGGCCTTGTGCAAAGCACCCTGATCGTGCGGCATCAACAATGCCTTGCAATCGGGCTTGGGCTTCTGGGATTTCCCATACGTGGTTGAGGACTTTCTTCTCGCCGTCCTTGGTGGCCTCCTTTTTCTCATCAGCCTTTGGCGATGCCTTCAACGCGTCAAGAACGACATCCGGCAGCTCTTCTGGCGGCATGTCCTCAGCGCCCCTTCGCTTGCCATCTTCGCAACTGCTGCAGACGTTACCCATTGTGTGGTGGTGGAGGTCTTTGAAAGATCTACCGGGATGATGAAGAAGATAGACGTACTTAGTTGTCAAGAATGTTGAATGACTGTGATTAAAAAGGAATTTTCTGTGTCTTTGTCAGATGTGGGAAAAACCAGAAATGCTTAGAGATGAGGAGGGATATTGGTTTTAAAGGATGTAAGAGTTTATTTTGCCTGAAGCTGGGAGGCATTATATCTATCAAAAATATATTATTTCTCATGTTGTTCTCCTTTTTCCCTATCTTTAAAGCTAATGAGTAAACGAGGATCATGATGGAGAACTCATCACAGTCAACACAGTCAGAATCTTGAGGACTCTCTTCATCTACAGATTGTCCAAAGCCGCTCGACGCTCAGTCACTACAGACTCTTTACCAGCCATTCTCACTCTGATTTTTTTACGCTGACAGACTCAAGTCACTTTCTCACATTTTTACAGACACGACATCATTCATTTGTTTTCTGTCACTTGCGCTTCTGCAATCACGTTTCACGAAGGGCAGCACCTACCAGATCATACAGCTATTAGCAAGAGCTACAAGGTACCGAAACAGCAATGCCTACTAAAAGTGGGAAAGAGAGATTGTTGTAGTTGAAAACAAGGTTAATATATTTGATTGATTGAATTACCTAATCTTGAGGTATAATCATGAAGATCAACCAACATTTCATCCGTTGAGATGAAGTCAGATGTTTCACTTGCAGCAAGTATTAAGTATCTTCCTTGTAGTTCAACCTGTTGATTTTCACCTCGCTCCGTCTTTCTCAACCGCTTAGGGCTTAGGGCTTAGGGCTAGGGTTGCTGGGGAGAGCCTGTCGTCCCAGCCACCCCGGGACCCCTCACGTTGACTGCGCCGACGTCTGGTCCTTTTCCTGCACTAGTTGTACCAGCCACTTTTGCATTTGTAGCTGCTGCGTTTTGCCTTTTGGTATCGTACACCTCTTTGGATGCTAGCTTTTCACCATGCCAGAAATAGACTTGCGTTTCCTTCCCTTGCGCGTCGAAAAAGAGGCCCTCTCCGTGTTGCATTCCGTTCCGCCACTGCCCTTCATACTCACGTTCGTCAGGCCAAAACAGGATTCCATAGCCTTCGACTACATCATTGCTAAAGTCGCCTTCGTAGATGTTACCTGGAAAGAGAAGGATGAAGAGAAGTCCGCGCGAAAACGTTACGATTGTTAGAGGCTGAGAGTTGGCATCTCATCTAGCTCGCATACCTATGGCTTTCCTACTTGACGAAGCCATAGAGATGCTCTTAGATGATAGGCCAACAGCTTCCAACCCTTAAGATTGCAGATGTTGAGTAAAAGCCTGGCGGGCCCTTGAGGCTAACAAATTATCAAAGACGAATAATCGGATCTAAAGTAAAACAAGAAGATTCAACATCTGATTGGTAATTCGGACTCATGACTTGGGGCTAACAAATTATCAAAGATGATAATGATCGAATCTGAAGTAAAACAAGAAGATTCAACATCTGGTTAAAACGAATAATCGAATCTGAAGTAAAACAAGAAGATTCAACATCTGGATAAAACGAATAATCGAATCTGAAGTAAAACAAGAAGATTCAACATCTGGTTGGTAATTTTTACCATTCCTCCATATGTATCTTCCTTTTCCCTGTTTCACTCCTTTGTGGAATTGCCCAATATATCGGGTGCCGTCCTCGAACCAGAGTTCCTGCCCTTCTCCGTGCTTGTGTCCATCAGAGAAATCTCCACTGTATTCGGACCTTTCGTCCTTAAAGGTTCCTTGGCCATGGTATTTATCTGATTGCCAGAATCCGGCATACACCGCAATGCCTTGGTACTGGCACACGCCATAGCCTTCGCGTTTTTCGTTGCGCATTTGGCCACTGTAAGCGCCTACATTATATCGTTTTTCGACAAAGGTGCAATCGGAGAAGTCAGCTTGTTTCTGGTCCCATTGGAGGTCGTAGAGGGGAACGTCTTCAGCCATCAGAGGACTGCAGCATCCCTCTGGTGCGGGCTCGAGTAGAAAGGCAGGCATGACGAGCATGTTGTTGACTGGCCTTGTTGTAGCAGTACCAGATTTTTCTTCCCCTGCTCCCTGATCGGGGGTACTAGCACCAGCGATCGAAGAACTTGCAGCAGCGTTGCCCATGGTTTCGCCGGGACGATGTCCTGGAGCCGCTTTCGTTTAACAGACGACAAGGAAAACCACGATCGCGACAGAAGCACCTTGTTGCTTTTCGTTCACTGATGATAGAAATTGAAGAAGTACTTATTTTTGGCTAAGTAATGTGTTGGCTCCAAAATCATTCATCACATTCTTCATCACGGGTGGTAGTGGAAAAGGAAATTGTGAGGAAATTGCATGTCCTCACAAAACCACAAGATGGATGGGATGGTATCAGACCTTGTACTATACAACAGGGGGACTTGGGGGGGAACAACTATTGGTGGCCTGCTTTGTGATCATTTCGGGAAGCTAGAATCAGATACTACATTGATTAGGTTAAACCGAACAATTTCAATTGTTCGACTCACTTATCTTCATCGTTCTCTCTCATTAATATCATTCATTCATCTCTTCCTATTCTTCTGTTTCTGAGAAGTGTCTTCGCGACAGATGATAGCACGCACTCGCCACCTGTTCTTATCAACAGATTTTTGTACTCACTTTCGTTCGCAAACTCGACTCAGAGCGTGTCCTTTTTAAGCACTCTTGTTTCGACTCAATGATGCAACAGATAATCAAGATGGAAAATCGAACAGACTTCGCTCACAACTAAAGATTGAACTCTTGGACGAGGACAGACACAGACTCCGAGACTGGCTCGCTCAATGGGAAGATATATACACCCACATGCTAGCTGCAGCACACTCACATGCTGCGGTTTTCAACTCCTAACTAAAGTCCACGCTCAATGAAGTCGACGTTCAACTCTGAGCGAGTTCTAAGAGTTCATCATCACACATTGTCAAAAATATCAGCTTCAAGAACAGTTCACCTTTATATGCTTCTTCACAACAAGAACTAAGACATGCTGCGCATCTAGAGAATTAGTGGTCATCCGAATCAGTGAGCACGATCACATTATCATCTTGGCCTTCACCATCATGTTCATCAAGCACTTGATCTTTTTCTCGTCCCACAACTTTTGTTTCGTCTTCAATCCGAGCCTTTTTCAACGTTCCTTAGAGCTCAAAACAATTCATTTCTTGCCTACATGTACATTTTTCCCAATCGGTCCTAAGAAGGAAATAATAGGGAGAAAAATGAGTCTTAGAAATTTGAATTGTATTGAGCCTTAAGATGGTGTTGACTCTTTGCTGAGCTTTCCTCGCAACTGCGCGAAAGGCTTAGATCTCCGATTCACGGCCATGGGTTGGGGTGCGGAAGTTGTACTTGTTGTTGAGGAAGAAGAGGTAGCAGCTGTTGTACCACTATCTGTAGTCCCAGCAGCTACGGATGTAGTTGATGTCCCAGCACTCATTTTTGTGGGCCCTGAGGTGGGAGCTCCCGTCGTCGTGCTCATCGTTCTTGCAGTGGCTGAGGATAGCGCCGAAGGCTTCTGGCCTCTTAGTGCTGCTACGAAGGCATTCAACAAATTAGGATCCACCTCTGATGTGGTGGAGGTCTTCTTCGGGGAGTCAGCATCTTCGTCTTCTGAGTCCGACACCACCATGTCAATCTTCACAGGGTCTTTACTTGCTGTTGAACTTGAAGTTGTAGTTGCACCAGTCGCTTTGTTGTTGCTGCCACTTTGAGGAGGTTCAACTACTTGAGGTCGCGGCTGCTGCTGCTGCTGCTTTTGTACTGGTCCATCTTTATTGTTCACCCACTGCTTCCCTCCTCCAGCAGGAGGACTATTAAGTGCAGCACCTGAAGTAGCACCAGAAACTACGTTTTGTGGTCGCGATATTGAAGACCCAAATTGATCATGGGTGGAACTCGTCTCCCTCTTAGCCATACGAAACTCAGCTAGAATCCCAAAATGATCGCTAGGAAAGCGACCGTGGGGCAATCTTCGCGTTCCCACTAGTCGGAATTTGCTACAGACCAAACTATGAATGATGCCACTGATTATTACGAGTTGTGTCACTTGTGATGTTGAAGAGTGACGAATGTCGTTCTCATTCGCCCTTTATTCCCTTCTACCTAAGTACTTAGATGGAGGAGGTGGAGCAACTACATTCCCTTTCATCCTCGATCATCTTCATCAATCAACATTCTCGAAAATCAGTGGCCTCATCATACAAGTTGCTTGTATTCCCCACCGTCGTCGCTGCAAACAGCCTGTCGAACCGACAACGCGGCACAAAGGGTCCAGGCATCTTTGCATTGTTATTGCGTTGCAAATCCCACGTAAATTTCTGGTCTGCATCTGAACCCGCCAGTTCCCAACAGTCTTGGATTTTTACAGATGAGGCTGCTCCTCCATCGACCGAAGATGATAATGCGCCAGCTGCAGCAGTAGATTTCTGTGCGGCTTTCTTGGCAGCGGCTTTAGGTTTTGGTGGATTCATTTTGCCTAGAGCAGCTTTTGCTTCAGCATCGCGAAGATTCAAATCGCCACCAAAAAGGGCTAGATCCACGTCTGAGGAGGATGGGAAGGCTCCTCCACCAGGTGCTGAACTCGTCCGACAGATCTCTTGTTGCAGGTACTGAAAGGGAAGATTAGAGACGATGGATCAAATCATTCTAGAGGTGGACGAGTGCGACGTTGATCGGGCGAAGGGTCCTCAGGGACGATCCTTACTTAATCTTTCATCATCTGCTCCTTGTCAACATTTTCTTTTGTAGTAGAGACGAAAGTTGTCCATAACGATGTCTAACTGGCGTTTTCGTTCCTCAGTACCGTCTTTCGTGCTCTCCAAATGCGCTGTGCAGACTTGGAGAGAGAGACTGTCTACGCTCACGCGCGTCGAGAGTAATTCCCGACCCATCCTTGTAGTTGGAAAACGTGTCCGCTGAAGTTGTGGAGGTACCGTAGATGTAGAAGAAGACGACCACGACATGACAGCTTCGTCTTTCTTACAGCGACCCTTCTGAAGCAAAATGACGGAGAAATATGGCATCAGGGTTGGCGTCGGAGCGAGGATATGGAACAGAGGGTCCAGAAAACGGCGTAGAACTTTCAACGTTGGGTCAATCACCTCCTGCAGCAACACGATGGACGGCGCAAGCTCAACTATAGAGTCAATGACGCCATTGTTCATTAGAAAATGATGAAGATCATCAAAATAGTTGTTAAATCAGATTCTAAACGTGGGCAAGGACATGTAGTTGTACTGGAAGGAAGACCAAATGGCGTATTGAAGTTATAAATTTTCCTATTTCTTCTAAAATTCTATTTCAAGATGCTGGATCAATGGCGTACTGATGCCGCTCATTTCATAATTATACAAGTCGTTCTACCACGATGACATTCATAATACAAGTCGTTCTACGATATCATCGCATGAGTCGTCCAGGCCGTCAATATTCCATGTTAGCAGACGGACTACGCCATGAGGCGCCTGTTTTTCTTTGAATATATCCAGTGCAGTTTTCGGTGCCCCAGAAGATGCTTGTGCTTGTCCAGCAGGAGGTCGGACCTGTCCAGGAAGATGTCCTTGTACATTCTGGTGTCCATGAGCTTGTGCTGGTTGTGAGCCAGAGGATGGAGTGTGTTGAGCTCCTGCTGGTCGCACCACGACCATAGAAGTAGCTTGCCCATTAACTCCATCATGATGTGAGGCAGAAGCACTAGAGGGTCCTTGCCCAGAACCTTCAGTCTGTTTATGCGCAGCAAACCGCAGCTGCTGCATTCGTCGGTATTCTTCCATTTTTCTTGTCTTTCAGGCTCAAGTAGAAGGTCACCTGCAATTATCTATCTACCTTCAGTGTCGATATACCACCTAGTACGCTAATATCGGCATCATCACACACGTACACGCAAGTTCAGCAACAATAACATGCCGGCTGCCACTCGTCTCTACTTCCTGTCCAAGAACATCTTTACATCGGAGTTTTCAATCAGAAAAATGTTATTATCCCTTTCCTTTTTTTTTGGATTGGATCACATCAGGACGAGTCAGGAAATCGCACTACTTTTGTACTCCAGCTCCACACCATCTAACCGATTATGGGTTGGATCAAGCCTGGTGCCTGGTGTATGGACAATACAATACAATTAGAGAGTTTTTTTTTTGTAGTGCGAGCGAGTTCCGATAAGTCAGAACCTACCTACATATTTTCCGCGTAGCTACCGGCGTAGGGGGGAGTTCTTAATCTCCTTAACAACTACGCTACTGGCCCCCTGAGTAAGACGTGAGAACTTCACTCAGCTCGTGCTTAGCTGGGGATCGTGGAACTTTGTGCTTGCCGCACTTGTTGATGTTCTTGAGATGTAGTTGGCTATCAAGCGAAGCATGCTGAATCATGACGGTGAGCAACACCACACACGATTGAATTTGGAGCACGGAAACGTTTGGCCAAGTGTCCATCACAAGCAATGATCGACAATCACAACATTTTTTGATGTAAAGCAGTGGGAGACTGAATCAAACATGCTGCAGCTTACCTCATGCTCAACATAAGGAGCATATGAAAACACGCGACCTTGATGTTGCAGATCTAGATCATTTGAGTGATAACATCATGTTTCACATGAGAGAAACCAAGTACAACTACAAGATGACGCTTGAGAATCAATATCGACTGTGACGACCATATTAGAACAAGAAAGCACCATGACGCCGAAGATGAACGAGTAAAAGCATCACCACGCAAGCATCTAACATGATAGTCTCAAGGTCAAGAACTCCTGTAGGTAGTGTCATCGGTTTTTACTATCGTTATGTATTCTTGTTACTCTTACTGAAACTGTGAGTACTTGTTACTATCGTAACTTGTTACTATCGCAAAAAAAGTTACTTACTTGTATATTATTTCACTTCTTGGTATTGCTAATACTATAATAAATACTAATATGGAAGATACTTGATATACCAAAAAGTAAATAGGATTTCACCGGTTTCTCGATCCTCCTCTCGATCCAGGAAGCAAATGAACGAATCCATCGGGAGATTTGAGGCGACCTGATGAATGTATGGAGAAGCATGTTGACATAAGCTACTTATTAATAGTAGTAGCATGCTTCTTGAGGTACTCGAGGCACTTCTACTCAATTGTATTTGTGATTATCTGTTTCGATCTTCTACTTCATCAGTTGTTGTTGATCTTAATGTTTTCGCCAGGACTGACTTCAAAACTGAAGATGTTCCTGATCTTTATACCACAAGAACTATGATTGCTCCTTCGGAAGAACTTTTTTAGTATAACTTCATGATGGTCATCTTATCTTCCTCCTCGTGAAAGATATCTTCTGCTGGCAAACAATTCCTGATGCTACCGTTTGTCTTCCGAGTTCGTGACAACTTGTTCCACCCACCTCAGCCTCAATCTGAACGCTGCCGTTGTCACTTGTTCGGAACACACCTCACTAAATCGCATCTTCATCTTGTTCCCACCTCACTAAATCGCATCTTCATCTTCGCTGTTGCATTTGCAGCTATCTCACTGCCGTTTCTTCTCCGCTGCGTCGGCTCTTCCAGCAAGCGGCTTGTTCAGCAGGAGCCCATACACGTTGGCGTAGTTCGACCTCTTGTGTTCGTAAAGAGCAAATGCTTGCTCGTACTTCTTCAAGCTTCGCAAGTACTTCTTAGAAGAAGTAGTAGAAACTACTTGTTGAGCGTTGAACTAAGATTGATGTTGTAATCTTGATCCACCTGTCTAAATTCTTCTTGACAAGGGGTGCCCTGTTGACCCCCATCGTCCTCCTGAGTCGTGACTGTACAACTAGTTCTGAACTACTTCTTCTAGTGTTCCTTCGTCTATTTGTGTTCTTTTAGTTACCCCGGCCGCCATGCCCATGCCCATTAGATATAAGAAGAAGTAGATGCTATAGTCCAGATCAAGATGAAAGGATACGACCAGTCGTCTTCTGAAATAGCCTACTTCTGAAGAAGCCGAAAAATATTCTACTTCATCACGTAGTCGGCGTAGTAGCACTTTCCAGCACTGTGATGCTACTTGTCCAGCACTGGAAAGTGCTACTACTAAGTCTGTGCTTAAAAAGTGCTTACTAGAAGAACTAGCTACTAACGTGTCAAATACTTCTAGCATGAATGATCAACAAGAATAAATATTCTACTTCATCACGTAGTCGGCGTAGTAGCACTTTCCAGCACTGTGATGCTACTTGTCCAGCACTGGAAAGTGCTACTACTAAGTCTGTGCTTAAAAAGTGCTTACTAGAAGAACTAGCTACTAACGTGTCAAATACTTCTAGCATGAATGATCAACAAGAACATGCCTGGTTCAATCAACTAATCGTGGTCAACACCTGATACAACTTCGAACGTTCAAGAACAACATCTTAAGTTTGATGGCCAGTTCTCCTGCGGTAAAGCCCTTTTCCCCATACGGCACTAAAAGACCGCCACTATTGATGATTTGCTGCTGCTCAGGTTAGAGTCTGCTATTATTCATCTCAACCCGCTCATGATCTCGACCCCGTCCCTTGCCATGGAAAGAATACAAGCACGACAAGGGAGCAATATATTAATTTTTTTGGTTCCAGGAGTATATATTTAAAACATATATGCGCCAACTTTGACACTTTGCCACTAGCGACGGTTTGGCGTGTACCCTACAGAAATCCGAAGTCGCTGCTTTTGCTGTACACATGTAAAACCTAAGTTGCTAAATGTAAATTAGAACACGGACTTTGCGAATAAGCTCATGATCTCGACCCCGTCCCATGAGAAGAATACAAGGGCCCCAAAGGGTATCGACGACATGCTGTTGAGAAAGATGGACTCTAAATGTTAGCCTTAATCAGGGGTCATCTTGTTTGGGTCACCCAAAATCTTCATGTAGACCTGTTTTTTGAGGACATTGAGGTAGTGCTCGGGCTTCTTTTGGAATTCTTGCTCAGGCGTAAGAGCTGTCGGAGGAAGAGGCTTCCCCTCCTTGTCCAGAAACTGGTTGCCCCACAACTGCATCGGTTTTGTCAAAACTTGACTATACACGTCACCCAAAAACTCCACATTCAGGTGTATATCATTTGGAGAATTTGGCGCGGCAAGCCTGTTTTTACCTGTAGTTGACGGATAAAGCCCATGTAGTTGTTGAGATGCGGCACCGTTAAGCAGGCTGCAACTAGTGCCAGAAGGAGGTGGCGGCGCACTGGGTGTTGTAGTCGTTTCTTCCTTTCCCTTCTCATCCGAATGTTGAAGAACCTCTTTTGCGTGTTTCACTGCCGCTTTCAAGTACCAATTACGTTGTGCTGCGTCTTTTAGAGAATTTTTAGTAAATATCTCCTGTCTTAATAATGTTGACCTTGACGATATTATGAATCCTAACACTTATGTACTAGCTGGGTGGCTTATGATTGCGTATGGTCGTTTTTTATTGCTATGTTGATTGAAACCGAAGAAGACAGAATCTTTACACGACGTTTTTTCTCAAGCAAAAAAATAGAAACATGTTAGTTAGAGCTGCCAGAACTCTTCTAACCCTTCCTTTATGGACTATTACACTGTAATGAAGAATTATCGTTTTTCCGCCAGTAGAGACTGAACTAGATGAACTCTTTACTTGTTCCGGGTCGTGCCGAGTCGTGCTGTTTCTCAGACTCAACACAAGATATAGCCTAAAAGTTGTAAACCCAGGTGGTAAGTGATCTGTTGATAATATCCTTGTAGTAGAAGTTGATCTTCTCAACACAAGATGTAGAAACAGCACTCAGTCTCGACACCAGATGTAGAAAGATGCTAGATTAGTCATGACAAGAGTAAGTCGATCATGAGGGACAACTACAACGACAAGTAGAGCCTTATTAAGTTTTGCGTTCCTCCATTCGCTCCTGCTCGGTTACAAGAACCTGTGCCTTGATGTGCGTCAAACAAGGCTTGCGCTTTTGCTATTCCAGTGTTGCTGAGATTAACGGACCTAAGTCTTTGCTCTAGAATGCTCACCGGTCCCTTCTTTAGCTCCTCCGCCAAGCATGCAACCGGCGGCGCAGGAGTCGACTCTACTTAGAGCTGGCGGTCACAAAAGCCAGCCGAAAAATGATGACAATGATAAATGGACTAGAGGGTGGCTAACAAGGTGACCAGCAGCCTATATATGGATCAACATGGAGAATTCGAAGTACAAGAAGAAGGAATAAAACTGAAGAACGAGGATAAAAAAGATGATAAACTGCTCCTGTATTTAATATAGTAAAACTTCGTGAACAGATAGTGATAGAGTGATTTATGAGAGCCAACTTATGGCATTGGCGGAGAGCAGGTGCTTCGCACAACAATGACACCAGCGAGAAGTAAATGAGGTGCAGCACTCTCCCTCGTAGTAGAAGTATCAATCTTTTTCTTGGAACAGTATAGCAAGTAGTTGTAGAAGTCATCTGAATGGTAGTTGTGGTATCATTCGATGATGATCTAACAAGTTCATATTTATTATTACATCAAAAACAACAACCAAGTAGACTTTCTTTCACCGTAACGTTGGCTTTTTAACACGGCAGCTTCGTGGTAGAACTCTTCACTTGGTGCTGCCTGTTCGCTCTCGTGCTTCTTGTCCCACTTCGCCCTTTGATCGTAGGCATTCGAACGCTTCGGTTCTTCCCCGTGGGGACCATATTTAGAGCCCAATCTGCCATATTAAGATAGTACACCCTGGAGGACCCCTTTTCCCCTTGAAAAGCCTCTGCTTGAGGATCAACATGGTTCCGAAAAAGATGGAAATGGATCAGCATTCTTGACTGAGCAGGATGCAGCTTCCGAAGATAGATGGATCATTAGCATCTTTAGATAGCAGCGACGAGCCTTAACATAGGTCAGGTTGTAGCAGGTTCTGACGTTATTCTCGAGATCACGTTCGCGCTGCGACTTGATACCCAAACAATCCATCAAGTAGCTGTCTTCTACCAAAGGCGACGAGTTCTGAAATTAGATGAGGCAAAACTAGAAACCAATGTCATACGATCCTTGACCTTGAGTGCCTCTCATTCCCGCCTTAGGAAGACTGGAAAGGGAACCTGTAAAGGGAGTGCACTACTTTTCTTGGTTCTACTTGATGTTGCCTTAACAGAAACAACTGCGCAGTACGTTTTCGCGGCAGCCCTCATTCAGTCTGATTTTCTCTATTTCGTCTTTGTACTTCGCGAATGCGGAATAATACTTGTGCAGGGCATCAGCGAAAGCTTCATCAAGAACAGACGGGTCGATCTTGCCCTCGCGAATCTTGTACGCCTGAAGAGCTTGCCTTGCTCTCTTTATTTCATCCTTAGAGTTCACCCGAATCCATCTTGACACGCATCCTGGGCGCTTTTTCCCCTTCCAAAGCCGCTTCAGGATGGCACAGAAGATGGATAATGGAAGCCAGCCTTAACATCCTCTATTTTTTCACGGACTTCCACCTCTGTGAGGTTCGCGAGAAGGTTTCTCACTTTCCTGAAATCTTTGTAGGCCTCTTTTGATTCCGCAGAGGCGCAGCCACAGAAAAGCATGCATCCCGATGGGTCGTCTCCTCCACAGCACACGTCTACAACTGCTTGACCACAATGACAACTACCACAGCTAGCATAACGACCAAGACCTCCAAGCAGAGATTTGAGAAAGCTGTATTAGACCTTTCGGGAATCCATCTTCTGAGACTTGTTCTAGGCCGACCTTCTTCTTTCCCTTTTACTTAGAGGGAAGCCCTACTAGGTAGGATGCTTCTGAAGATCATGAGAGAAGATTCCCGGAAGCCTTAATTGTACATGAAGTTCCACTCGTGGACCACGCCTTTCTGCTGTGCGACTAAGAAAAAACTTGCCAAATCTGCAATTTGCTCCTTGTGCAACCCTAGAGAAGCCAACTCTAGCTCCAACCGAGTCTCGTGATCACTTAAGCGAGCCAGCTGAGGGTCAGTCGCGCGGTCGGGGTCAAACATGCCCAATTTATTTTCATTAGAGGTGGACCTTCTAGAAGTTCATTGAATGACACTTATGTCTAGATGAAATATCAAACGATTACAATATCATAATTAGAAATATTGAGACCACTTGGTTCTCGAATGAAATTCCCAGGTGGAGCACTATAATACATCGATCTTCTGGGAACAAGTAGTTGATCGTGGTCGTCCCCCTTCTTGCTCATCATGAAAAGAGGTGTCCCGATTCTAGTTTTTTCATATGATCCAAGAGAGAAGATAGAAGATAGATGGACAGAAGTAGATGAAGAAACCATCCAAGATAGAAGATTATAGATGTCCTCCTCATGGAAGATACATATGCGACGACTAATACAATGGATTTCGCATCCTGGTGTAGCTCTAGGCGTAGATATAATAGGACGATAAGTGGCTCTGCTATAGTAGGAAGATAAATGGATGTCTAGGTGGTCTACATATTTGATGGACGACTGTTGACAGGGATGTCTTTCTCTATCTTTGTTTTTCCTAGGAGATGCTCATGTTTCTCATGGCCTTAATATCAAATATCGTTTGCACTTCGTTCATTTTCTTGTTCATGTGGGGAGTCATCATCTCCTGTTGCGGAGCTAACTGAAGCGCTTGGTTAGCAGCCTCCTGCAACTTCGCACCATTCACAGACCCACTCCCATCCGGGAACGCAAGAGCGTCATTCAACATTATGAGGGCTTCTGCGATTTCGGCTGAAGTTTTGTGCGCGTCCGCAAGCTCCTCGTCAACCACAAGAATGGCACCCTCAAGCTGGCGCATATCAGGTGTAGGAGGCTGCTGCCAGGGTGAAAATAAAGACAAAGAAGGCCCACCTCCGTTACTAGACCCAGGGAAAGCTGTACCTCCAACTCTTTGGTCCTGATCCTGAACACGTTTTAGTCGTTCCCGATTTAGCGAGGGAATTTTCCCCGCTTGAAGAGCCGCTCTCTTCCGCTCCAACTTCTCTTTTAGCTCCGCCGCTTCTGGCATTAAATGCATCTGTTCCTCCCGAGCTTCATCGGCTCTCCTTTCGGCAGCAAGGTCTTCTGATGAAGTTTCAGCGCCATTATTTTTCGACATTTCTGCCAATCGCTTCGCTTGATCCCGAAAGTCCCTCAGGGCTCTTTCTGCTCCTTTTTGATTCCTGTGATTGTGCGGTTCACTGTTCTGCCTAGAACCACCCATTTGTTGGTATGTAGTTTCGATTTCGGCTCTGGTGGTATGCCACGTTTTCTTGAAGTCGTCAGAGATTTCAGTTTCATCCAGAAACAGCTTCTTGCGACCCTCTTCACCGTATCTGTCGATCATGTACCTCTCATGCTCCTCTGGGGTGCGCATTATAGCTTTGCCATCCTCGTCGAGGCCAGGGTAGTCTGATTCATTCAGATCGAGATCGCTGTCATCCTCATCGTCGCCAGAATCTTCACCAGCATCTTCATCTTCTGATTCACCAGCATGATCTCCAGTATCATGTGCAGCCTCGTGAAGAGAACCTCCTTGAAAAACACTTGGTACTTGACCGGTAAAAAAAGTTCCTGATTGAGATGGTTCCTGAAGGACCCTAGGAGGGTGACCAGCGTAGCTCTGCGTAGAAGCAGACGTTCCGAATCCAACGGCGCCCACTCCACAAGGAGCCCCAAGAAGCACCAGAGTAGCGCTCGTAGAAGAAACTCTCATCTTTGTGTTCTTTTTGATGTACTGATTCTTAGGCTGACAGACTTCGTTTATGAGGATTATAAATGAAGTAGGACGAAGATTTTGATATTTTCGATTACTTAATACTGATGAAAGCTGATGAAAATAATTTTCCACAATGCGGTTCTAGGTCTACTTGAGGTGTTATGGTTGTTTCCTGGAGTATCTATTTTCAGGATGCAAAGACGTTCCGAGTAGAAAGAATGGCACTAGCAGTTTCATTTCATCCACGCGACACTGAAGATTCCACAAGAATCGATAAGACTGCTCTACATGCGTTTTTGACGGCATCAAACCAAGAGGACTCACACCTCCAGGTCGTGGATGATCGAGTCGACCACGTGGATACATGCAATTTGACTGTCAATATGTTGAATGTCGAAGATTTATCTTCATGACCAACAAGTTATCTTCATGAGTGTTACTTACTGCATTATCGTGGTAGAGGACGATAATTGATGTTTTGACATGTTGGTACGCATGAAGCAAGGCTTGTTGAAGTTGAACCATCACGAAGTTCATATGAGTTGGCGCACGATTAATATCACGCTAGCACAACTGTGACTGTCATGATCGTGATCGTCGCTGTTGAGTCTCCTGAAGGCACTTAGGAGCTTACCGTTGATAAATATGACCGAAGATTCTTCAACAGGAAAACAAGCGAGAACAAAAACTTTACGAGCTCCTCTACTTCGCAAGAACGTCCTCTCGCGGAACAACAACCTTGCGTGAGAAGATTACATTGCCCCACCGCAAACAAATTATTCTTTCTTCTCTTGATGCGTTTTTACAAGTACAATCAATTACGTGGAGGCTCATGATCTTCGTATACATTAAATTCATTCCTCGACCACAGCCACCAGCTGTGTCGAGGTCGAGTAGGATGAGAGTGGTGAGTCGCAGCCGAGGGATCACGGTCGGCAATGCATATTATTTGCCACCTAGTTTGTGGGGGCGGGCTTGCAAAAATAAATAAATGAGCAGGAAGTATACAGGAGCAGCAAGAACGAGGCAGTACGACCACCTCGTGGTGGATACTAATAGGAGGACAAGTGAACAATGGCATGATTGAAGACGAGGAAGATGTATGCCGCAATAAATATTAGAGAGAGCAAGGGGAAGGAAATGGTTGAAAAGTAGCATGAAGGTGACCAATCATATTTGACAGGAAACAGTTTTCATTAGCATCTCTGTACAACACGTTAATAACGTTATCATGTTTACATTATCATGTTGATGTTAGTGGTAGTTGGTGATATTATGCTGTACTTGAAATTTATTTGTGGCCGCTATGCTATGGGAAAAATAGTTGTTGCAATTGGACCATTTACACAGCGATTGTGTTACTTCATCTGTCGGTTTTCCCAGCATAGTCATCATGTTGATGAAATTTCAGTTTCTTAAGATTCCGTAAGTTTGTGAAGTTAAGCTTCAGTATCACTATCAATATTTTCTGGTATTTCTAATCGCTTAATAGCTAGTAGTTAGCGAGGTGTTTTTGGCGTTTCAATGACGTGGTTTTGGCATTTCAACAACTGTTCAGGAGGTGAATGAACGCTGACGAGCTGATTCAAACACGCACAAAAAGGGTCAAAAATGCAATACTGAAGAAGATGTTCTATATATCGGGAATGCCTTTATTTTATTACACGAAAATCTGGTTCTATGCATGGAGATGAACTAGCTTTTTTCAGGACTGGTGCTCGTAGCACGACAAGAACCGAGTAAGTAAGTACTACTAGAGCACCGCCGCTGTTCATATTGTAGTGCTAGTGCTAGGAGATTTTAATTTTTCATTACCCTTAGAAACATCACTAGTTTCTGAGTTCTTATGTTGAGTAATGTTGAATAACAATAAACAAAATAACGTCAATGTAGCTGGTTTCAAGAGCCGCATGATCGTTTCTATGCTGCGAAGCTTGCTTTTCCTATGCTGCGACGAAGCCTTCGTTTTCGTTCCAAGAACCACGCCACCGACATGGCTTCTCAACTGCCGTTTCAAAGGTTTCTTTTTTTTCCTATGCTGCAACGCTTTCTTTTTCGTTCCAAAGAGCCGCAACGAAAGGCAGAGCATTGTCTTCGTCTTCGTGGTCGTCTTCCCTGTCCTCTGTTTCAGATGTTGAACAAACGGGCATCACTGCAACAGAAACCGTTCCGCACTCTTGAAAAATACGGATTTTCTCCAATCCCGGTGCGTAGATGTGCATCGTGTAAGCTGGCTCGTCCGTACGATTCTCAATGCGATGCAAAGCTATTTCTTGATTGGCGTAGCCGACCTTTTTGGATCGTTCGACGATGAAAAAAATTTTCATTTGGAGGTGGTCAACATGGTGTTGTTCTTGGTTCTTCTTCATAAAGGACGTCTTCTTGGTTCTTCATAAAGGAGTAGAAGATGGTGGTCGAACATGGTGTTGTTCTTGTTGGAGGTTCTTCTTTATAAAGGATGGGTAGGAGAATAAGGTGACCTAGGAATCATGATGCAAGTACTAGACAAGGAAGATCTACTGATGCAAGTACTACTAGGCTTAATATCAGACAAGGAAGATCTTCATGATGCAAGTACAACTAGACAGCTACCCACGACGAAGAGTTATTAGAACAACAATACACTGAGACAAGTCGTTCAGGTACTACCCTCACAGCATCGAATCCGAGAGTGGTCTCACTCAGTTTGCGCAAAGGTGCGCACCTTCCTAGAGCTTGGCGAGGGTTGCGCGCCTCGGCCTCGAGGAATTTCCGGTCCAACTTAGGTTGGGCATATTGCACCTCCACTACTTCTCCACCAACCGCAACGACCCAACAGCTGCTCTCGTCATGGCAATGGATGGAGCTAACGCTAGCAATTAGAAGAACAAGACGATGCTTAATATTGATAAAAGAACGACGATGTAGTACAGGAGGAAGCCAGTCGTACTTCTACACCTCGTTACCCACCTACGTATTTTCTGATTTGTCAAGTTGTAGAACATTGTTTGTTCTAGTACTATAATGTCTCACAACTCAAATCTTCACTCTAGTTATCGTACAACTCAATCACTCTAGATAAAACAGAACCGTCGTGCATCATAAATGTGCTGGCCAGCACATGAGTAGGCACTCGAAGGCTTCATTCTTGTAGATGAGGTTCCGGGTATACTTACTCGGGTTCTCTGCGTTCCAGCTAACGAACTTGGCGACCTCAGAATCCCTCGGAAACCACAGCTTACATTCCTGTGAAGAAGTGTTGGTGGTCGTATTAAAGATGGGGTTTGGATGATGGTCGTCGTTGTACAACATCAACTTTTACTAAAAACATGATGACCATGGCTTTTGCCTGCAGTTGTTACTGTTTTTAGCTGCATCAGATCATTCGAAAGGAACAAACAAATCTTCAGCTCGTAGTAGTAAGTAGTACTTCCGCCACATCCCTCACAGGATGACTTCTGTGATCCCGACCCTTGATCATTTTGACGAGCTTCTTCAGCAGAGATTTCAGTGTGTGAGCTGCAGGCATGAGCGACCCAGTTGCTTCAAAGCTGTACGCATTCGTCACGAAGCGGCCTCCTAGAAGACTCGAAAATATCGTAGCGGCAGATGCTACGGTCTGTGAAGCTTGTTGTTTTGACGTCAAGAGGTTTAGTTAGAGTCTGCTAGATTGCATCTCGGCCCCCTCATCTTGACCCCTTGCACCTTGTATTTCATGAGAATACAAGGGAAAAGGGTACCAAGATGTTATGAAAGAGCTGACCGTAATTATCTAGGGAAGGTGAGATTAAGGCAACACCTTTCTTGTTAGCAGTTTTCACAGCTGTCTCCAACGAAGGTACAACTACTAGGTTGTTTCGAGATGATTTTGTAGCTGCAGATGCAGAGGCAGCACTTGAAGTTGTAGCGCCACCTGCTTGATCATTTTCAACAGGTGTTGAACCAGGGTACCCGAAGTTGGGGAGAGGTAAGGAGTCGAGTATGCGGGGCGCGTGTTGGTCCACCTCAACGTTCAAAACTGCGGGAGTGAAATTGTTTGGGGAACCTTTATTTGGGGATTTTTCTACACTTTTGGCTTTTGTGTCCGCTTGTTCCTGTTGCACCAGTAAGCCTTCCTTAATACTCAACATTGAAGACAGGGTCGTGGTGAGGTTCCCCAAGTCGTCATGGGAATAGCGAGCTGAGGGGATGTGCGTTATGGGTGGGGTCATCATTCCATGTCTCGTTCTTATGGGTGAAGTAGCTGTCATGGTTCCATCTTCTCTTCTACCTGGTGGTGAAGTACAAGTAGCTGCTCCTACAGGACTTTGAGGACAACATGCTTGTTCTTCGCCTGTTTCTGCAGTTGATGTTCCTATTGAGACCAGATACGCCTCTCGTTCTATTGGGTGAATAAGCTGCTTCGTCAGACTAGTGCTGGACGTAGAAGTTGCTCCGCCTGAAGCAGGTGTTTGAGTCTGAGCTGCTCGTGTTGATGGACTAAACTCGTCTATCTTCTTGTTCCTGTTATCTTTCCTCGCTTCTATTTGATGACCTCCACCTCGTAGTTCCTCATTAGCAGGAGTTGAAGAAGAACTTGTTGTCCCCGAGAAGGCAGAGCTAAGCCCCGGCCCATCACCGCTGCTAGGAACTTCTGTCGTGCCTATGGTACTCGCTCCCTCGACAGGCGGACAGCTTGATATGAACGAGGAAGCTGAGAGAGATTGGTTTCCACTGTGGGGAGTGGGGAGATCAACATTTAACTAAGTAGGTACTATCAACATTTACCTATAAGTAGGTACTGTCAACATTTACCTACGTAGGTACTATGAATTCATATTTTTGATCTAATAACATGCTTTTGGTTGGTCTTAATGTTGAAGATCTCGTTGTCATGCGCATGTGGCCGCAAGGCTTTCCTCAAACGCTGTTCTGGACCTTGCCGGAAAGCGTGGAGATTCCGATAGTCCAGAAATGTCACCACGAAAGAATTAGAGAATGAAGATAAGGATTAAATCGCACGACGTAGTGAGTTATAGGAATTAGTCGTACAAGTGCCAAACGACGTAAAGCACGTTTCATGTTTCCGTTCACAACCTCTCGAGGATGAACATGATCTGAAGACTAAAAACGAAAGGAGCTGCAAGTTGTATAATCAAATGTCAAGTATACTGCTGGCCGCATCGCTGTTTGTGTGTGTCTTCTTGAGATGATTATTATATTTATCAACCTAAAAACGATGCGTCCTCGCATTGGATGACATATCCGCACGTCCGTGATCCCTGCCTCCAAAGCGTAGAATTCCCGCGCCGCGTCTTGCACAATGCGCTCAAAAGGATCGATTTCATCCTCGCTTTGAGCCGAAAACGCCAATATGTGCACTATCTCGCCAGTCCCCAGCGAGCAGAGACATCGGCTCTTAGAGCTATTCGAAAAACTGAAATAAGCGAGTAACTATTGAATATAAGGGAGACACTGATGAGAAGGAAGAGTAGCCTTGGCGCTATAAGCTAGTGCCTCCCTTATTTCAGTCAGTAACTCGGATATTTTGAGTTTTCGAATACCCTGAGCCCATCCCTGAGCCCATGATCCCTGCTGTGCCCTTTTCATCTCCCTTTTGAAAAAGGTCTCCCTTTTGAAAAAGGGGCCAGGGATCATGGTGCTGAGGATGCTCCAGCAGTTCTTGCCTTAAGACTCTGTTCCGGGATGACTTTATTCTTCGACGCTTCTTTTTTGCTCGCAGCTGCGTTGCGCGCTTCCGCCAGCTCTGCACTTGCAGCTGATTCGTCAACCGCAGTTTTGAGTCTTCTCATCTCCTCAGCGGGCACAGGAGCTGGCGGACCTGGAGGCGGAGGCACTGTAGTTAGAGCTCAAGCTAATCGTCCATGATCTCGTGACTCATCTTGGAGCCGTTTTTACCCCGCTTATCTTTTTTTTGTAGTGCGTCGGCGGCCCGATTAGGCGGGCTTTTGGGCCGTGTCACAGCCCGCTTGTATTGATGAAGCATAAGCTGCAAGATGCTTCCCGAGATCATGGATTGATTTTTACGGTAAACTACCGTAATGTAAGTTCGACTCCACCAGGTGCACTACGAGGACCTCCCTTATTCATCTCCCTACTCTCTGCGACGTCCCAACTAGTGGACCGCTCGACGCCGACTTCCGACATCCTTATTCCTTTGATTTTTCACCAGTTGCAGTAGTTGCGCCGATTCCAGACCAAATCTAGTAGTACTTGTTGTAGTAGTTGTAAGTAGTGCAAGAACTTCTATCTAAGTAATAGTAAAGTACTTAGAAGAACAAGATTCATTGAGATTCTCTTTCCCTCAGAAAGGGAGGTGCGCGTGGCTTGCGTAGGATTCCTTGAATTGTGGATATCAACCTAGTATCTTCAAGCGGGCACGACCAACAAGGCGGTACACCCGGTGAAAGAATCAACAATATTCACGATTTTTATGCAGATTTCCATTTCTATCGAACTCATAAAGATAAGAAAGATACAACAAAGTTCTTGAACTCACCTTCACCTCCTATCAAAACTATAACATCGATGAAGATAATTGAAGATGTTTTCGCGATACAAGATGAAACAAATAGTAGATACAACGAATACGAGTAGAGCAAGGTAGAGCAAGTCTGCCAGACTATACTGAAAAAATTTTTGATAAAAAAATGCTGCTGCACACGAAAAGTAGCGATAGAATAAAACAGAAACTCAAGTTAGTTGAACCAAAAAAAAATAAAGATGAAGATGAAGTGATCTATCTACTAGATCTATCTCTGCATGACAGCTATGGCAATAACAGAAGTACGCACCACTTGAGGTAACGCTGTAAACTGCAACTCAAAACAAAGAACAGAGTGACTAGGAGTTGGAGCTGAGCATCATCCTAATAAAGACAACACAAAAATAAAAGTCTAGGTCTACTACACACTCAAAAAGAAAAAATAGTGTCGGTTGCAACAAATGAGAGGAGTGGCTAACGCACCAGACTGACCAAAATGTCATATCTTTATGATGCGAGTGAGTCGGGAATAGTTGGAGCACTTCACTGAAGAGGCCTTAAGGACGTCTCATGAGCACAAATTTGAGACGAGTGTCTTTATTTTTTGCACTCGCAGGCAGCTTCATATTTTTGCCCTAGACATCCAGGCTATTCAAAAATTGTCAAAGGTTCAATCGTCTCACAACTCGCCTAGTTCTAGTACTTGTCGAAAATATAACTTTTCTCATGTCATTCTCACAACTTCAAAGAAAAGTGTCTGAGGTTTCGCTCTGTCCCATCTATAGAACAACACCGAAAACTCGAACAGGCTCTATCTCGGGATAAAATGTGAATGAACCTCTGGTTCGCCATCTTCGTAGTTGCGTTTCTCGTGGCTCGTGCATCTCCTTACTAATCGCTTTTTTGGTTGCTCTCTCTCTCTCTCTCTATTCGGTCAACATCCTCGTCGTAACAATAACCTCTAAGCTGTTTACCATGATATATTAGTACGAACACTCGATCAAATCGGATGAGCTACTTCTTGACAATTTTTATTGGAACAACTCATAAATGCGTTGGTCCCCTCAACATCGTGCGTAAGCGTGCGCCGTCTCCCAACATCATAAATGCGTTGCTCAACATCGTGCGTAAACGTGCGTCTCTCAACATCATGGATGCCTCCATTTGTAGCTATTATATTGGATTCTAGATTTTCAGCTCTACTTGAAGATGCTTTGTGTTTGTTCTACAGTACTGAGAATCAATCTTGTCATGGAGTCATAGAAGAAGAAGACGTAACTCCTTGTTGAGCATAGTTCGTCGTGGAATAGACCACGCAGTTATAAGTTTATTACACGCACATGCAGAAGTGACTTCTTCAACATAATTCGTCGTGGAATAGACCACGCAGCTATAAGTATATTACACGCACATGCTCAGCATCAGCCCAGAAATGCTTCAACAATGTCCTAGCACACTCCGATGCTCCCACCAGACCAAGAGTGCCGCTGGCAAGGCAACAAAGAGAATGCAAGTCGTAATCAGGTAGAGAAGAAGCCTCGGATAAAAACCAAATCCACTGATGCCGTCATGCTTGCTTGGATAGTTGCTACACACAGTTGCGAGTTGTTCTTTCCTAGGACTCCGCGATGGCAATGTGTCCAAAAGACGTGTGATACCTTGTGTGAAAAGGTCAAGTTCATCATGGTGATGATCTAGTACTGCATCGTCTCTATTACGTCGTGGTGCTCTTTGATCTTCTCGCAGCGCATGCGCAGGAGGTCGTCCCTCTGAAGACATAGTTGTACCACTGGAAGTACTAGTTGTAGGTTCTTTTTCTTGTAATATCATCTTTTCTCGTAATATGAAACCAAAATATGTTATCATTATCATACTTTTCTACTTAAGAAACTTGATAATGATAACAGATTTTCTTTTCATACGTAAAGAATCTGCTAAAGATGGCCAGCCCAGAACGTTGTGTCGATTCACGTAGAAAACGTCGTAGTAATCTGCTTCAGGTCTACGGCTAGCATCCTCTTCGGTTACTTCTACAGCACGAATCACTAGGGGTACGAGCTCCTCTTCTGCTTGTTCGACCGCAACCTGCGCTTGTTGTGTTTGTGCTGCAGTTGTAACGGCCGCCGGTACGACTGGTCCTCGTGCCCCAGCAGCCGTCGTCTTTGTTCCAACACCAGCTCGTCTTTCCAGCTCTCGGCGCTTCTGTCTTTGCCTAGATTCAAACACCCTCAATGCCGGATAGATCTCCGCTTCCAAGTAGCCAGGAAGATCAGGACCTAGATGTACGGTCAGTTCGTGAGGCAGGAAGCCACGTCCATGGTCGAAATAGCCAGTCAGAGTTCTCACCCACCTCTGCTTCATTCCATAGCTCAGCTCGTCACTGTGCCAAACGTAGTCAACGAAGACACTACGAGCTTGCGTCGCTGTACCCCACAGGGTGTCGCGCTCCACTAACTCTTGATCTAGGTATTTTCGGTTCCCGCTCTCCTTCGACCAGGTGCGCATCGGAGTTACAGGACGAGGAGGGGGTAACGCATGAAAACTAGCAGCAAGGGATGCGAACCTGGAGCTTGTTGTTCCGTCTGGAGAAGATATTACAGGAGGTTGCCCTAGTAGTCCGTGAAGATTCCGAGAGTGGTCGCTGGTTGTAGCTGGAGGAGATGATACCGGAGCCCCCTGCCCTTCTACACTTGTTCTACGAGCTATAACGGACCTGCTAGAGGACGTTTCTCTTCGCATTTCATCAGGTGGACCACGTCGAGGACGTGCTCTAACTTCAGTTGTTGATGTTTCAAGTGGAGGTACAGGTCTGACTGTTGTTGTAGAAGTAGGCGTCACAGGAGGGACACCAGGCGCTCCGGGTCTCGAAATCGACACTCGTCTTCGTTGCTCTACGAATGGATTGACCATTGTATTTCTGCGATTTTTTGGAGTTGTAGAAGGAAGTACAGTCCCAGTCGTAGGGCCTCTTGCAGCACCAGTTGCAATACTGCTGCTACCTCCAGTCGTAGTGCCTCTTGCACCACCAGTTGCAATACTGCTACTACCTGGGGCTGTCGATGATGTACCTCCTAACAACAAAGAGGGGGGTGACGATGATCTACCAAGTGCTGGCACGACTGGGTACCCAGCACCAGGAGGAGCCTCGGCTCCTGTGCTACTTGGAAACGGTAGTTGCTCCTTTGAAGAACCCTCTGAGAGCCACAAAGCGGAACCCTCTGAGAGGCACAAAGCGGAACCCTCTGAGAGCCACAAAGCGGGGTCGTGATTGTCTCCTCTACTGCTGCCACAAAGCGGAGTGCACACACGACTAACAGAACTCGGTCGTCTCCTTGCTGTTCTCCGAACAAGGTCAGGATCTTGTAGTTGTGAGGAAGATCGAGCCCGACCAGAAGTTGTCAACACGAATGGTGATGCTCCTGCTGGTGTTGTACCGTCTGCAGTTGTAGTACCGCTACCGGTAGTTGTTGTACTACTGGATATTAAAGATGATGATTTGCGTTTTTCAGTAGGACCACCTGTGTCGATGAGCGTCCCAGTTCGAGGAACCAGAAAGCACTCATTGCGTTCGCGATTCACTACAGCATACCAACAGTAGAATCTGTGAGCACGTTGCGAAGGTGAGGACACTGCCTGTGCTCGCTGTGATCTCTGAAGTTGAAGTGCCGCAGGAGAGGGACTTTCCCTCCAGGTAGCGCGACACATCTGCTGACAAAAGTACGCGGCTAAAAGCCGTTCCATCTGGCTGAGGGTGTTGTAGTCTTTGTCCTCCTGTTGCGACCTCCTCCATGTTGTTGTTGTTGACCCCTCAGCACCTTGAAATAGGAACTTCGTCGATATCTTCACCACCGCAGTGGCTATCGTGCTCGCTGCTGAGCCTCCTGAGCGCTCTAGTTCCGCTTGCATGAAATTAGCCACTTGTTCGTGAGTCTGCAATGCTGGAGCAGAGGGCTCCCTCTGTTCGAGTACTTTCATAAGAGAGGAATCTCTACGGAGCAACCGTGGTGCTGAAGAAGATGGCGCGTTGGCGCCCCCGTCCGGCAGTATAGCTTCAGAACTACGAAGTAGATGCCGTATTAATCCTGCCCTTCGGACCACTGCGTCAGCTGAGTTGTCTGCTCTAGGTCCTCCACTGGGTGGTGTCTGGACGACCAGAGTATCTTCACCCGCTCCTGTCGTAGGTTTACTCCTTGTCCTTGGTGGACGAGAAGGAATTCTGTTTCCGTTGGATTCATCCTCCTTGCCCAGTAAACTTAATCGTTCCCCCAATTCCCCATCCTGGACGGCGTCCCACAGTGACGTCCCTACGCGAGTTATTAGAGCTCCTGTCCTCCGTAATTCATCTAGTTCTACCAGCACCCTGTAATTTTTTTTACTAATTCATCTCATTTGTTCTCAAGAAGTGTATCCTTGTTGAAAAGTATGTTGCATGGGGGAGGAGCATTCGTCCCTTAGAGTCGATGCTCCTCCATACGTTTCAAGGATCATGCGTCCAAAGATGTACTATTAGGTACAGCCTTAAAGTTAGAAGACCCGCTGCTGGCGTCTGGCAGCCACTGGCTACCCCATCCTCGCAGAAAGAACCTCCACGTTGCAAGCGCATGGACGAATTTCGCCGCATTATTGATGGAGTCCTGGTGGTGCTTCCCAGAAGGTTGTTGCTCGGTGCAGAAGTAGAAGGAGAAGTAGATCCTGATCCTCCACCGGCTCCACCTGCGCCTGAAGAATTCCTACTTGTTGCTTGCGCTTGGTCTTGCAGGATTTTTGAACTAATTCCACCCCAACGGGTTTCGACACTAGCATGCTGCGACTGACGGACCGCGAAAACGTCTACCTCGAGATAGCCGTTGCCGTTTCGTTGAAGATGTTGACCATTTGCGAGATCCACGTCCCTGAAAATACCAGTACTACGATGTCGTAAAATGAACTCTTTCAATGCTTTAGGCAAAACCCGTTCTGCAAAGTTGGTTGCTGCAGTAATGATCGGACTGTTACCTCCCGAGAAAACACGCTCGCGCTCAGGCTGCTGCAGATTGCTTTCGCTTCCTCGACGTGTAGTTTCTGGTCGTCGTCGTTTTTCTTCCATATGCCCGAGTTGTAGTTTATCTGGCTTTTGCTGGTCTTGAACTACCGGATTTGCCCCATCCTCGACTGAAGGAGTGCTATCGGAGATCTGTCTCGATTCAGGCAATGATCTCAAACTCGTCACAGAACCAAAGCGGCGCGATGAGCGGCGAAGTGTCATCGGCGGCAGCTCCTGAAAACTGTCCTTCACGTCTTCCTCAGAAGGTGCTGACTTGTTCTGCTCTTCGATGAGCAGGTGAGGCGTTCGTGCTGATGGTACACTGATCATGTCCACGACATCCGGGTCTTGAGGAGCACCAGTATTCGCAGCAGTGCTAACATCATCTTTATCAGGCGACGTCTCAACATCAAGGAAAGGTGGAGACGGCGCACGCTGCTGGCAATGTAATGACTCATTAGTGACTACTTGCAAAGAAGAAGATCTACCAGGTGAAGGTGAAGGAGTAGGGCTTGGCCTATTGGGAGCATCCCGGATGAAGGCAACTTTTGGCACTGGTGGTGAACGTGTGACTCCTTCTTGTGCTTGCTCAACAGATGGGCCCAGCCCTTGGAATCGCTCATCAATATACTCACTGTGGTTCTTCAATCTCGTACCCCCCGCATGGCGAGAGTGAGAGTCTTCGTCCACGACCCCCCGCGAAGTAGACGACGCAGCTGCCCCAAACTCTACACGTCTTACACTACGCGGTACGGAAGTCCACGATGCAAAGGAAGTGGAAGATGACGCAAATTCTAAGAATCGCGCGTCTGCCTTAAGCGATGACCTGCGACGCAGCTTCAGGTCAACTCGACCAGCAGGCTGTTGAGAAGGGCTTGCGGCCCCCGCTGGAGTCGGCCTAGAAGAAGACAATGCGGCTGAAGGGGTTGTGGATGCTTCCCTTGTTTGGGTTCTATGTGGTTGTTCTTCTATCGATGCTGTGATGTCGGTGTTCGGGCCAGCAGCTGCTCTTTCGCCAGTTTCTCTCATATTAGCAGGGACTGAAAGTTGGCATCTCTAGCTGCTCGCATTCGCATATCTGTGGCTTTCCTACTTGAAGAAGACACAGAGACGCGCATAGAGATGTCAACTCCCAAGCCGTAATCATAGTCGTTTTGGAAGGTAGAGGTAGTCGTGGTCGGGTTCTTGCAGTTGCACTTCTAGTAGATGAAGATGATAACTCTAAGAAGTCTCTCATACTACAAGTAGGAGCGCGGGTCTGCAGGTTGACTGGACTCGAGTAAGAGCGAACGTTCTCTTCTCCCATGGAACTTGCACCTCCTGCTTCTGTCCGTTCCAGAGGTCGTCCGATTACTCTTCTATCCTCTCCTTGATCAATCGGCTCATCCTGGCCTTGTCTTCCGGGAACTGCGTTGGTCAAGATGAACGAACCCTCTTCACGTGGAACTTGCGTCGAGGGCTGCTGCGCGTGGAGATCAATGTTATCTTTATGCCTGGGAGGACTTCTACTTTCCGCCATCAGTTTCCCAATGTCTATTCGTATGGGTGTCACGTACACAGAGTCTTCCGCTCTCACATGGACTTTCCACTTAAAGTGCCTGTTGTTCTTGGACAAGGAAGCGCCACTGGTGCTGCTCGATGTTTTCGCACGACCTCCACTACTCTTTCTTATCTCAGTTATTTTAGCTTTTACTTGAGCCCCCTTCAAACTCGCCTGCTGAAACCACGCTCGTTCTGCTTTCACTTCAGGATTGCGCGTTAGCATGCCGAGATGGGAGAAGCATTTGACCAAGGGAGACGTCTCTGAGTATCGCCAACTATGTTCGTTATCCACGTTGAGGGCCATGAGCATATTCACAGGCGTATTCGCAAGAAAAAACAACGAAAAGGGCAAAAACAGGCCAAGCAAAAGGGCAAGTCTTGGAACACTAGAGGAGGTGCCGCCATTCCAAGACTTGATCGTCCTCGTCACTTGGCGAGCAGCTTCATCGTTTCGTAAAAATCTTGATCTTCCTCTACAGAAAAACAGCAGTTGCTGCCGACTCGTGCCTCCATCGGAATGAGATAGCGCGACAGCCGCCGCAAGACACGCAAATGCGTAGAAGAACGAAGACACGCCTGCCGTGGCCATATGAGATCGATGGCTGTGCTCTTCAGTATCCAGCTGAAGCTTGTAGAGCGTTTTCCTCGTAGTCTGAGGTCTGTGTGGGTCAACGAAGAGCAAGGAAAAATAGCTCACAGTTCCCAATACCATCGCCGCCAGCACCAGCATTCCTATGCGGAGCAATCGAAACTTTGAAAAGAGATCTCCGCTAGGCCTGACAGGAGAAAGATAAACACGACTGGAGGGAGACTCAAAACATGATGTTCCATCTGGTGGAGAGCAGTCTTCAGGCCCTTGTTCAGGTCGAAGAAGTCGTGAATGAATACTAGAGGACGGCTTCTGCGAGCTACTTCTACGGTCCTTCTTTTTCGCGAGAAGTGGTGATGCTACAACAACTGCACCAGAGCAAGGAGTATTCTCGTGACGATCATCGTCAATTTGAAGGTCAGACGAGCCTTCCCCTGCAGCAGCATTCTTGTGACGATCGTCGTCAATTTGATGAAGGTCCTCGACTAGTTGTACTCCATGATCTTCACGCTCGAGCTCCTCGACGCCGTCGCTCACAGGTTTTGCCAATATCATCAGCATCAAAGCTCCAGGGCTACAGACCAGGACTTCAAAAAGCAGGCACATTGTGAAGTGCCATTTTCCAAGTTCAACACCATTGATTACCGAAAAGACGCAAGCAACTGCACCAACTACTAGGCCATACTCGAAGAGGCTCCCACTTACGGCTAAACAGCATCTGCCTTGTTTTGCGAGTTCACAAAGGGCAAAGAGGGAATCAGAAGCATCATGGCTGCTGAAACTAGCTACTAGAGATTTTTTTCGAGACTCGGAAGCTGCTGCGGAGGAGCGCATAGAAGCTGCGGAAGCAGTCGTGGTTGAAGGAGAAGTTGTGGCTGCACTGGAATCAGCTTTGGCATTTTTTTGTCGTTCATCAGTTTTTTTACCGTTTTCCTCATCTGCAACCAATGTAGAAGAGCCCTTATTTAGACCCTCTTTCGCTTGTGAAGGACGTGGCGGCATCAAAGCCAGCCCAGCGTGCGCCGCACGCAGCGCAGCACAGTCATTAGAGATAGGTTTTTGGTGCTCGCTTACCCCGCTGGTTATGCCTTTCTCCCTTAGGAGAGGCATAAAAAGCGGTAAGAAAAGCACCTTTAACCTACCCTTAAAGTCATTCCCACCGTCTCCACACATTCCTACAGTGTGACCACGATTCTGCCAGTGGCGAATGATACTAACTTTGCCACCAGGCGTCATGCGCGCGAAGACCACCACACGGGGTAGGATTTTCTCAAGTAGTTCTGGGTCTCGTTCTTGGAGTAAACGATAAGCGGCTTCGGTAAGGCAGAAAACGTACCTCCGATTTGCTCTGCTTGATGTCTTAGTGGAGCTCGATCCGCTGGCGTTTTTATGTTGAAGCCCTTGTGTAGTTACAGAAGAGTGCAGTTGGACCACATGCTCTTCTAACCGCAAGTCTTGCTCCAAAGCGTTTTTTGCATTCGAAGAGGCAAAGCCGAAGTTAAACTCGGAAAACAAGACAGCTCGCTCCGACGCTTTCTGAGGATGGAGGGTTCTCATTGAGTGCACTCCTCGTGATGCTGAAGTAGGGGACGAAGTGGACACACCACTGCCATACTTCATCAGAGCAGAACTTTTGTACCAGCCTAGTGTGGCCACATAGCCGCAGCTGTTTCTTCTTCGTGCTTGGAGGTCTTGTCCAACTGTTCTAGTCAACTTTTGATGATGTTCGGCGTTACGTGGAGGTTGCTTTCTTTCTTTGCTAGCTTGAAGATCATCTTCCACTGATTCTTCATCCCCTACATCGCCTTCTACTACGACTACCGGTGCCAATAAAGCTTCCCACACTTGTCTCGTATTTTTGGTGACGATATCAGCGTCAACATATTCCCATGAGAGAGTTGCTGCAGACTGAGAAGTATCCCACTCTGAGACGTCACCGGCCAAGTAGTAAGTTGTCATTGCTGGAGCGTCGAGATTCATTTTGGAAGGCTCATCTTCTTCCGCTTGAAGTAGGTATTGCCTGTCGTCTGGCACTTCACCTTCAACGCGATCCTTATCAGAAGATTTGTTCTTGTCTGCGTCATTGTCATCATACATCATGATCTGATCTTCACAGCTTTCTGCTGCTTCACCATTTTGTACTTGCTGTAGTTGAGCATTACTGCTCCTTTTCTCTGCGCTTCTAACGTCTTTTCCCTCGTCACATGAAATCAACGAAACCCGCCGTGCCACATGCAACGCTGTGTAAAGGTTGTCACCGGTTACGATGATTGGAGCTATCCCACCTTGTCTCAGAACCCGAAGCGCCGCAGCTGAGTCCGGCTTGACGTCGTTTCTGAAGTAAAGGAGTCCTAAGAAAGTTAGATCACATTCCAAAGCGTCTCTGCTCTTCAGAAGTTCTTGTCCACTACGTCGACCAATCATTTCGTGACCATTTGGAGCAGGAGAGGGACTATTCACCGGCTGCATGGAGCAGCTATGAAGATGAAGGTAATCGCAAGCCCTGCTTTCCCCATTTACATCTACTACATCTGCCTGTTCTGGTGCCAACATCGAGTCTTCATCTAGTCTCCGATACGCCAGAGCGATAACGTAGTAGCCCTCTATAGACTTTCCTTTACTCCGACCTTGGGCATCTACGGGGATCGTGTGTGGCCGACAACGCTTAGCGACAGCTTCATAGGAACCTTTGGTGAAGAGTAGCACGTTCTGATCTACTGTGTGTTTGTTTGTGTTGCCCACCTGCTGATCATCATCTTTGAAATCCTCCTCCACGCCCAATGGACAGCGCACCACAACAGACTGCAGTTGTCTACTTTGGTCGAATTCAAACTGGCGCGTCGTCTCCATGATCACCTTGCCTGTCTTTGAATCAACGTATTCAACACTACTACCAGCACTAGAACTGGGATTGTCGTTTTGCTCATTGATGTGATGGTTCTTCACGTCTTCTACTTCTAAGCGAGCAGAAGGTGGAGAAGAGTCAGGTCGTGGTCGTGACGTGGTACAAGACGAGGGTGGACTTCCTGAAGATGATGCTTGAGTATTTCTACTCCTACTGCTGTCAGAGGCCGAACTACAACCCGAGGTACGAAACTCCAAACCGTATTTCCTTTTGGCAGCTGACAGCATTTCCACTTCGACACTATTTCCATGCAACTCGCCGTCGTCAGTCTGCGTCACTGTATGACACGTAGCGACGGCCATTTGATGGAGTGCGAGTCCTCCCGAAAAGAAGCAAGGTGGTCTACTTGTTCCTGGTATATAAGCAGGATCCTGAACTACGTGATGATCATCGTGGTGAAAGGAGCAAGTGTCTGGAAGAAAACTGGAGGGCGGTTGCATGTAGTTGTTGGGGGATCCCATCATTAATATGTTATTTTGCTTGACGTGACGGTAACCACTTCGATGGACCTTGTTCGCGTCAGATATGAAACAATTCTCGCCCTGCTCGAAGGTGGACCTTCTTCGTGTACGTCCTCCCCCAAGCGGAGTTGACAGGAAACATGATGTTGACGTTTTCATCCTCGTCGCAGATTTATTCAACAATTTTTGCTCGATCAAGTCTAAATTGTAGTTGTGATGTTCTTGTACCAGAACTACTGCTCCGCTAGATACAACTGGGGTACTCGGCGGACACGGACCTTCTTCGCTTGTAGAGGTTGTGCTTCGCGTGCTCGTCTCATCTTGGAGATGACAACTAGTCATACTACTTCTTGATGTCCTCGAGAAGACAGGAGGAACAATTGTTGTAGTAGAATGAAGATCTGCTTCACTGTGCTGTTTTTCAAGAAGCGCAGTGGTCTCTCCTCTTGATGACGGTGACATACGAGAGAAGCGCGGCCCACCTGGAAGAACAGGAGACGTCGAGATGAAATCTAGGTCGTTCGTGGTCCCCGCGTCGCGTCCAAGAGGAGGAAGAGCGGAGCTGCTTCTACACGAAGGACCCTCCACAACATCCACAGAGTGCAACTTCAGTGAGCTTTCCGTTATCGTTCCCGTCTTATCCAAACACTGGACATCAACCTCTCCCGCCATAAGGAGTTTGTGCAGCTCCAACGCTTTGATGTTTCTTTTCGCGAGCCGTTGCGCGGCCAGACGCTGCGCCATCATGAGACCAGCGATGGTGGCTGGATTGCACATCAAATACGGCAACCGCAATGCGTCCATAAAAGCGACTACCGTGTTCTGGAATAGCTGAAGAAGGTAGAATTAGAAAGCGACTACCGTGTTCTGGAATAGCTGAAGAAGGTAGAATTGGAATTTGGATTTGGAAAGACTAGAAGTAAAGAATCTTCATACTTGTTGCAGCTGCTGTAGTAGTAGACCAAAGGAATGAAGGACGCACTCATTGATCAAACCAGATGAAGAAGTAAGACGAGTAAGAAAATGAAAGAGAACAAAGCCAGGATCATGATTGAAAAAAAGTACATTAAGTGATAGAAGGAGCAGAAACGACCACCGGACAAGAACTACCAAGAGTTTCAAAACAAGTACATGTCTAGGTTTGAAGCAGACTTCTGGTATGGCAGCCAGGATCGCGAGGCACAATGCTGCAGTAGCCAGCACGTAGAGAAACTGGTCTTTGAACTTGTAGCGCAGGGGTAAAGGAAACAGAATCTTGCGCACTGTTTGTCCAGCTACTGTATGGGTACCAGTGTGGATCACTAGAGCGATGGCTCCTATTTTTTGTCGCGGATCCACGCTGGGTATAGCTTTGCTGCGCCATTCTAATTGATCTGGCAACAAGCAACTAGTGGCCGCTGTAGTACTAGCAGTAGCAGAGTTCTTTTTGCCCCCTGGACATGTTAGTTTCTTGCCTTTACCAGCACGTATAGTACATGACGTTGATGATGCAGATGAAGATGAACAGGAAGATCTCGTCCAACCTGTTGTGCTCGACGCTGAAACTGCTACTTGCGCGTTCTTGCCTTCTGGTGTGTTTAACTTTAATGCTGATGCTAATCCATCTTTGCCGCTGGTGCCATCTGCGTGAAGTCCACCCGCTTTACTACTGTCTGCCCGCCCGTTCATTTCTCCAGCTCCTTGTTCGTGAGCAGATGATGAACGGCTCCCCTTTATTCCACCAACCACCTTCTGATAAAACCCCTTACAAGCTCGCTTCAGAAACGGACTACATGTGTGCACGGACCGTCCGTCGTGTGCCGCGTTTCTAGAGCAGATAATTTGTGTGCCGCAGTACAGCACATGTTTCTTCCCGTGTTTTTGGAGGTCTAAAGTTTCTGCACTTGCGAGTTCTAGAGGCATTTTCGAAATAGGCATCGGCTCTCCCGTCAGATCTGCTTCATTCATGACGACACTGCCCTGTAAGAGCACGCAGTCACATGGGATGGCGCCACGATTGTTAGAGACGATGGTCGATACGGATACCTATGCCTGTACTAGCCGTACCCGTAGCGCTCGCGTACTTCCAAAATTGATATGCATACTTACAGGTTTGTATCATCTTGCTTACTGTATGCTTGATGGAGTTGGTAGCCACGAGTCAGTCATCAAATAAGATGATGAATTAGTTTTACTTGTAGCTAGTACATCTACATGTACATCAGTGATGATCTTCAACCATAACATCCGGCACCTCGAAAATATCACCGACGACCAAATCTCGCGAGTCTAGAGCGAAGAGCATATCGCTAGACTCGTCCTCCCACGTGCGCTCTAGTTCCGCTTCGACGTCTGATAATGCCGATGCTTCGTCGTCCATATCATCTGCGTCCAGCATCAAGTTAGGGGTTGAAAGTTGGCACCTCTAGAAGCTCGCATATCTATGCGCATGGCTTTCGCTTTCCTACTGGGAGAAGCCATAGAGATGCGCATAGAGATGTCAACTTCCAACCCTTAATCAAGGGGAAGTCTTCTTCTTGGAAATCGTCGTCCATATCATCTGCGTCCAACATCAAGGGGAAGTCTTCTTCTTGGAAATCTTCTTGCTGCTCTATCTTTTGTGCTAGTTGGTTCCGATGCTGGCGGTGATAGTCCCGGCTACCAAGGTGACGTCTCTTATTCAGGGTTGCAACCTTTGTGGATACGACCTTGTTGGAGCGGAGTGCATCTCGTAGCTTCATCTCGTCCCTACTTGTTCTCCTAGTTGCGCTCCTAGAAGAGGTAGCGTTCCTACTTCCGGCTTTCTTCACAGGAGAAGCAGGAGGTCCTCCAGGAGTTCCGGCTTTCTTCACAGGAGAAGCAGGAGCTCCTCCAATACTGCTTCTCCCTTGATGAAGACGTGTCGTGGTGCCTGCCTTTGGAATCCGTTTTGCCGCGCCGTTGTGACTCTTCATCTCTCTTTCGTCTTGTTCATATGATTTATCTGTGCTCAGTGCTGAACGAGCGGCGTCTACTTCGATGTCTTCGACATTTATAGCGCTGGTGGATTTCGCATTCGTTGCCGCGACGCCAGAGCCAGATGAGGAAGGAGCTTTATTTCCCTGCCCGACTATAATTCGTCTCTGTCTCAAAACCCGCACGGGCTGATGGGCAATTTGTGCGCTAGCACGCAGATCGTCAAGTGCCTGCTTCTTCGATGCAGCTACGTACAGGATTTGTAAAATGTTGAGAATCAAAGGCAACAGCACCACAGCCGGTTTAAAGTTGAACGCTGACTGCAACACTCGGAAAAGCAACCAGATATTCAACGGCAGCACTAGTTCCCTACCGACGAAGACCGAAAAGGTCGTCGCGGATATTCGGATATCGTTGTGTCCAAACAGTGTCAAATTGTGTGTCACTTCCGCAAAAGTGAGCGGGCCACTAGTAGCTAGTTCGTAAAGAGGCCGATCTAGGAGTGCGTTTGGCGCTGGTGAAAAAGCTCGACTTGAAACTCGTCTTGATGTTAACGCTAGATGAAGTTTTTCACTATGATCCACTAGAACATGGGATAGTGATAAACTAGTCTTAATGATGGATCGTAGTATAACGTTTCGCCATGAAAGACGATGGCGTTCTTCCGTAGACCTGCTTGCCGGCAGCCGAAGTTTTTCCGACCGCGGATCAGAGCAACCTCAGGCGGTTGCTCGCTAAAACTCACATGACTCGTTCTTCCTGCGGTTCTTCTGAAAAACTGTTCCTGTCTGGACGTTTCGCCTGCTTGGTCTGTCGTTCCATGATACCCATCGTGATTGTCGCGAACATTGACGGTATTTTCCGAGTCTTCCATGAGCATATTACTTCCTGTTTTGGAAGTTTTGCCTTTCCATCCTCTAGGCGGAGTAGGCGGCCGTGGTTTGGGCACATCACTTTCACCGTCTTCATTTAGTCGCGGCGGCAACAAAACAGGCGTCATTGACCGCGACCGTGCCGTTTTCAGGATGCTGAGACGACGTTGTAATTTCATCTCTTCCTGAAGATTATGCTGGAGTATTAAAGCGCAGCACTCATGGGTCACTGACTATGAACGGAAGAGGCCCCCTTCAAAGCTCTCCCCTTTCTCTTCGTTTTCTCCTGAGTTCTCATGGGGTCGCCTCTTCGATCTCAGTGACCAACCCCAATGACCATTGAAAGTTGAGCCTTAAGAGTAGACACGATGATGAGCCAGAGCGTCCGTCGACGAGGGAGGAAGAACTACTGAGAGGACTCTCTCCTTGGCGAAGAGAGGAAAAGCTAAACCGTCGTGGAAGATGTGATGCTCTGACTGGGCTGTCCTCCCTGTCTTTCATTATCGACAACCTGGATCCAAGCGGAGAACAAGGAGGTCTAAGTCTATCCATTCTGTTGAAGATGTCCTCGTCATTGGCGAAAGGAGGCTCTACTTGTCGCAGCGCATCTTCGTGCGAGCAAGTCCCTCCTTCCAGTCCATGATCCAGTGTTTTCGTTCCGAGACAAGTCGGATCAGCATCAACGTCGTGAATCTCTAGACGGAAGGAAATTCTATCATCCTCCGGAGGATCACAACCGTCTTGCAGCTCTTCCATCGATGATCTTGACATAGAGGCATTCGAATCGCAACTGGCTCGTCTATGGCGATTTCTTTCACTAGTACCCGTACCCCTGTTCGAAGAAATCGATAAAGAATCGACGTGATAAAGACCACATGATCGAGATTGAGGCGTTTTATTTCGAATAGGAGAAGGAGATGCAGAAGCAGCTTCTCTACTAAAACTTGTCCTAGCTCCTCCACCCCACGTTGTCCACTTACGACTCGACGCTGGCGCTGTGGATTTCGGACCACCCTGGAGAGTTCTGACGGATTCCGAGTCGCGCACTAGAATCTTACGCACCGTACAGTTTTCCAAGACGGTACGGGAAACGACGACTGTTTTTGGTGAAGAGGGCAGGTCTCCTAGAGAAGGTTCCTGCAAAAACCGGCTCCACCAGTTCATCGTGGTGGGAGTAGAGTTTTGTATGCACTGGCGCGGCGTTGGCGTTGTGCCACTAGCATGGCGCAGTTGACGAGATTTCTCATGTAGAAGAGGCCCATGACATGTTCTTTCTCGCTGTCCTTCCTCGGCGGTAGAAGTACTCGCAGGATCTAACAGATATGGAGGTGACTTACAACCCGCTTCGTCGCCTGCTGCTACTTCCGCTTTCTCTATGTCTTCCACAGCTTCATCAGGCTCCTCAGCGAGCAGTATTGCTGAATGGCTTTTTTCTGCCAGTCTTGTGAGAGTACCCATAAAAAACGGCCCGCGAGGACTTGTTCCATCCCCGTCACCCTCATCCACGTTGTAGTCAATAACTACGCTAGGCTGTTGATCACCAATACCAACTCTACAACGCTTTACTTCAGGAGACTCATCTTTTTGATGCACGGAAGGTCCCCTGGTCTCGGTTTCGTCTTCTGCTGCTGAAGGCTCCTGTTCGGCTTGTGTTCCGACGAGACGCTTTCTCACAGGAGCCGCAGCAAGGGCATTTTGTTCGTCATCGCCGTTAACAGCATTTTTGGCTTCATTCGCAGGCACGCGACAATCGTGCTTTTCTCCCTGTCTCTTCACTCTCCTCCAAAATCGTGCCATCCACGACATACTAATCAAGTCCTCCATGAAAAAATACCCTTGGATTTGCTGAGAAAACTCTTCAAGGTAGTCCTTTTGTTTCAGTAGTGCTGCATCACAGTCGACGAGATATTCTTCGATCGACACGAAAACCGCTCCACAGAGTGGTACTTCACGGTAAAAGAAGTTGCGGAATAGCCTTCTCTTTTGCAAAAACAACATCCAAGCACCTAGAACCGGAAAAAAGAAGACCAGAAACAAGGCTTTCAGGTTAATTTTTTCAACCAAAGTCTGCTCTCCGCTGTTGCCGTTATCGTGGACCAAGTGCGCTAATTCGATAATTTGCTCGACGAAAGGCGTGGTCCCTTTGCCTATTTCTTTACGTAAGAAGGTGACAGCACCAAGTGCTCCTCCTCGTGATGTGGTCATACCTCGACAACTGCTTGGATCATGAACTACAGGTTGATCCTGACTATCTTCACAACTATGTCCTCCATCCATTTGTAGATGACCAAGCCCTTCCGCTGGTAGAGGTCGTATTTCTGTAGGCCTACCTGCTGCTCCTCCAGTTCGTCCAACATTTTTCTCATTCATCTTGTTTTGAGAAGTACCTCCGCCAACATGTTCTTGACAAGTTGAACGACCGTGGTCTTGTTCATGTTGATGTTGTAGTTCATGCAGCTGAGCAGTCCTTTTATTGATGTAATCGTTCAACGCCGCTCGATCGTTTTTCCACGAGGTCCTAAAATCCATGCCGAATAGGTCTTCGGTCAACCACGTGAATTGCCTTGGATAGTACTTCGGCAAAAAGCACAAGACCAAGACCATAGAAGCTAGAACCAGTATTAGAAGGAGCCTGCTCATCTTGATGTTTATGCTAGCTTCCCCCTGTGACTAATAGTTACAATTTTTATGCCTTTCATCTCCCATGAAGGGAGTCAAAACTAAGAACTCTAGTTCTAACATCACCAGCGGGAATGCTAAGAACCTACCCTTAACAGTAACAATAGCCATGCTTTGTGCAAGAGGTTCCCTACTCGACATGGAGCATAGCCAGCTTGACAGATAACTTGTACTCTAACTTGCTGGTTTCTGCCCATTTCAACTTCCTCTGCGGAGACTGCGACGCGCGTGACTCGAGCAGGTACATTCGTTATGGACGGCGCCAAAGAGGTCGCACCCGCACGACTACCTGCGCCATTTATTAACTCCTTCTTGATCGTAGTTGTTGTAGGATCGCCAGTGTCCTCCACTCCCCTTTTCACGACTCGCTGAGGAGGCAGTCCCTTGCCGTTCTTGCCCTTCTTCTTTTCGTTAGAAACGACGGCTGCTCCAGGACTTGTTTCAGGCTTGTGCAACCTTCTTTGATGACGTTGCCTGAAGTACAGCCATGTTGCCACACTGAGAACCAGAATGTAGACGTAAAAAAACACAAACCCAGGTGCCGAAAAACTCAAGTGACAGGGCACGACCAGGTCCTGCTCCTCCTCGTCTATCATATTGTTGTTGTCCTCCATGATGGCGGCTCCTGTGGACCACGACTCTCGGTTGTAGATTCCTTGTCCACGTCGAAACTAGCCACCTCTACACGATCCACCTTGGGCGAAGATGGAATACAGGGCGCTAAAGAATGATAGCGCCCGAAATCCTGGACGAGTGCCCCCCTCGTCCCATCTTCTTCATCAGCTTCAGCACAAATCAACACAGAAAATAGAAATGGTGCGAAAAAAACATTATCAACATTTTTAAAGGAACAAGTGTATCAAGGTACAAACGTAGAAATATAGAGACGCCTATTGCCTAGTAGTAGCAACGAACAAACAAGTTTTTAGAACGGGACCATCTTCAATCAGAATCATGATCACCACGACCTCATCTTCATGATGTCGAACTAGATTTGCTCCAGGAAGATCCGGACCATCCGTGTATTTTTGACACTACAGCTACATGATGTAGTCAAGGTAGTGGTAGTGGACCACAGGAGGCCGATATAGAAGGAAACAAGATCGTATGATCAAGCGCAGTTAGTGGTTTGCAGCTGCAGCTGGTGCACAATCGCATCCATCCACGAAGATCACGAACACAAGAAAATCCCGTTTTACCACATTGACTCAAAGACACTTCTGAGTTATGATCTAAGTATAAAGCAATCAAAATCAAGTAGAATAAAGTAGTCGTAGCGCAAATGCATTTAGAGTCTACCTGTACTAGTCGCAGCCCCATATTCATCAGGTGAGGGAGAGGTGTGCTCTTTGATAAATGCGCGCAACACGAAGTTTCTATGTGTCCGATACAGCAGTGTGCCTGCATAAGCACTAAAACCGTCACATGTAGCCGCAATCAGATACCATGAGGAAATAGTATTCATCCAGGGTTGGAAATCGTGGTTAGATTGTGAGTCCTCGCTATTCCACCTATTGTTGTTAAGGTGATTGTATGCGTGTGCGTCTGCTTCTCCAGCTGCTCCTCCTGATGGTTGCGCTGTTGTATTTGAAGACGTCGTTGGTGGAGGAGGTGATATTATTCTATCAGAGCTGGTTGAGGTTGATGTTATTCTATCAGAGCTCACCCGCCTCCACGATTCCGGTACTAACAGTAAGAAGAGATATTTGCCACCCCTAACAAGGTGCTCGCCAATGGTGTAGGCGTAGCTAAGGGAGCTCAGCTCTAACCACGACAGGAACAAAATTGCTGCAACGAAGCCGCTGCAGACTCCTGAGTATCGCGCTAAGTCTACGTGAAAGCCCAACACCAGCGACAGCGCAGCCAATAAGGTCGCTATCCACTGCAAGGCGATTAGAGCAGCTCACCGTATAATCGTCCATCATCTTGTTGAGAGCCATTGCGCTTCCCTACTTTTCATCTCCTTGAGGACGAAAGTCCATTTGGGAAGATCGGGGATGCTTCTTCAGAAGATGGATCTTCATACATTCATTAGGGTCGACCCCACAAGCCTCGTTTCATTAGGGACATTAGGGCCTTAATATGATAAAGCCTGACGAATAATTGTAACATCAAGCGGCCTTAAGACGACGAGGAACACAACATGCTGCTGCTGCTCCAATGCAGGTGTCCCGCGAATAATGTCCTGTTCCGGATAGAGGTAAAAACGCCAAGAGAACAACGAATGTGAGAGGAGTGAAACGACGAAGCTCACAACAAGCAAGCGTGGAGGTGTAGCCTTGGAACTGCCATATTCTCGGGTTTTGTATATCATCTTTTCCTCGTCGTTCCAAGAAGAAGTTTTTTTCTTGTTCTTGTAGTTGTTGATATTCTTGCATGCTGTACCCTACTAGTAACTTCGAAGATTCTGTGCTGAGGGAGGCACGACTGGCGCTACCAACTGCAGAGTCCATGATCTTCATGTGAAGAGCACATTTTCCCTTAGAATCTGTATACATCTGAATCTGTAACAGGACACCTCCTTTATTTGTCCTTGATGCGGTTCTTACGGCATGGAGACCCCTATTACAGACCCCGCAATTACTTGGAGGATCACAAACAGGCTGAGGAGCTGTGTCTTTAGGCTTTGCCACTTGCATGCCGCAGTAGGGAGATGGGAGGTGGAGCAGGGTATCATCTAAATCACTCGTGATCCTCCTGGGAGGAGAGATCGAGATGTCAACAACATCATCGTCCAACACCAGGAGTCATGTCAACATTTGTGTGCGTATGTGCGTATGCGAGCAGCGCTTCATAATAATGAGCCTGAACAAGATGGAAAGTTTAGACGGATTAATGATTGTAATTCTTCAACATCAACAAGGAAGATGGTTCTTCCTTTGGTCTTCATCGAAATCACTAACAAAACTTGTAGACACATCGAGGTTGAGGTCGTCCGCCTAAGGCTTGCGATGTAAATCACAGGATGCACCTCACTTGTTTTGTGAAAAGAAACAGGGAGGTCTAGGATCGAGGTTTAGGACCGTTGCAAATCATTAAAATGTGTGAAGTCATTATGTGTTGCAAGTCAGTTCGAGTTCGAGTTGAGTTTGTTGAAGACTTCACTGATATTTTTCCTTTTTATTTTTCAAAGATCTAAATTATTGCGTAACCGAGAGTGATCAAAAAAGGCTTTTTGTCGTTGTAAGTCAAATTATGCTACCACCTCATGTGATGTTGTGCCACTTCAAACATCACCATGTTTTGCGTCATATTCATGCTTATTAATATTCACCTTTTGGTACATATCTTCATAGTGCTTGATATCCTGCTGAGCGTGGTGTTCAACAATCCTTCTTCTACATCTCGAACCCTTATAACGCTAGAACAAGATGTCGACCTCTCCTCAACATCTTCTGCTACGTTTAGTACTAGCACTAATTTCTAAAGAATAAAAAGTAGAAGTACAACTTCAACTTAGTTTAGTACTAGCACTAATTTCTAAAGAAGTAGAAGTACTTCAACAACTTAGAAGTTCATCATCATCCACGTCATCTAAAGAAGTAGAAGTACTACTTCAACAACGTAGAAGTACTACTTCATCGTCCACGTCATCATCCACGTCAGGCGACTTCCTCAGACGAACAACAACCAAAACACGGTCTCGCCAATATTCAGTGTTGCATGCCACCACTCGTTGGGGAGCCACAAAGCCTCATTTGTTTCCTGGGTACACATGCGGATGCGCGACTGCGGATTTTCATCCTCGCGATCGTGAAACCAGTTGAAGGAACTCCTGCCTTAGAGGGGGAAATCGAGGAGGATGGAGGAATGTTGAGAACCTCCTGCTTCGGATTGCAAGATTCGGATTTTTGCAGTTGTGAGTAAAGTAAGACGAGAGAAAATGAAAGATCAATTTTTGAATACCTAGGTCTAGGAGGTGGTGTCACGTGAACAGTGTGAATTGATGATTTCTTATCTTCAGTTTCAGGTCATCATCATCGATCATGTCTCATCTCCAAGTCCTGCTCTACTACAGCACTTGGAAGATCTGAATTGATTAGGCATAATTTTCCGGATCGAACGGCGGACTGTTGTCGGCCATCAAATCCGCAGTGGTGATAGCGCCGATTGGCTTAGAGGATGTAGCAAATTTTTGCAGTTCGGCTTTCAGTTCATCAAGTCCAAATAAATCATCCGCCATCTTGCTCCCACGTTCTTTGTTCTTCTTCTTGATGTTCTTGTTGTAGTTGGAGCTGGAGGTGGAGGAGGTTTTCTTATGTTTATTTGCTCCCAATGTGTTGACACCAGTATCGCTACTCGAAGGAGAAGAAGAAGGGGGTGCAACGAACCATCGCTTTCGACCAGCCGTCACTTCCAACAAAGCGCCACCATGACGATGCAGAGGGATGCCACTGCCGGTTCCACCGACGCCAAAGGCTAGACTGCCACTTGCTGCACCAGGGAGCCACTCAGGGCGCACGTACATGTTCAGCAGTTCGTCCGAGGGTTAGTAGAGCTAGAGGGGGGGGGGTCGGTGTCACCACAGGGAATTGGCGTGGAAGACGCGGACGACAAGGTCTTGTTAATGTGATTTTCCGCTGTAGTCTTGATTCATCATGCAGCTACAAGAAAAATAAAAATGCAGCTACAAGAAAAATAAAAATGCGTGAAGAAACCACTCCTGAATGAGGCAAATGTAAAAAATAGACTCCTGACCTACACAAATAGACTCCGTGTTTCTCCATAACAAAAGTTGTCTCCACACAAGTACCACGTGTCTGTAGCGTTTCGGGAAAGCGCGGACTGTAGAGAAGCCAGATTCGCGATCGAGAAATCTTCCACATATTCAGCGAAACTACAGCGTTTCTTCTCGTGAGAGTAGGTCACTGCATTCGACAGGATAACCGTTTTATTGCCGAACTCCTGCAGCATGTTTTCTTTGCGGGTGCGTCCTTGTTAGAGGGGAACAAGGCAATGAAGATCGAGGTGGAGGAAAATGAGCTGGTGGATGCCATGTAGGTCGTGAACTTAAACATCATCGACCAAGCTCCTGTGATGCTTCAAAACACTAGAAGTTGTAGTGCCATAATCTTGCAATTCCGCATTCATATGCCAGTTGGTGAACATCATTGGCTTAGACCAATCCAGGTGTTGCGGACGAAACGCAGAACTAGTAACGTCAATCCTTTCCCAGTCACACCGATTCACGTCACGCAGCAGGAAGTCGTAGCCAGGTGTGGTGTCCCAGTCGGAAAAATCGGATGCAGATGTTGATGAAGTAGAGTCATCGTCTTGATGGTCTTGATGAAGAATCACTCGTGCAGGGGCTTCATGATCCTCGATGAAGATCTTGTTGTTTTCCTTTTCTTCTCTAAAAACCTTCTTGTTCACCACGTCATTTTTGGCACTCATCTTCTTGGTCTTCTGCTTCCGTGGTTCTTTTACATCCTCATCCTCATCTTCTGCGCTATCGCCTCCACCCTTATTCTTTTTTTTCTGTTGTTCGTTCGCATTCACATCTTTGAGAGTGTTAACCATAACGTCAAACACTGAGGAAGAGACTCTCTTCTGTATATCTTTTGCATATTTGAAGCCCATCTTCTGCCCAGCTTTGAATCCCATTTCTAGCAACTCCTCCCAGACCGCATCGAAGTCTTCTTCTTCTGCTGCACTCTATTTAGAAAAAATGGCCTTTTTCAAGACTTATAAAAAGTATCTCCTCCCATTCTAGGGGAACGAAATGGCATCGAGTGCTCCTGAGAGATGAGAAGTGGATCATCGAGACCAAACACAACTACAACCTTCAGCCGGTTCCGAGGACGACACAAATGTAGCTGGTTCCTCGAGGAGGTGATTTCTGAGCACGTAGTTACATCGGTAGCTTCTTCTCTGCTACACGCTAAGTACTTCCAGTGTCTTTACTCCATATGACCGACCCACGACGTCCATATAATTATGATCCTCCACGACCATAACTTCTGATGATTGTTCCTCTTCCTCTTCGCCTCCTCGGTACTGTCCTTGTCCTTGTCCTTGTCCTTGTGTCGTATCATCATCGTCCTCTTCGACTTCTTCCTGGCTATCACTCGAATCCTCGTTGAAGAAGCCGACGGTAGATTCAACAGCATATTTCATCATGTTTCGAAAGAACCCAGCGTCTTTTGGTGCTTTACTAGACTGTTGTTCTTTCTCCGCTTTCTTGTTCTTGTTCTTCGCGTTCTTGTTCTTGGTCCTCGACACCTTCTTGGGTCCCTTCTTCTTGTAGTTGTCACTTTTCGTGGAGGTGCTCTTGTTTTTCTTCTTCTCTTCTTTATCGTCCGCAGAAGTCGTGGCCTTCCTCTCGTTCGAATTCGAAGATGATGTCTTTCCTTGCAGCTCCAAGTTCCAATATTGTGAAGGGTGATTTTTACCACTCTCCGGACCCCAAATTTTGTCAATCAGCTCTTTCATGTCATCATCTGCTCCAATGCTGTCCTTGTTGTCTGTTTCTGCATCGATACCTTGCGTCTCTTTCAGATAGTGTCCGTAAATCTGCCGCATCATGTCTCCGACATCATCGCTGCTGCCATCGTCCGTAGAAGTACTCTTTTCTTTGTCATTAGAACTACGTCGTAGCCATGAATAAGCTATAATCTTCGATGATGTTCAAGTTTATTTCATCTAGGATAGAATAGGATAAGATAGGATGCAGCCTTTCTTGCTAACGCTAAGTAATTATATTTATAAGAAGTGAGACCAAGATGAAGATTAGAAAAATTATCTCCTTCTCCATCTCCTGGTGCAGCCATACTAGTCGTGCCATTCTTCGACGGACCAAAAATGTCATCAATGATGTTCATCCAATCGAAGTCTTCCTCAGCCTTGTCCTCGCTCGTACTGGTCTTCTTGCCTTTCGCTTCCTTCGTCTTCTTGGTGTTCATCTTCTTCTTCCCTTTTTCCCTGCGAGATCTCCACTCCTGGTCATCCTTCAGCGTCTTCTCAAACTTCCGATAGAGGCTCATAAGCGACCCTGGTGCCTCGGGGTCCTCGTCCTTGTATGATAAACTTTTAACCAACTCGTGACATTAGAAAAATCTCTGAAAAAAGGTATGGTTTCAAACAACGAAAACGAAGAAGATAAGCAAAGAGTTCTAGTTCTTTCGTTTCTTACTTCCTTGTTGAAGGGAGACAAAGGTTAATATACCAAGGATAAGATAGGTAGCCACTAAAAAAAATGATGATGACATCAATCTACTTTCACAGGTACCATTTAGTACTTCAATCGTTAGATAGTGGAAAAATAGTAAGAGAACAGATGAGGCCACTAAAAAATGAAGTTGAAGACCATAAGCAATGTCATATTCGCCATCTCTTTTCTCGTCGAACAGGCTATCCGCCATCTTGTTTATTAGAAGAGGTAAGCAGGCACAGCAAGAAATCAAAAATTTTCCCGGTAGGTAGAACTACCTTCTAGGTCAGGTTAGGCTAGGTTAGGTTATGGATCCTGCACAGCGAGCCGCCCCACCGGCACCTGCACTTCTAGCCTGGCAGGAGTAAGCAGACACAGTATTAACAACTCAATGCCGGTAGCAGGTAGAAAGAAGTACCGTCTGCCAGCCTAGTTTTCTTGCTTTTCCTAGTAGTACTTCATTTGCGTTGGATCAAAAGATGTTAGGATTAACTACAGTAACACAATCACAAAGAAACACGACAAATTACTTAAAAGTAGTAGACATCACTAGTAACACTTAACCATAATTCGTCTTGATCCTGTCCGTCAGTGTTGGTTCCTGTTCGTCCGGCACCTCCAGCAGTAGGAGTAGGTTTTTCTTCAGACGCATTTTTCTGGTTTCCACCTCCACGAGAAGAGCTGCGAGAAGAAGAAGCACTGCGAGTTTGAGTTTCTTCATCGTCGCCAGCACCTTAGAGTGAGACACGAGAATCTTGAAGAAGTAGTCGTGGTAGTAGGATGACGATGAACAAAAGCAAAATCATCCGAGGAGGGTGAATGCTATATTCTTACAACTTCTGCAGCAGACTATGCAAGCACCAAGCAAGAAGAGAGTTGTGAAAGCCTGCTGCACTTCATGTTGCTTGAATACAACCAGTAGACCTAACTAGGACTAAGAAAGACATAAGAAAGCACATGCACAAAGACATCAAATTCAAGAAAGGTTCTTAACAAACTAGAAGTTGTAAGGGTACACGACGTACATACAGTTACATCAAAATACTTATTCAACATAGAAATCAAGACGAGCCTTAATTTCGCATGATGAAATCTCCCAGGTCAAGGTCTGCGCGAACGGTGATTCTATTTTTTTTCGGAATTTTCCTTCCCGCATAGTTTTCGCCTCGTCTATATTAGAGGACCTCAGAACGAAGATTCTCCGCTTCTTGAGTTCATTCAGCTACAACCCCAGGAGATGCATCTTCCTTGATTAATATAGCAATAGCTGCAACATCTTGTTCCCTCTAGTAGTACCTACCTTTATAACTAGGCTGGCTTATCCCTTCACGCAAATTATAGCTGCATCTTCCTCGTCTAAGTAGAAGCTGCAACACAGCTTTCCCGCCCTCTCAAAAGAATGATCGAATCTGGTCTCCCATAACGTTTGGTCTGCTCCTTGTCGAAGTGCATGGTTGGACCGATTGAGAATCCGTCAGGCCCAAACTTTAGTTCTGTTCGTGACGATCCCCCCTCGTACATAGGATCCATCGACCCGAACCGGTGTTTCTGCTTCTTCCGTTTAGCATCTCGACGTCCGAGATCGAGAATTAGAAGATCATTTAGAGTTCTACTCAACTGATTAGAAGATTATGGAGAATTAGAAGACCAATGAGATCATCTTGAGGGTCGTTCTACACAAGTCGGCAAGTTGGGTGTGGGTACTTATATTAGAACTTCATCTACCAGCTCATCTTGGTGTAGTAAGTAAAAGGGGAAGACTCTTGTTGATCTTGATTAAGTAGTTCATCTCGGTGTAGTAGTAGAAGTAGGTGAAGACTCATTTTGTTGATTAAGTAAAGAGGAGGTCTAGGGACTACGTCGACGACAATTAGCAAGAAGAAATAATCTTCATATTTTTTGGTCCTCTTTCTTCTCATTGGCAACATCGGCGTCTTTTAGCATATCCTCCAGTCCGGCAACATCGGCGTCTTTCAGCATATCCTCCATTCCTTCTCCGAGACCTTTCAGAAGCATCTCCATCAAGTTTTCTTCAGCTTTTGCGACTCGTGCAGTTTGCATTAAGAGGAACATGAAGAGGCAACAAGAAGACAACATCTTGTTTGGGAGATGGAGGTGGGTTCCACCACCTTGCAGCTCACGGAATGATCTTGCTTTCTTCGAGTTCGAGGTGGACAGCGTCGCCATTTTCCGTGGTCTTTTGTGATGAGTTCCTTTTCGATGCTCTTCAAGTTGTGCTCTACTTGTTGTTCTTGTAGAAGTCGTTCTAGTATTTGTTAGGTAATGATGGAGTTTAGCCTTCGTATGAAGTAAAAACAAGTAGCACTCTCGCAACCTGGAGGACAAGGACAACCCAACATGCTTTTCTTTACCCGCGGAAAAAATACTCCGCCGTTCTTCTTTACGCAAACTACCGCTGAAACTGAAGAAAGAGCTGGCTAGCACACCTACCAGATGAGCGTCGAGGAAAAGACGGCGGTGAGGTGGCTGGAGCAAGCGCGAGGAAAATCAAGAACAAGTAGAACACGTCATTTCGATGCACAGCACTTTGAGCACAAAACACCCCTGCTGCAAGAGCAGCAGATGGCGGTACAACTATAAAAGATGTCGTGTTGAGCTTGAGGAGAAGGTTCGCTCGGGAAGAACGAGTTTTATAGTTTATTCTTGTGAACCTGGAAAAAGGGAGGGCGGGTGGGCTTCATCCTAATTAAATCACGTCCTAATTCAAATCATCTGTGTACGAGAAAAGGGGAATGATGGAGATCTCTTGTCAGGGGCTATCATGTTTCTTCATCTCTAGAAGTGGCGTTCTAAAAGTCATCATCATGAGCAACCAGCATACTTTTGACCGCGCCGGTATGATTTTAGTGTAACGATAGATACTATTACTAGTGTCCGCGAAAATAAGGTCTATCTTCATCTCGTGCTGCAACATAGAGGTGGTGCGGATCGTGACTCAGACTCATATTCTATTCCTAGAAGATTTTCAGTTTTACGACGGACTAGTACTATATACATCTGCTCACAATGTACAACAAACAAGCGTGGTCTGGATCGTGACATCTCTATGACAAGTAGAAGACGATCAGCAAGGCGAGCACGTCAAGCATGCACCTGCGTTCTTGGTTCCACCTCAATATCTTCATGACATGATAGCTCTCATCTGAATCATGTTATCGCGAGTAAATCTTCTATTTTCCACTCTTGTTAAGTGTCAATCAGATATTCATGAAATGGATTTCTTTGAAAATTTTCACATATTGATGACTCAGATTTTTGGGAAGACTACTTATTGAGTAAAAACTTAACACCTCTTTTTCTAAAGCTTACTTTTTCTCAGAGAACGACTTGTTCTAGTACTTAGAAGTATCACATTTCCACGCGACTACCACCTTTACCATTCGCCAAGACTGCGTTACTTTTTACCAGATTCACGCCACGCCCTTGTGCTCCTGCAGTCATCATGTTTGTCGGCAACGGTTTGCCCGGTTGCTGTAGTTAGATCAGGTTGCTGCAAGAAGAGGTCATCTTTTGCGAAGATCATGTTCGCAGAATCCAAGGATAAAACTGAGACTGCGTAACATTCTCAGATGAATCCAAGAAGGAAATTACTCCTGAGTAGGCCACTTACCCGCCCCATGGACGAGATGACTTACACTTAGTGTGAGCCATAATGTTCTTGCGGTTGCTGTTGTGACGTCGCAGTTGCAAAGGGACTTGACGTAGTTGAGGCAAAAGGGTTCGCAGTCGTGTTCGCCATCGCAGCGCCAGGAAGGGGTTCTTGTCTACCACCTGGCGCAGCGCCTCCACCATTTGAAGATGATGTAGTAGAAGTTGTACCAGGAGCATTTTTGCTCGTAGGAGCTGCGGGAGGAGGTGCCAGAGAAGCTCCAGGTGATGACCTACTGGCTGGTGCACGGCCTCCAGCCTGTGCAGAAGCTGGTGGAGGTGCGTTCATATTGCCGGATGAAGGTCTAGAACTATTGCCGGATGAAGGAGGAGGAGCGCCGGTAGCATTTTTGCCGGATGAAGGTCTAGTAGCATTGCCGGCACCACTAGTACTGGTAGAAGTGGTCCCACCTCCGTTTCTAGAAGAATTATCATTAGGCTGCTGTCGTGATGCTCCAGTCGGTGTTTTCGACGTCGAAGATGTTCCTCCATTCGACGTCGAAGATATTCCTCCAAGAGGTGCAATTGACGATTTCGAAGGGATCTTAGCAGGTCCTCCGAATGGTTCTTCCCCTGTTGCACCAGCCGCTCCACGACCCTGGTTCATGATAGCCCCGCTGGAGGGAAAAAACTTCGGCCCATCTGAAGTATTCCCCGAATTCGACACAGGCGTGCTCACCTGACTCGTTCCACCAACACTAGCTCTTGCTTGCACGTCGCCGATGAGGGCAAGGGCCTCTTGTGTTTTTAACTGCAAATCGCCCACCATATCGGTTAAGGAAACGTAAGGGATTAGAAGAGAGAGAGAGAAAGAGAAGGTAAGGGGACACAACTAGAGGAAGGAATAGAGGACTTCTTGTTATTTTCTCAAACTTCTTATTCTTTTTTTCGATAATCGATCTAGAAGATGACGAACTAACTGGTGCACCTGCAAACAAGGCAATGTTTTGACTTTCATCATAAAACAAGTTCATCTCGTTGATGCCCTCGGGCCATCGCTTCCTCGCTGTCCCTTTGCCGCTTTGCAAAATGGTCCACTTGTTTCAGGAGTTCCGCAAACCTCTGTTCGTACCTATGTTCCACTTCTTTCACATGACTTTCCAACTTCTGATTCCGTTCTTGCAACAAAAGAAGCTTCTGCTGCTGCGCCTGCTGAGCAGCGGCAGCTTGGGGGTCCCCCACTTGTGGCTGTGCAACTGCTGGCTGAGACGGAGCAGAAGAAGATGGGGAACTAGTCTCCTTAGATGGTCTAACACGCTGTCGTGGAGCGGAAAGAGCACTCGACGAGGCGGGCGCAGCGGCCTGGAGTGCAGGAAGATTTTTGAGGTGGATGTAGTTAGGGAAGAGAATGGAATGGAGGTGGAAGAGAAAGAGAATGGAGGTGGTGAAAACTTGAGCATCTTTATTAAGGAGGTCATCTGTAGTTGTTTTCGGTGTTGTTTCTGCATCTAAATGAATCACAATAGGAAAAGAAAAAGATATTAGATCTTCGTACTATCGTATCTATTTTTAGAAGATATTAATTTGATTATTCACAAAGCTAAGTACAAACACTACCTGTGCAGGTGGAGCTCCTGCAGCCGGTGCCGAAACGTACACCACTTTTTCATCTGCGCTTCGCAGAAGACAGCAGTTGAGCAAAAAGAACAGGACAAAGACGTAAAAGACACCCAATGGTGGGTGCTCATAGATCAGAGCAACGAGTTTCGCTGTCTGCAGAGTGCTGTAGAACTCGATCTCGCTGTACAGGTAGCGGAAAACAACCGGCCCCATCACCTTCGCCTTCGCCAGAAGCTCCTTATCAGCGAGGGCATCAACAACCTTCACACCCATCTCCTTCATCTGATCCAGGTAGATCTGAAGTTTCTTGTGGTCCTCGTCAACTCCTCCTGCTTCGTGAAGAGGATCGGCGATATCAGGAGAATTCAGAGGCTCTTGATGTTGAGCGCCGGGTGGACCACGAGGAGGATTCTTTCGCTGTTGCTGATTACGACTGTTCATCGGACTCGTCACCTGGTTCTTACGAGAGTTCGTGTTGATACCTCGATTTACTTTGGAAGGAGGTCTCTGCCCACCACGACCTGGTCTAGGGCCACGTCGCTGGTATTCTTCGTCGAAGTATTCTTCGGCTTGTGGATCATCTTCACCTCCTGGCACCTGTTGTTGTGGAGGGGAAGCCGGAAGCTCTTGTTGTTGTTGTTCTGCAACGCCCTCTAGTACTTGAGCGACCTCCTGTTCTTCAACATGCTGTTTGTTGACTTGCTCTACTTGTCCTTGCTCAGGAGGTGGTAACTGAGAATCCTGATGTTCCTGCTGTGGCAATTCATGCTGGTTACCTTCCTCCGGCAACGGCAATCTACCGCTATCCTGCTCACCTACGCCTCCTCCTGGTTGTTCAACATCCTGGTAGTTTTGCTCTTGTTGTTGCTGTCCTTGATGTTGCTGTGCTTGATGTTGCTGTGCTTGATGTTGGAGAGGCTGTTGATGATGAACAGGAGCTCCTTGCCCCTGTTGATACTGTACTTGTGGAGGGACCGGCGCTTGATTGTTTTGAACTTGTTGTTGATGTTGCTGCTGTCCTTGAGGTTGGAGAGGCTGTTGATGATGTTGCTGTTGTTGAGGAATGGCTGACCCTTGTCCTTGCGGTTGCTGCTGTTGTTGTTGATTCTGATGTTGGACATGAACTTGCTGGTTCTGAACCTGTTCTTGGGCTTGTTGAGCCCGTAATTGCTCTTGTTGCAACCGCTGCTGTTGCTCTTGTTGCAACCGCTGCTGTTGCTCTTGTTGCAACCGCTGCTGTTGCTCTTGTTGCAACCGTTGTTGCTGCATTGCCTGCTGCTGAAGTTCCTGCTGATGTAGCTGCTCATGATGTTGATGCTGAGCGTTAGGGTCATTTGCGGGATCGTATGAGGGGTCATCATGCGCAGCAACCCGGTCACCATAGAGAGCCATCTCCTGTTCCTCTTCCGGTGTCAACGGTGCCTGGACGAGAAAGGTTAATGATTCATGTATCAGAGCAATTTATAAGGTTTCCCAGCTCGCACGGCATGGAGTGCATGGATCACATGGAGTAGCATGGAGCTAAAGGGGGAGCTTCTTGCGCCCCTTAAAGCTCTGCGCCCCATGCACTCCATGCTACTCCATGCACCATGCGTGCTATAAACTACTCTGATTGTATAAGTAGTTGATCATAATTCATGTAGTTGTAAGTGTAAGAATGACCGACTAGAAAACTTTTAAGTTGCACCCTGCATCATGAATCTGAACACCTACGACCTCTTCATCTGTTTCTACTTCTAAAACTACCTGCTGTTGTTGCTGTTGCTGCGGCGCTCCACCAGCATGTTGAGCAGGAGGAGCTCCACCCTGTCCCGGTGGCCTGTGGTGAGCGGGTCCTCTGTTACCTAGAATTGCGTGTGTGCCACCAAAACAGAGAGCGGAACTAAGAAGAAGCAACTTGTTCTTTCCTCCATGCCTTTTTGGTGCAGCAAAAGAATCGGGGATCCGCGATCGTCGTGGCATCCTCTCTGTTTCTTGAGTGTCTCTGTTTGAGCGGGAGGCACTTGTAAAAATGCTGCTCCGTCTGAGAACCATCTTCGAGGAGTCCTTCTGGTGGTACAATTATCAAGCTAGTCTGTGTGTGTGTGTCTCCTACAACTCCTACAGAAGTTCTTAGGTGGTACTATAATGATGTCGTGCTCCACTTTTTACTTATACTTTCCTCCACCACTAGCTAAGCGAAGTGAATCTGAGCACGAGCAGCAGTACTAGTAGAGGAAGCTTATTGATTGATGATCTTCTTCGAGAATGAAGTCGTTACTCAAGCAAATTGATCTATGATAAAAAAGGGAATTCGATTTCACCTCAAAAAAACATCAAAACATCGGAAAATCAAAAACACAAATCATGAGAAAAGCGAAGTACGATCGAACAATTTCGTCTTCATCCTGGTAGCTGTGAGCGATGGTGTAGGTTGATGACGTAACGTGGTCTACGTAATATGAAATTCGGAACAAATCATCCACCTTCAAGCAATAGAAAGTTGGAACCTGCTTAGCTTGGTGTCATTTTGTGGGATCTTCCATTTGTTTCATTTGCATCTTCACCGCCTTCATAATTCATCTTGTTATAGAAATTCCTCTCAAAAGTCACAACTACAGTGTCTTCATGGTCCTCGCTCTTTCTAGTCAATTTCAAGTACTTACGTTGAATGCATGGTAGATGATGTCCTCCCCTGGAGGATGATGGTTCTCTTATACACATTCGAGTTGTTGACCACGAAGCTTCAGATTCTTCCTCAGTGTGTTTTAGAAGGCGTCTTCTGGAAAACGGTTTCACAGGTTTTTTTCTCTTGTTTGGCTTTATTGCACGCACTCCACATACTATCCTTGTTGTCTCTATTGTTCATTTCGTAGTTCATCTTTATGGCGTACAAAGAAATATGCTCATTTAGTGGTTCATCTGCTTTAGCTTACACTTCTTGCTTAAGCATTCATTGCACAGTCTTACTTAGCTTCTTCAGGAGCTGTACCACTTCTTAAGCTAAGTAAGACTGTGCAAACTAGGAAAAAAGAAACAACGTCGACGAAGCCTTCTCTGTACAACTTACTTTTCAAAGAGGTGCAAGGACGCTCAAACACGAATAATACCAATATCTTTATCGTGGTGAAAAATATCATCCTCGCACGATTTCTGTAGTACTAGTAAAATGGCGGTATTATGAAATTCTTCTAGGTTGTAACAGCGCAACTTCAACAACTTATACCTATTTAGTATTTGGAACTATCTGCTAGCATCTGCTGCACAGTTTTCACGGCATCCGGTCAAACGCACTGTTGAATCTGCGTCATAGTCAAGCTTGCCTGTGTCCACATAGCTGGAGTGCACGAACCCTAACCTTGCGTGATGCTTTTGCTTGTCCTCCAGCTTGTCCTTATCACCCATGAACTGAAAGACCGTTGAATATCGTCTGATGAATGGCAAACCAAGGATCATCAGGGGACCTCGACCCGTGTCTTCCGGTCCATCCATGACGTGTAGCCAGCAATACTGTTTGCCATCCTCAGATGCGCGATCGAGATAGTCGGATTCCTGTAATATTAGGGTCCTCGTAGTTGTTCTTGTGATGATACAAGAATTATACATAGCGATTACGACTTCGATCGTCAACAAAATGATATTTTTGATTTTGAATGAGTTATCTAAGTATCTATTACGAACAAGGGGTCGAACTACCAAAGATAAAAATTCATTATTAAAGTGAAAAATTAAACGATCAAAATGTAGTACGTCCAGCCTCAATTCCCGGCCCTGACCTTCTTCGTCTTTTATTACGAATCCAAGCGATGGAAACTTCTTGTCACCACATGGCGAAGACGAGTCTTCGTTGTAGCCTAAGTTCTCCCTTATCATAGCAGCAACCTTCTTCGGCGCCAGAATGACCGAAGAGCCGGTGTCAACCACCGTCTGGCAGCATCCTGGGCAGTTGCATCCTAGGTTTAGGCGCACTCCACCAATACTGATGTCCTCAATTTTGAACTGCCAGTAGCCAGGGTTCGTCACTGGTGCCCAGACTGGTGCTATACTAAGTTCTGATGTTGATGCTTCCTGCATCTGTAGTAGTTCCTCTTTGTGTAGCTGCTGCAGAAACCCTTGGTGGCTTGTTTTTCGATTTCCTTCATGATCTTGATACTTCGCAAGACGCGAAAGGTCATGCAAAGAGGCTGACTCCACATTCTGGGCGATGTGCGCGGCCTCTTGCGGTGTGAAGATTAGAGCATCTACTACTTGATTTTCATCGACACTGTGCTCTTAGTCCTCAAAGTCCAGCTACAAGCTACATCATGCATCAGTGGAGTATCTCAATTTCTACCAATTGCAACGGCAATCTGAAGCCTTAACAATCTCGCGTCTCCATCTTCACCCTTATTTTGCGCGTCAACATCATGGGTCTCGTTCAACTCAAAACTCGTTTGCTCTGGACCGGCTTCCGCGACCTCTTTTAAAGGCAACATGTGGCCAAAACGTAAAGCAGAAGTGTTATCAATGGCATTCGGATTCAGATAGACGGAAAAAAGTGGCTGCAACCTGTAAAGAGGAGGGTGGCGTCACAGGTGCCTGCTGGTAGATGTTGCACTAGTGCTGGTAGTATTATTCGTTCCCTATGTGTACATGTAGTTGATATTTTTAGTAAAGCACTCGGGTCGCAACGGAATCAGGCAACTTTCTTGAGTTGTCACGTGGTTCGCAAATGAATGAATGAATGAATAAAACACTTTTTGTTTTTCCTTTTTTTATTCGAAGAACAAGAAGATAATTAGGAGTTATATTAATATACCCATTCGCCTGCCCAACATGCTTCCACCATTGGAGCAAAAAGTTCTCCTTATCCCCAAAGCTGATCGGCGGCAAAGCTAGGCCCAAAACGGCTCCCCACCGGTCAGCGTCGGCTGAGAAGACGCTCTTCTCCTCCTCTGCAGCGAGGAAATGCATGTCGGAGATACAAGAGGATGGAGGGGAATTTGTCTCTGATGCTCCTGTTGTTGTTCCATCTTGCTCTCCAGACGACCCAGACCTAGGGGTTCCTTCAGATGAGGTTGATGATGTAAACGAAGATAAGCATATCTCAGCTTGTGCCATTCTTCCTCGTACCAGACCACTTGCAAACGAAACACGGACCGAATAGTCCTTGTCGTCTTCTTCTTGTCTATCTTCATCTTTGCCTTTGGACGATGTTAATGTACTATAATTCGACGTCCACTTCGTATAGTCCGAAACATTGAGATACTGACGTGAGTCTCCTTCTATCAGGCCAGTAGGTCGGGAAATGCCGAGCACCTCCGCAGTATCGCTTTCTTCACTACTGCTACTTCTCCTGTGAGTCCATGGTCCATTAAGTCGCTCTTTTCCAGCAACGTGCGAATCTTCCATCTGAGAAGTGTTGAAGACCTGCAGTGCCGAGACCAAACGCTCGGGTAGACTAGAACTACCAGGAAAGAAACGACGGAGGAAAGATGCTGATCTCTTGTCTTGATCTTCTTGAAGATTGGAAGATTTGGATGCAGTAGTACTTCTCGTACTAACAGCAGAAAAACCTTCTTGAAGGAACCCATCCTGGTGCTTTTGTTTTATTTCATGACGTCCAAGAACAACATCTTTTCCTAGTCCGTGACTGTGTTTTTCCACTGCAACCAGAGTCCCACTCCTTTCATCAAATCTCGGATGCGCAAGACAGCCTGGCGAAGCGCATTTCGTCGAGGGCACAAGGAGTTCTGCACTCCCTGTATCGAAAAGCACAGGTAATGGGGATGGAGCTCGACTTTCACCTACTGTAGTTTCTCTTACCTGCTGTTCTACTCGTCCTCCACCCATCCACAGTACTCCTTTGTACTCGATCGCATGAGTGATGTCTGGAATGCCCGTGGTCTTCACACGAATTGCAAAGACTGCTGAAGAAGCGTCGACGTTGAGAACAAACACAAGAACGGCCCAACCAATGCTCCTGCAGGTCACCAACCTGCTACATACGAAAGAAGTCATTATTTCAGGTATCGCCGTAATATTCGTGTATGGTTATGCTCATCGCCTTCGTAGGATCTTGAGCGATGAGAATATCTGAACCAATGAACGGCTCATTTTTTCGAGACTTGTGTTACGTTCATTTTCTCCTTTCATCTTGTTCTCCTTTCTTCGCCTTATCACCACCACCTTTTTCATCTTCATCATCCAAACAAGATACAATCACCGATCAATTTTTGGCTTTCTTGACACCCACCAAAACAGCAATCCAGCTTCTGATAAGCGCTTCGATGTCAATCAGAGAGACCGAAAAGAGCAGAGACCACTGCTTAGAAGTGATTGAACCCGATTTGCATCGATAATTCTATTTCCTGACACACTTGTTCCTGTTCGTCTTCGCAACCTACTGGACCCACTACAAAACCCGCCCAAGCTGCAGTAGGATAAAATGGGTACTATCGGTCAAGTAAAATATCATGATTTTGCCGCCCATTTTATGGCATACAATGACCCATCTCAAACCTTGAGGACGACGTCATCCTCAAATGCCGACCACTCAGTTCTTGCAGTATACTGGAATTCCTTCTTGAAGGATGTGTTCCTCGTCAACTTGAAAATAGCTGCTGATGATATGTACCATCATGGGAAGAATTTTTGATGTCCACCTCGTGGTCAACATTAGAGAGCAAGTAAGTAAAAGTACTCAAGTTTCGTAGTAATACTAGTTGTCCATTACGTGTCTCGAGCCTTTTTTACGATATCTTAAAATCTATCCCAATTTCAAGCCGATACAGTGCACCAACGATATTAGGATATCACTAAAAAATTTGAGACTTTTAGACGTAGTAATTACATTTACAACCAAGTACACTTTGAGACTTCTAGACGTAGTACTTACAACCTATACGGAGACAGTCACGCTGGCCGTTCACCGGCATGCCGTTGGAAACTGCTCACGTTTTTACCTATGTAAGCTGTTACTTTGACCTAAACCAATGAGTCAATCACAATCAAATTGGGTTGTCAGCTTGTTCGCCAGAAAAAGACGACACATCAATCTTGCTTCTGGAAAAACAAAAAAAGAACGACGTCGAGTTTCACCACTGTTACAACCAGAGGGAGAAGCCGACATACCAACTAAAAAAAGATCACCTCTCTACCAAGCAAAAGCAGAGAGGTTACGAAGATCAGCTCATTATGCGAACCCCTGCTTTCCCATACTGCCACAACGGAGAGGCGCGATTCCACTTGCATGTGATGTCGTTGGACATGAAAGAAGAGGTAGTAAGCAAGAGCAGAGGGTGGAAAAATCATGTCGTGGTGGACGAGGTTGAAAACGTACAAGAACTTGAATCAATAAAAAAACGATAGGGTTGTTTTTTCACTTTCAGAATAAAGCGCCGCATGATATATAAGTAAGAACAAGTTGCTGTTGTTCCATGCATAACTCTATACGGATCCTCGAACAGCGCGTGTAGTTCGCGAACGATCGAAAGATCTCCCTTTTCTGCAGCTTCGTAGGCTTTGACCATCATCCAATTTCGAGGAATGATCGCCGGCGACGTCTGCTTCATCATTGCGACGTCGGGAAGAGGCGGGTTGCTTTTCTTAGAAAAATATATAATGACCTACCAGTATCAATCACTCGCGCGAGGATAGTCATAGTGCAACACCATCAAAAAAACAATGAAGCACAGTCAACATTATCATTACTTGACCACAGTCTACTAGTAGTTTTTGTTTCATAAGGGAAATGTAAATTGCAAAATACACCCACGTAGTCTACTTATTCTCGAAGCCATAACATCCTTCCCTTCATTCAATTTCGCCACCAATTTCGGCCAATCTTCGGTCAGCCACTCGTAGCACGGCGTCGATAGCGATGATTTCGTACCGTTTTCTCCTCGCTTCGGATCAAATATCGCATTTGCAAATATACGACTCAGCTCAACATCCTTGTCTGGTTTAGAAGTGCCTCCACTTCGAACAAAGAGACCCGACTCCTGTCCACTCTCCTCTGCCAATTTCGCTAATGACCGGAAAAAATGGATGAAGTCCAGTTTATCCTTAGCTAGGATGACTTCTAGTTTACGAAATGCTCCCAGAGCCTCTGCATTCCAAGACTGTAGACCGAGTTTTCGTCGACAATTACGATTGTAGTGGATTTGCTTCCACCTCGCATCGTAGCTCTCCAGCAGCGGCTTCAGATGCGAGTTGATCAAGCGATCTTGCATACCTTCGTCATTCTGGAAGAGCGCTGGAAGTTAGAGCTACCGCGGTGGCATTCATTCATTCATTCACTCATTCGTTCCCACAAAAGATCTGGGTAGACTCCACCAGGTGGGCCTCGTTTTTCCAAAGTTTTAGTAACGCCAAAAAACAGCTGAGACCACGCTAGTAAAAGAAAGTATGATTGAAGATCCCTGGGGCTGTCCTTGAAGGCTTCTTTTTCAAGTAGTAGAAAAAGAGCTATATGAGGAACGAAGGATGGTGTTGAGGAAGATGCTTCAGTGTTTGTTCACGCCTTAAAGAAGACTTTGACAAAGCGTCATCAAAATGACTTGTCCTGCTAGAGGTTGATTTGCGTAGGCAAATTTCCCTTCCATGTCCCCTTCCCATATCTGTTGCTTAGGATTGAACTCCTCCAACATCCCAAATGGCCCAAAATCCATGGTTCTGCCACATAACAACGCATTGTCATTGTTCATATTTCCCTGAATGTACCCTACGCGGAGCCACTCGCAGTGCAGGAAGGCTTGGCGCTCGGCGGGAGTTAGAAGAGGAAGATGAAGAATATGAAAGGTCGCAGGAGGAGAAGACACATTGGTAGATGAAGTGGGGCACTTGTACTTCTACTTGATGGCCCCACTTGAAATTCACCTACTTAGACCTACGAACTCTGTGTGATTGCCACCAATTACGAGACAAACACCAGATCACGCCAACGTCACTTTCACTTTCATCAACATGGTCATGCTCATGTAACAAGGTATTAAATACTAATTTCCATGGGTCATGCTCATGTACATGTTGTACAATGAACACTAATTTCTATCGGAGGTCCTCCAATATTATGGCGTGCTCATATTTTGTGCCACCATAAAAATATTTCCGCCATCCTCGCCACCACTTCCACCGTGAGAGGGACCTTGCTCGCAGCTTCTGCGGTTACGACCATGTCGTGCTGCACAAGCACTGCGAAGACTTCTTCGATTTCCTCTGCAAAGTCTCGCAACAGCGCATACCTCACAATCTGCTGTAACTCCTCTAAGGGACGCGTCCTGGCGAAGAGTTCTATCTGCCCAACTCGTAAAAAAGATGGACTTGCGCGACATGTGATTGCGCAAGGTTCTTCGCTAACCGTTAGAAGAGGGAGTACTATACTAGGCAGTATTTCTAAATAAGAGAGGGGAAGACTATAGAGAAAGAAGGAGACGAGGATTACATTGGAAAGTGGCAAACCAAGGTCAACAGAAAAACCAAGGCAAACAGCAAACCAAGGTAAACAGCAAAGCAAGGTAAACAGCAAACCAAGGTAAACAGCAAACCAAGGTTAGTACGCTACTTCCAAATACATCACCAGTACCTTCATCTTCTGGACAATCAGAAGTCATCATGTTCCTCTGATTGTCATGTCATGGAACGACCTCGTTATTTTACGTCATTCTAACGTTCTAGTATCTGCCTTTCAGATTCAGTCATCCTGTAGTAGTACCTACTTCTTTTTTGAAGAGCAGAATAATAAATCGCTATAATTCTTTTGTTGTTCTTCATAACATCATCTGCTGGTTTGAACTGGAGTCACTGCCGGGATACCAAGCTCGTGTACAGGTGGTTCCATCAGGACCCTTGCTGCCGAAAAGGCTCAAGGCACGAGTTGCTGGTACGCCGAGATTTAGAGGGAGGTGTACGGGTAGAAGCAGGTTATAGCTGTGCTCTTTTTCTTATTCGGGAGTTGAAGGTGGAAACAATTGTTCCTACTGTTGAAAGAAATGGATGGAAATGGAAAAAGAAATAGCACTACGTACTTAGCATTTTCTTTTGCCTTAACAAATGATGAAAAGCTTCCGAAGTGAGAAATTCCCTTATGCTGCTGCGCAGAACGGCCCGCCCATCAGCATGCCTGCTATAGGCAGTGCGACCAGAGCCTTTTAACTGTAACTCCCAGTGTCGCTCGGAGAGTATTAATCCTGTGTGCTGTTCAGGAGGAGGAATACCAGAGGGTCCTGCCTTATCTCCTTCTTTCAGCAGGTGTTTTTTCGGTGCTATCCTGGAACCTGGGACTTCCACGATCGACATCGCTCTACCATCGCCATACCCGAAGACACCAAAGGGTGAATTCGTGGCCCAATAGCCATGTACCGAGACGCCATAGCTGGTGGCCCAAGGTTGATCCCAGTTTGAAGGGATTGCACTGCTATCAGCTGTGAAAATCTTCTTGAAAGCGTCGGATTGTGGAGGTTAGAGGGTGCTTGGAGATGGCGCGTGGAGGCGGGCCGCGGGAGTGAGATCATTTTCTCGTACAGGTACTATGAAGAAGAAGAAGAAGAAGAAGAAGAAGCCTGAGGAAGAAGTAGACGGATTAGATTCGATCTCGATGTTGAACATTTTGAAGTAAAAATATTTTGAAGTAATAGAAGCACAATGAACATGCATGCTTGTAAAGGGAGAAGAGCGCAAGATGAGGCAAAAAGATCTACTCGTCAGTCTCAGAGTCAGAGGATCGAACAGAAATTCTATCTGCCAGCGCTTTCAATCAAGATCTTACTTACCGTCACTACATCGAAAATGATGTTGCACCGAGCAGGTGCGTCCGTCAGTATAATCACAGCCTCCTCCTCCAAGCACTTCCTTCACTGTAAATGCCCATACCCCTATGGAGGTACTTCTAAAGTTGATTGATTCCATCATAATCAAACTCTGCCGTATCCAATCCAATCTCCTGAGCGAACGACCTCGAACCACATATAAAGTACGGCTTCTCCAATGGTTCTCCTCTGGCAGGCACGAAATGGCCCTTCTTCACGGCACGAGCGCGATTTGGGGGAACAGCACCTTGCTCCGGATCCGTTCGGAGACTCTTGAGCAAAGAGTTCACCACACGCAACTCGTGCAGCTTCTTGCCTCCGTTCTTTAGAAGCATGCTGGTGTCTCCTGTTGAACCAGACGCGGAACTACTCATGGTGTTTGGTTATTACAACAGCTGCATACGGATGAACCAGGAGCGCAATCTAAGTAAGCTACCGCTACTCATGAATAAGCATGTTGTAGACCTGCTTAGATAGTTGAAAAAAATACTTACTTCACGAGAGACGAAAAAACTCCTGATCACAGGTGAGAGTTCTGCTCTGCTGCATCGTAGAGAGCATTTTTTGTAAGTATGTGTGTTTTTAGAACAAGCATGCTGGTGTCTTCTCTTGGCGGAGTATAAGCGTTGGTAAAGTTGATCGCTGTTTGTTGCTGAATTGTCTGGAAATCCATGATCAGTCTTTTCTTCTGGTAAACGCAGTACATCATAGTACGGAAAAAGAACTCCGTCCATAATGCTATTCTGTGCAAGAGAATAAATTGAACCAGTTCGAGTCCGGGAGACTTGACAAAAAAATTGTCCCTATTTCGCCACCTTGAAGAAGATCAACATTTGGTGGAAACTCTCGTCGTGGTGGTCAACACAGATTCAACAGAACAATGCATGATAAGGTGAAAGCATCTGAAGATGATGAGAACAATTGCAAGTTCTGATGCTGGTCAATCAACAAATTCGATCTTTTTTCCTCCCCCTTGCCCATGCTCCTCGGTCGTGGAGCTGATTTGCCGACGAGAGGACTCTTCGTCTTCTATAGATGCGGACATGGCCAAGGCTAGAGCCCTTGCTTCTGCAGCTTCTCTTTCAGCGTGTTCGTTCTTAGACAGTTCCATCGCAAGCTCTAATTCCTGTTGAGATGAACTCTTCACCACTGTAGGTGAAGTGCCTCCAGGGGCTCCAAATCCACGAGGATTGCTTGGAGAGCCTCCTCCAGATGCAGATGTGCCTACGATCTTTTAGAGTTTCCGGGAATCCATCCTCCTGAGAGAAGTCATCTTGATGTTGGGCCTGTAGTTTTTCCCTTATAGGCTTTTGCTCCTTAGATAGTCAAGAATCTTATTTTGCACGAGATGAACAGAATCCTTATTTTTCCCTTATAAAGAGGTGCGTGCCCCAAGCAGAAGATGCTTCGGAAGATGGATTCCCGGAAGTCGTAAATCTTACTATTCATGTCTTTCGATTGTTCTCGCGCGCGTTCCGCACTCTTGTTGTCGTGTTTGCGGAGATTCTCTTCCGTGAGCATGGAAAAGTTAAAGGCAGTCAACCACTAACATCCGTGGGTGAGTGAGATCCTGGCTGCGCCCCTTAGTTTCTTCTTGAACTCCCTCAAGGAGAAACGTCATTCAGGATACCTGCTCACACGAGATAGTGATCGACTACCCATAAAAAGGCCTCCTGATTTCCTTGCTCGTGGTGAGCTACCTCCTAGATTTTCTTGGCGTGTGGTGTCCGACAAATACGCTATCTCAGGACTGTCTGCGTGGGGACTGTCAGCTGGCGGAATCCACTCTAGTTCCTTCGTGAGTATGGCTTCCCACTCGTCGATTCTTTTGGGATTAGAACATGATGACTTTAGTCCTGACGATGCAACTCCGATATAGACTAAGGCAAGTACTCCGAATCCCTACTAGTACGATCTTTTATGAACAAGATGCCTCGCAGTTCTAAAACGTATTGCGTGAAGGGATAGACCTAGGTTAATAGAAGAAGAGGAAAAGCGAGCCGGTTGTTTTATTTAGTGCTTTGAGCGTCGCTGGACCTCAACCTTCGCCTTTTTACAGGCAAAAGCCAATCAAGATTTGCAGCACGCGGCCTCTTAAATTATTGAGTGGAAAACCTTAAAACGTAGTCATACTTCAGTCCTAAAACGTAGTCATACTTCAGCAAATCGGAATCTTCATGACTACATTTGCTGAAGTATGATTACGCTTTACTAGGACTGGAGTCCTACAACGTGAGACTTCCGCGATCTTCATCTTGTCAAGAATTTCTTGTCATAACTCGACTCGTTGCTACCATCATGGTTCCGTTTACGATCGCTACTCCTTCGCATTTCTCCTGAATCCACAGGCTCTTGTTTAGGTCTGAGGATTAGAAGAGGTGAGAGCAAATAAAGACTGGTGACGAGAATCGATCATAAAGGACCAAAGTGGTCTCCGCTTAGAAATAGTTGTGATGAAACGCACCTTAATCCAGAGATCCAGGAAACTGCAGATATTCGAATATTTTGCTTTTTCTTCGATGCCTCAGGTACTCTTTTTGCGACTGTGTCATCTCAAAACGGTATTCACCACTGAAACTGCTGCGCCAGTTTTCGAGGACCTTGCAGTTGGGGAGTTGATGTCGTCAAGAGAATGACTATTACCATCCAAGAATTTTTTCTGTCGTATCGGCAGCAGTGTCCATCAAACTACTATGTTGAGTGCAATAAGTGGAGAGGTATCAATAGTGGAGTCAATTAACGAGGACGAGAATGGAGGCACGAGCGAATGAGATAAGATGTGTGGAAGGACGTATTTCTACGAAAGGTAGTAAAGAAAAAGGGTAAAGGAAAAGAGGTATTACCATCAAAGAATCCCCAACGATCGTCTGACACAGTTTTTTCTGTCGTATCGGCAGCAATGTCCGGACGGATCTTGAGAAAAGCAAAACTTGGTTTGGCAACAAGTCGGTTCCGGTAGGGGACTTAGACTTTCAAAGAATCTTTTGTAAGAGTAGGCGATTGTATCGAGGACACCTACAAGTACAACCATGCAGTTTCCATTTGTCATTTTCGCACAATAAAGAAAACGAAAGCAAAAAAAGTTAAATCTTTTACAATCATGTACGACTCCCCTGGTATACTCAATTTTACAAGTCGGTTCCGGTAGGGGACTTAGACGTTCAAAAGAAAACGAAAACAACCTTTTTAAGCGTCGTGCTCGTGTTGTAAGCCATAATAAACGGTCCAATCAAAAAGTAATCCACCACTTTCGCTTGCGTCAGACTGGCGTTTTCGTAGAAGCCTGAAAAGGAGTCAGGTATCCATACCCACAATGCTGGCATATGCTTCTTTCCTCGAAAGACTCTTCGGACGGAAACGACGTAATCCTCGAGGCCGCCGGTTAGAATGCAAGGTTTTGTATTTGTAACAAAAACTGTAAGAAGTTTCAATTTTTCTATCATGAAGTCATAATTTGGAGAAGGTGGTCGTGGAACAACTTGAACAACAATCATGCTGTTAGAGCTACGTGTAGATTTTTTCATCCGTAATTTTAGCAAGACCGTGTCTAAATCGATCACGATCACGCGCAGAGAGTCGAGCGCCATCTTGTGATATATGCGCCGTGGCCGTTAGTGAAAGAGGAATTGTGCTGGGACTAGAAATTTCCGGTAGAAGCCAACGAACTCCGAGGCCAAGTAGCTGTAGTAGTTTTCAACAGTGTGGGCCTTTTCAACAGTGCTGTGGGTCTACTCTATTTTTTGTACTAGTAAAAAAATGAGCGAGAAAAAAATAATCTCGATAGCCTTTAAAGGTGAAGATAATAAATGATCGATCATTCAACAGATAAAACAGACGAGCGATCGTCCCCAACTGATCGCAGTCCTTCTGCTCCAGCATCCAGCAGCAATTTTCTTCCGCTTCAATCCATTTTTTAATGCAGTACTTTTTCGTCGTGGGTTGTAAGCTTGTAGGTAGTTGCTGGGTTAGGGCTTAGGGCTAGGGCCTAGTTTTCACCCCTCTCGTCAGTCGTGGTCGGCACATCTCTCCCTGACTGTAGGTGATGAACCGATATTAAAGAGTACGGTTCGTTGTTCACATCTTATCACTAGCTCTTGGGACATCTTATCACTAGCGTGCTCGCTGCCTGCATTTGCTTCTTCACAGATCGCGGCTCAATCGCGTTTTATGGTCTCATCTCCGTGACCGGGACATCACAAGCTGAAGAACCCTCTTCAATCCCCCAACATTCCAGCATTGATTTTGAATGATACTAATGCGTCAATTTTGCTTTCGTATTTCCCATTTTTCCCAACGAGGTTCATATTCTTTCTTGTACAACTTTGAATATTCTTTCTTGATATCATGTCTTTTCCCAATAGCTCTTGTACAACGAACAGCTTCCTTCAAGTAGAAGTCATAGCTATGTTTGTATAGTTTCCCAATAAAATCAATTGCATCAGCTAGAAGTATACAACCTGAACTTCCTTCCATGAATACTACTTGGTATGTTCGTGCGTGGAGACCGTCCAGAGTTCTCGGATTTCCGTTTCAATGGACAAGTTACAGGTTGCACTTCCTTGTGAAGTTTGATTTTTTCAACACTGATTCAATATTTAGTTGTGTCTAGATTCAACTATTGAACTTGAAGATGTTTCCCAATGTAGTTGATGTTCATGTTCACTCTTTCTATTATGTTTTCCCTGTGTGTTGATGCTGATGATGTATTCGACAATGATTCTCAATATTCTCACTCTTGCTCCTGTTCGAGTTTGAGCTTGATGTATTCAACAATAATTCAATATTATGAGATGATGTTATGCTATGCTAAACATGTCAGTCTTTGGAAATCCATACGTTAACGTTTACCACGTGTCATGATTTTCTGGCTTATTTAGGAGCTTTTTTTAATTTAAGTCTATCATGTCGATGCTGGTGCTTCTACAAAAAGAAGTAAAAACCAACCAACAATGACAAAAAGGTATTTTTATCGTCCTTTGTCTATACAGAGCGGCTTTATGACGCAGATATATAGGAGCACGCCACCTACCACGACTCCAACTATTATTGCGGTCACGCAAATGCTCTTCAAGCATTGTCTTTTCCACTCGTAACTGGCTTGGTGCTGTTCTGCCTGCTCCAACTTGACCACGCCTTCACCCACGAAATGATCCGTTGAATTTACCTGTAGGATGTAGTCCACCATGCTGCTGCACAACCACACGCGCAACAAAGCTAATGCTAACGGCTACCCAAACACAAAGAAAAAGATCATCCTCACAAAAAACTCTAAGAAAGTATATTATAAGTAAGTAGTACGTGTTCTTCTATAGTTTTCAGCGTTGCGGTTTGCTTGTCGACTAATGCAGATAGGTAATTGAAGAGCTCGCCAAGCTCGATCACATTCTGCTCTAATTCCATGATCGCATCGTGATCACCTTGCAAATTCTGCAACTGCTCTCGAAGCTGTTGTAGTGGAGTTGTTTGGGGGAGTTTCTGTGTTTGGAGGACCAGCTGGAAAGAGAAACAAGTTGTAGAAGAAGTAAGACTAAGAGGCAGATGAGAAGCTAAAAAAGAATATTAAATTACCAAAACAGGTTTTTTCTCATGATTGTCTGTGTCGTCCACCTCCCATCAGAAGAAGACATCTTCTACTACTAAGAACATCAAACAAGAACATTTCAAGAAGGTCTACAACTAGAACTACAGCTGCACCAGCAGCATGTCAAACAAAGAGAATACGGAAGCGTCATCTGTTTCTGCATGTCCCTTCTGGAGCATTTGTTCCAACTCCTTCTGATTCTTGCCCAAAAGTTCTTCCACATCTTGTTTTGATGCTTCCGGATACATCGTCTGCAATTGCTTTTTCAGTCTGCCTTTGATAGCGGTGTCGAAGTTACCTGTGGTCGCGGGAGGGGAGGGGAGAGGGTGTTCTTGTAAGACTAAGAGAGGAAACAAAGACTTACTACAAAAGGAGTTCTTGCTTCTTGTAACAACTGGTCGTACTAGATTACTTATCACGACATTCTGATTCTCTGTAGAGTGTGTACCTTGAGCCGTCAGCAGTGCCTTAACTCTTTGGTGGAAGAGCTGACTCATCTCCATCAGCAGTGTATCGCAAAAATCCTTCTCTTGCTTCGTCAGCGAAGTCGATTTCTTCCCATTCAGGTTTTCCAGATCGTCCAAGCACGCTTTCACTTTGGCATTGTACCTGTTCAGGAGAAAAAGTAGAGTTGTAGAGATTCATCTTGATCTTGGTATCAAGAGGAGAAAAAGAGATGTAGAGATTTATCTTGCTGGTATCAAGAGGAGAAAAAGTAGAGTTGTAGAGATTTATCTTGCTGGTATCAAGATGAGAAAAAGAGTTGTAGAGATTCATCTTGCTCCTGGTATCAAGATGAGAGCACGGAGATTGAAGATGAACGAACAAGTTTGAGAAGAACAAGTTTGAGAAGTACCCTTTGCTTTGATCCATGTGGAGCTTCATTTTATCCACTGCGCCCTGCTGTTCCTGACTAGTCATCGCAGCTCTTACTTCTGTTGACAGCACGTCTATATTATGGGCCGTTGTTCCGAGATCTTCGAGGTACCTGGTGGAAATACAATCGAGCCATCTCCAGCAAGGAGCACACAGAAGCAAAAGCATACTTGAAGTAGAAGTGCCCTTTCAAACAAGAGAAGATCAACATAAGCATTAAAGCTCGGCAAACTACTAAGTTGTGTAATGAATAAGGTGTCACGTCTTGGAGTTCAACATCCACAAAAGGAGTGTATGCATTTGCCCTCTTCTATATCGTGAAAACACGACAAACCATCAAGTTGTCGTTGTACCCTTTCAAATCCTCATCTATACCCTTTCATAGTATAAACCAGACCCATTCTGAGATCATCGCAAGATCCCAGAAAAATGCGGAACTATGAGATACTTCAAATCCTCCTTGTCTTCTACGTAATAATATCGCGGAATGATTCCATAAATGAACGACCGCATATCGTGGAATGATTCCATAACAGAGCAATTTATAAGGTTTCACAGCTCGGATGGCATGGAGTGCATGGATCACATGGAGGAGCATGGAGCAAAAGGAGGAGCTTCTTGCGCCCCTTAAAGCTCTGCACTCCATGCTACTCCATGCACCATGCGTGCTATAAACTACTCTGCCCTAAATAAACGACCGCAAGTAGATGAAGAAGTACCCTTTCAAATCCTCCTCTATGTCGTAAAGGACTTTCATGATTTTGGATATCCCAACTCCAGCGCCAGGGTTAGGCCTTCCAAACGGGGAGGACCCTTCTCCACGTGCCAACAAAAGCGAAGACTCCTCATCATCCTCCCTCAAGTTGCCAAGCTTATTCTTACCACTCCACTTCGCCATTTTTTCTTCTTTCTACAACGAACAGCTTCCTTCAAGTTTTCAACAAATAGTGTCCTCTCTTCGTTGTTCTCGTTCTTGCATAGAAGTGGTTCTGGAGGACGAGGTGCGTCTAGACATATAATGTCTCTGGACGAGGAGGTGCTCGACGACGGTCAGCAAGACGTCGCCAACGACTGTTTGGGCCTTTGGTCAGCACTTTAACGACGCTTTGATTTTTGGCAACAAGTTGTAGCCAACGCTCACCAAGCGCGGTTCAGGAAGACGCGAGAGCAAAACGTGGTCCACCTGGAGGTGCAGCTGCTCAGCGCTGGTAGAGAGGTTATCGATAATATCGAGTATCGACGAGCTTTTTAATAAAAAGAAACAACTACATGCATCAAATGATGTGCTCGACAGGATCGTAGACAATACTCTACTAGTTTACACCCAGAGCAGGTAAACAATACTATACATCATAGCATACAGCCACAAGTCCGTCGGAAAAGAATACAAATACAACACCAAATTCAATGGAGTGAAGAAATGGGGGCAACATACAAGTGCGTCAAAGAAAATAAAGGTGTTAATTTGCCTGTCAAGGAGAAAATGAATAGGATAGGATAGGATAGGATGGCTTTCCGCCTCTTGCACGCGAGGTGTAGAGAGACAGGCGGGCTGTATGGTCATGGTGATTGATCAGGATCCTCACCAGACTAACTAAAACTGTTCTTGTCACAAGCACTCTTCTACTCCAGTTGCTCGATGATGTGCAGTCGTCTCATTAACAGAATTCTATTGTATCAGAGGACATCAACTCTTCAACAGATGACCTCACCCTGACACTGGCTGGTCCGTGGGTACGTCGAACCTAGAAAGCAAAAACTTTTTCTACGTAAGTCTACAACTCTGAAGACAGATCATGATCACTTACTCCCGCCTACTCACGTCTACACAGAAGAAGTGCCATCACTCACTCCCGCCTACTCACGTCTACACAGAAGAAGTGCCATCACTCACTCCCGCCTACTCACGTCTACACAGAAGAAGTGCCATCACTCACTCCCGCCTACTCACGTCTACACAGAAGAAGTGCCATCACTCACTCCCGCCTACTCACGTCTACACAGAAGAAGTGCCATCACTCACTCCCGCCTACTCACGTCTACACAGAAGAAGTGCCATCACTCACTCCCGCCTACTCACTTGTACACAGAAATATCATGTTGGCCAGGGGTACGCATGTTGGCCAGGAGTATTAGTCACAACTAAGCTCTCAAGCACGCGACACGTTGACGATATCAATTACATCGTTGTTGTAGTGCGCTGCTCGTCGCGTGGTCACTTCGTCCGCTTCCTCTTCCTCGTTCCACTCTTCAAAACACGAATTATCCGAGTGGACGACGAGAAGGAGAAAAGTAGGACAAGAACCTTGGTGGAAGATTTTTTTTGGTACAACTAGCAATGTCGACCATATCAGTCATCTCTTGTGGAATCATCTGTTTGCATGCTCTGCTTGCAGCTCATGATGTTGAAGGACCACGGCCACCCCTTGTCCTTCTTAAACTGATGTGTATCTAAGTAGCTCCTTCATTATTCTCTTCTTCTATTCCGTCGACCACACAATGAAGTATAGTACAACACGCTAGTTGTAGGTTTTTTTCAACATTTTTTTACGTAATATCCATACGATTGCTTTTGTTCTCCCATTTGAGTATTACATTTGAATTTTTTACGCACACTAGAACTACGCTTATGAACACGTCCTCTGAGATCTGTTCCCGAAATCTTATGTGTTTCTGGTAAGAGAAAAAACATCGATGAGTGTACGGGTTACATAAAGCAACAACTATGATTGGCGAGATCATGATCACTATGAAGAAGATGAATATGAAAAATTCAATGAGCAGCTTTACTATGTTTTGGAGATCTAGGTTAGGTTCGGTGTTGACTCTCTGTCGAGCGTCCAGATCTTCACCATAGGGTCGTGGTCCACGGAACTTGGACTACCACCTCCACTCTGACGAGATGAAATACGTCGTCCCGCCTGTCCTGCAGCATTAAGACCAATAAAGGCTCTGACTCTGACTCTGTAAGTACGTTCCCATATGTTGAGTTTTTCATATCTTACGTACTAGGTCGTGAAGCCTGGAGCAGGAAGATCGTAAGCATAAGTTGTTACACTGGCTCTTTGAAAAGTTTGGAAGTCTTCATCTATTTTGAGCGAAGGACTAGATGACTGCGATTCCGGTTACTTAGGGCGAGCAAGGTATACCAGTACTCTTGCCAGGAGTAAAAATGCTTACTAGACTCTTAAACATTTAAGTCATAAGTCTCATGGAGATCGAGATCGTATTTTTCTCCTTCTCCTCACTCAATTAATCCAAATTCTTTTTCACGGATCTCCTTGACAAGTCTGCCTTACATCATGATCACAATTACTGAAGATTAGCGTATATGTTATAAATGAAGAAAAGCTTATCTTAAGTATATGTTGAAATGGTGTTGTATGTTTGTTGTAGTTGCGGAAAGTTAATATTGCTCTGGTTTATTCACGATTGAAATAAATTCTACGATATTTTTAGTGTTGGTGTACGTTGGTGATTATTTTTTTAGTCCTGTAGTTCTTCTAGTAAATCCTTCACAATTTTTTTATCCTATGAATGTTAATGATGTGTAGATCTAAATTCTGTAATACTCATGTGTACAAGATGTGTAATTCTTGAAATATTCTCATGCAGTCGAATTCTGATACTACCAAAATTAATCAACGATATTAGTTCTTGCCCATCTTCTGTTCATCTTGTTGTCCATCATCGTGTGGAAGGCTCATCCTATTTTTGATGAATTGGCGTTTCCTCGAATTTTCGTGCCACAAGTGTCGTTGTCCTCGTTCACGAAGAAGTGCTCTTCATGCTTGTGATTGTTGTGCTGGTTCTTCGAGGAAACATCCTCCCACTTTTTCAGACGTCCATCAACATGAAGACGTCCATCTCCATGAAGATGATCATTCTTCTCCACTATCCCCATGATGACCATTCTACTCCACGACGGACTTCTACTCCCGTCATCTAAAAATTGTAGTTGTACTACTTCTACAACTAATAGAATTCTCGTCCTCCACAACCTCCTCCACCCGCTGCTATAGTTGTACTACTTGTACTACATGTACTTATTCCACTGCTTCCTATTATTAGAGAGCCCCGCAGTAGTTCATCTTTTAGCACCTGCATCTGCCTTGAAAAAGATCTTCTGCATCGCACGAGAATAGATACTCAAGCATAGTACTTTTCAAGGATGCAGCACCAAGAGATGAATCAATCTGAGTTATCTGCTCTTTCTCTACTAGCCTTAACAATAACATTTTTAACGGCAAGAAGAGGAAGAACAACCATGATTGCAGCACTGGTAGAAGGAATTCTTTGTCTTGTCATACGCGCCCTTCTCCACTTCTTTATTAGAGGAATAGAAGATGAAGATTGTTCTTAGTAGTCATTGAGCTTGTAACTTCTTTATTGGAGGAACAAAACAATCTTAGTAGCTAGTAGTATTCGGAGCAGTGGTGTACTACCCAATCGCGGGGTATTGGGTACGCCAAGCCTGCAAGCGCGCCGGCTTGGCGTTGGCGCTAGCTTAGCCAGTGCCAGCTTGCTAGCCTAGCCATGGCCACCCTGCTAGCGTAGCCCGACATAGCTAGTCTGTTCGCCTAGTCATGACGAGCTTACTACCCAGCAGCCTCGCCAAAGCTAACCCGCTAGCTTAGCCATAGCCCCTCCAGCTTGTTAGCTTAGCAATAGCTAGCCAGCTGGCTTAGCAATGGCGACCGTCCGTGCTGGTTCATTCTAAGCCAGCCGCGCGTCGCTAGCTTAATGACCTAGCGGCTTGCTTCGTTTGTCTTATCTGTCTACTTAGTTGCTAAGTGCTAACCTATGCCCAGCGCAGCGGGCCCCTTGATGGGCCCGCTTTCTGTGCATGTTTATATATTTAGTATCATCCTGTAACCACAGTGTCTATAGCCATAACTTTCATCGGAACTTTGTAGCTCGTGCCCCTGGGCGGCTCCTCGACGTCAATCAGTCTTAGAAGAAGAGCAAATGATGTACTGAAGATAACCAAATAAGTACGACCCAAAGTAGCAGCAACCATAATCATCATGATCACCACAGGTCTTCTTGCTCATAATTGATAGGTTGTTGGTTCTCAAGTAGTGAAGATGCGTATTTGATAACATAGAGCAATGAGTAGGGTCATACAAGTAGGCAGCTGTTATGGAAGGACGACGACGATGATGATGATGATGATGATGAAGATGATGATGATGATGATCATGATAATGATGCATCTAAGTAATGAAAGTCCTCGCCAGGAGCTCTCTTGTGTTGCCGTGTCTGACCACTAGGAGCGAGCAGAGGCTCAAAAATATAAAATGTTGTTGTTAGGAAAGTAGTTTGTTTCTACTAGAAATTGTAATTTCAGGAAAGTAGAAGTCATATAGATGTTTTATTGGTGCTCCTAGAATTTGAATAAATATTTACGATAGAAGTACTAGGCCAAGGTCAAGGTCATCATGTTGTAAACTCATGGCGGCCATAAGTGTCCGTAGGTGTTTTGCTTCCAGTCCTCCAATTTTGATTTTTTTCCTTTGTCATTTTTAAACCTGACTTAGAACCAAGAGGTTGTTGTAGTTACACATAAAAATCATTTTCTATTCCATCTCAACTTCTTAAAAAGAACTAAAATAATTCATTCTTGAACGCTTCCAATCATGATATGAAAAACCTTCACGGGGGGATCATGGTGATGAATGCCATCAAAAATATGGTGAGTAGCACTCTAACAAGGCCGTGAAGACCACGCAGCATTATGCTACTTTGGGGTCTCAAATTCTTATCAACTTCTTCTATGGGGTGCATACTACAGCAACAAGATCTTCCTCTTTTCTTGTGTACTCATGTGGGTCTTTCTCGTTGGGACGACCGACGAGGCCGTAAAATTATGTGAGTGGAGGATTGGGAATTCATCATTATGATATTACTACTCTACCTACTCTACGAAAAATCCTACTAATAAATATCCTCAAGTAGACCAAAACGAAGCCATAAAAATAATCCTCGCTACTCAACCCAGAGCCGCTGCCGCAGACCGCGTTGTGGGCCAAAACAGTGTTGTCCATTTGCCTTTTCGAAGCACCAACAGCGGCCGCAAGTATCTTAGAGCAGGAGATGACGAAAAGTTCTTGTTTGTTTGTTTTCACCACGAGAAATTCTTCTTCACTACACAACAAAGCCGCGTCATGTACTACTTTATTAACTCACTCATTCACTCAATCGAACCACGTAGCAGCTTTTTTTGTTGCTGCCTGGATCTACAATTCCCGCTTTCCTACCCTGCTGCATTCGAACCACCTAGCAGCTACGAGCAACTGCCAATTATGCCTGGTGTGTCCTACTAAACCAAGAGAATGCTTCCTATGCAATGATTTGTGTGTACTACTTCATCGATAGAAAGCGCCATGATACGCAATGGTAGGATCGAATGCAACTTTGTAATAATCATGAGTCAGGTTATTAATCTCAATATGGGTCTTACTGCTGCATAAGGACAAGAATGGCGGGTCCTGATACTATAAATATTAATGCGAATAAGAAAAACTGAATATCAAATAAGGTGAAGGAGCAAGAAAGTATTAACTGTAACTACATATTTTTAAGCGAAGATCATGTAGTTCAAGTTTCGCGATTCTTAAGGTGGTAAGGGCTGTTGTTGGAGTCAAACTTGTCGAACATCGTTGCGCAGTTCAACATTTTCTTCGCTTTCTCCTTGTCCTGTCCTTTGTTTTTGTTCCTTGTATTAGAAGAAAGCGATAGAAGAAATAAATCATTTTGACGAGGTTTGATGAGGGAGAGTGACGAGAGAACGAAGTGTCAATATAGTGATGGAGCCAGCCTAACTAGGAAAAAACCAAAAAAGCACAACGCGAGGGAGAAGTGTAAACGTTAGAGTTAGGCTCTTTTTCACCCATATCAGGCCGAGATTCTCGGGCTGCTCGAGTTGCCCATGCAAATAGTGTTTTCGCTGCGCCCTGAAGTAGAGAACAAGAGCACTGCGGGCCAGCAGGAGCGGCGTCCGCCAATAGCAGACAACGCAGGGGGGCAGTCGAATGCCCGCAAAGGGTCCAACGCGGGGGCCCTGGGGGTGTGGCATGTACGCACCGGCCCACCCAGCTGCCTACCAACGTGAACCCGCGCCCACCGCTACCCGCCCACACATCAGCCCCCGCCGCACTTTCCCCCATGTCGCAGCGGCATCCTTCTGCCGCAAGCCGGCTACGAACGAACCCACCCCGGCGGACACCCGCAACGAAGCGGGACGAAAACCCAAACCCAACTTGACACCCCCCAACCAAACGACAGGGGGGGGCGCGGCACTTGCTCCCCGCCATAGAGTAGGGAGCGGTGTGCCGCTATCGATCCGAAACGAGAGGAGGCAACGCCCCCCCGACCTTCTTTTGCGCAGGAGGTCCCGAAGACGGCGCCCCGCATGCCGAGCAAGCACTTACGCGCCTGCGCCGCCCTACTTCGCCCCATTTCGATGGGGCAGGCTCCCTCTGGCAACTCGTTCCAGAGTTGGAGCCCTTCACTTCAGCAACTCGAGCAAGAACCCGCTGCAACTCGAAATATTAAATATTCATGAGTAATTTTCAGATGATGACGTTGGACTTTTTCTCGCTACGTGAGAGACTCAGCTTTGGCAAAGAGGCTGATAAGAATAGTGGCGGAGCCAATCTAGCTACTAGGAAAATACCGAAAAAACAAAAAGGGATGGTATAACTATAGGTAAAGTATTCTAATGGCCTTGTTTATTAGCATTAAGACCCGTCTATTCTAGGAGCCGCTTCTCGTCCAACTGCCCTGGAGGTCTATCTTCTCATCTTAGGCGGCCGGGGCCTGTGCGTGCCTCAGCAAAGATCAGGATGATAAAGATACATAAAGTTCACACTTCTGAAAAATAGAGTAATGAGGTATTCAGCCTTTACCTAGGACGCTTCAAACGCAATCTCTATATTGTTTCTAGATTCTTGAGATTGATTAGTAGAACCTCGCAGGACTGCGTTGTAGAAGTAGAAGACGCGATGATCATCAACGCTATTACGTCTAGATCTTCATAACATTGCGCAAGTACGTCGTTTCGCGTGCAACTCCTAGACCGGCAAAGCCAGCGACGGATAGCTTGAAGAATTTGGACATTGTGATTCTCGTCACAGCTTAGCTCTCTACGACTAAGGGCGAAGTCGTCGTATTCTCACAGAGAACGAAGTACGAAGATGTAGAAGATGTCTCTAATTGTTGGTGATGCACAACTCGTAAAATGTTGAAGTAGCAGATGTTATCTCGTTGTCGTTGTTGAGACCACTAGCTGTAGTATGTTGGAACCGAGATGATGAAGTCAAAAAGACCTAGAGCAGAGCAAAAGATCGAACTGAGAACAAGAGCAAGGGTCTGCGACTCAGGAGCAAGAGTTCTTTTATTCGACTTCTCAGCAAGATGAAAACGAAAACGGAAAACCTCTAATAAAAGAGATTGTTAGATTTGGGAATAAAATTCAGGCGGAAAATCGGGTTCAGATTTGGATACGTATTCGTTCACTGTGGATGATAAATGCTAAAATGGATGATGAATCATATGGTGTACATCATGTAGTCGTTTTCATTGATTGAACAATTAGTTGTCAGAATAATAGTTTCAAGTTCAATTATCATACAGGTTCGAAAGTACACTACAGTAACAGAGCAAAGCTAAGTGAAAGTGAACATAAGAAAATATAGATATTATCGCCCACGGGAAATGTCGGTAGGGTTTGAGGCATTTTGGCGGTGGTCAGATGGAAGAGTATATCTAATAAGATCAGGAGCTGGAGCACGCGAATACAATCTCGACACTCGGCGATCACCTCTCAACCGAACTACTCTGAATGACAGACCTCAATACGAATACTGCTCTCGTCTTGATAACAGGAGCCCCTCAACAACAGAACTTTGTCGTCACGAACAGACCTATAGAATTCACTCGACTTGGTCCGCGGATTTCGAACCTCGATAGAAACTTTACTACATCCAAAGAACATCAAAAATAAACTTGCCGAGCGTGTTCTAGAATTCCTAAACTTTCGTAAAACGACACCTTTCTAAAGAACACTAGTCCTAGCGCCACTTCTCCTTCTCTATTGATTTACAGCTCTAGATATTCTTTCTCAACAAGAAGGGAGCTTTTCTTTCTTCGTCTTCGTCTTCTTGCCTCTGTAGGTCTACGCTCGCGTCAGTCTCTGCAGCTGAAGTTCAGCAGGTCAAATAAGGCTGACTGAAGAGGTAGCTCCGACAAGGTCTCGAAATTTGAGGTCCTCGCAGAGGCTTTGTTGATGTTCTTGGTCCTCTGAAAGTAAGGTCACAGCTTCTTCGATGCTGGGTGGTCCTCCTCAGTTATTGCTATTCCATGTAACAACTAGGTCCTAGTGCTAAATGAACTATAGATACGACTCCGTAGAAAAGTTCAAGTAGCACTCGTGAGGAAGAAGGAAAAGCTAATGTTAATGTAGAAGTTGCGTAGTAGGGTTGCTCTTGGTGTAGTCCCTTTCTGACGCGAGCAGCCATGGCCAACTGTCGCGAATCACCAGCAGGACCTCGAAACAGACGAAGACGCACGCACTCGAGTTCATTCCAGTTTTCACGTGTGTAGAGGCGAGAGCGATCGAAGAGCGATGCCATTAAATTTATTGCATAGAACCAGCACGAGAAGAGACTCAGCGCGAAAAGATCTCTCTTTGTTGTTGTTTGTCTTGTAAGGTTCGAGGATCAGAAACACCAGAGGCACTCTGAGTCGGTTCATTCATTCCCAGCGGTCACCGAAAAACTATGCGTCGTCAGTTCCGTCGCACTCATAGAGAGTGGCTACCGAGTTAGCGAAGACCGAGGATAAGCCTAGGGGGGTAGCCTTGGTTTGGTAGTTTTTGGATAAGTAGCAGCGCGTCCGCTTTGGGGATTCTGTTGGACTGGGTTCGAAGACGTGAAAAGTGTCCGCGAGCGACTCCTTTCACTCTACGGCCCATCTCCGTTGAAGATGCAGAAGCGGGGCTAGAGGCTTCCCACTTAGTGCCGCTAAAACTTTGATAGTATTTCTGCCTACGATCTTAACCCTTAAGCCACAAAACGTAGTAGGGCCTTCAGTACTGTCCTGCACAAGTGAGCAGCCGCTATAGAAGTCAGGTCTCAAAGACAGCGGCGCACCATTGGGTTCCTCAGCTCTTTCGCGTGTAGTAGAGACGGCCAGTCTTGTCGTCGGACGGCATATCTACGAGGAGTCTTCACCCTCATTCCTTGATACATAGTTTGGCGCGCCGTTTAATCGAAAAGTCCCTCTTTGATATCAATAAACGACAAAAACTGAGGTCCGTGGTCAGGGTTTTAAGGCGAATCAAGGGGAATCGCAAGGGGGGCGGAAGCAAAGGCCAGGACTCCCAAGGATTTAAGGCGGAAGACAAGGAGTCTCAAGGCTCGCCGCTAACCGCAAAGTCCCAAGGTTTTCTTTGAGCCCATGCTTACCAGGGTTTTGAATCTCAAGGCTGGCGAAAAAGGGCACAAATGTCAGGGCTGGGTTGCCAGGGTAAAGGCACGGGTCGCAAGGTTTTGCGTGTCAGGGTTTTGGAGACGTTCGCAAGCCACCCCGCACGGCAATGCCAAGGTTTGGCGCCTCAGGGTTCGAAGGTCAGTGTTTGGCGCCTCAGGGTTCAGAATGAAGGTCAGAGTTTTGCACGTCAGCGTTTTGGTGGGGACACGCTTGCAAGTGGCCGGGCCTGTCAATGTCAGCAAACGTGTGGCGCCTCAGGGGTCGGCCGAATGTCACAATTTGGCGCCTCAGAGTTCGGAAAGCCAGAGTTTGGAGAGTCAGGGTTTGGGAAGTCAGCACACCAGCGAGTCACAAGCGGAGTCACGCGGGCCAATGGCAGCGCTTGCCGCCTCCTCGAGCTGAACGCCAGCGGCCTTAGCGGCGGCCCGTGTACTCAGTGGCTGACAGCGGGACGCCTGGGGCGCAGCCGTTAACAAGTTAAACCCGCCAGGCGCGTTTGGGCCAGTTAGTGTCAGAGTTTTAGAGACGTTCGCCAGCTGCCCTGCGTGGTAATGTCAGGGCTTCACGCCTCAGAGCTGGCTCGAGTGTCAGGGCTTGCTTGGCGCCTCAGAGTTCGGAAGGTCAGAGTTTTGCGCGTCAGAGTTTCGGGGGGACACGCTCGCAAGGAAGTGGCCGGGCCTGTCAGTGTCTGACTTGACTTGACTTGACTTGACTTGATGCACCCGCCGATCGGGTGGGGCGGGATTCCATCTATCCCTTGTCTCCATAATCCTCAAGAGGGTGCCCCTCTTCAAAAGATTAAGAGACCCCAACTCGACCCCGCAAAGAGGGCGCGGAACTCCAACCGCCAACCCTCCGGGGGACCCCAGGAAAGTGCGGCGCCTGCCTCTGGCGCCCGCCTTCTCAACCTTCCCCATCGGGGGGCCTCCCCTTAAGCGGCCCCTTTATTTCGGCCCTTCTGGCCTCATTTCGTCCAGCCCTTTGCTTCCTTTGGCTGGGCTTGCCCTCCTCTACTTGGCTGCCCTTGGCCATGGGTCTACCCCCTTTGGCCCCCTTTTTCACTCCGCGGCATTTCGGCTCCGCGCCTGCGCGCTTGCCTGCTCTTGCACTTGCAGCCTGCACACCTTCCCCCCGCTCTCTCTTGCGGGTTTCTTTCGCCTTCTCCTGGCCTGCCCCTTTCTTTCCCTTTCCTTCAACCCTGCCCCCACTCTCCGGGTCAGGTCGTCCCAACACTTTGCGCCTTGTGCCCTTTTCACTGTGGGCCACTTTGCACTTCTGTTGCCGGCCCCTTTTCGCTGTTGGCAACCTCTTGTTCCCTTTTTCTCCTCCCTGCGTTTCTCCACCTCCTTCCCCGTCCTCACCCGGTTGGCCCTTACACTCTGCACTTGTCCCCCTTCTGGCCCCGTCTCCTTCTTCGCCCGGGGCTGCCCCTCTCCTTCTCCGCTTTACTCCCTCCGCATCTTCTTCCATGCTCTTCCCTCTTTTCCTCTTCTTGTTTTTCTCAGCCCCTTCGCTGACCGATCCGCCCCGCCTCCTCTTCTTCTTTTCTCCCTCTTGGCTCTTTTCCTCGCTCCCTTCCCTTTCTCGCTTCCTTGTTTTCGCCTGCACCTGCCCCACCTGTTTGCCCCTCTTTCTCCTCTTCTGCTCAAGTTTGCGCCCCTCTTCCTCTTCGTCTTTTTCGTCTCTTTTTCGTTTCCGCTCCATCTTCTCTTCTTCCTGTTTCCTCCCTTTTTCTCTTCTTTTCTCCTCTTTGGCACGTTTGTGCCCTGCCCATAGTTCCCCACCCTCTATTTTTTTGCACCCTTCACACCATTCACTGGGCCCCTGGCTCCTCCGGCCAGCGGCATGCCTTCACCTTAAAAGGACACGCATAAACCTTCGCGATCGGGTCCCACCTTAGCCGCTTGACTCCGTGGAAAACCTCCCACCGCTTCTCGTCCTTCCTGATCCTTTTCGCACCTTTCAACCAATTGGCATGCGCCTCACTCATGCCATAACTGATCTGACACATCCCACACCTTCTAATGTCTGACACGCTGCCCCTGCAGCTCTTCACCTGCCAGAGGCAAGGCACCTCGCAACGCTCTCCCTCCTCCTCCTCCTGCACCTCCATGCAGAAGATGGAATCTCTGGCGAGGTCCCTCACCTCCTCCGCCTCCCCTCGGTCATGCGCATAGATTCCAGCCCCCTGCCATGGCCAAGTGTCCACTTCTATTGCCTCCGCCACAGCGGTCTCGATCTCCTCGGCCGTGGCCCCTGTTCCCTCGAGGTACAACTCCCGAAACATCTTGCGCATCTCGTTGCTCTCCCTTCCTTCTTCTCCTTCCCCTGGCTCACCCCCTTCGCCCCTCTTCATGTCCTTCCACTCCTCTAGCTTCTTTCGCGCTGCCTTTTCCCCACACACCTCTGGGTCTCCTTCTTTCTTGCTTTTCACTGTCTTAACCCAGTGCCCTACAAGTCCCCGCGGCCCCTTGTGGCCTTCTCTGCCACAGTGTTCGCACATTGTCCAGTCCCGTGCCTCCTTCTCCCCTCTCCTGGTGTCATGCAGCACCCTCGTCGCCGCATTCCAGAGCTCCTTCCAATGTATCGACTGCGGGCACCTGAACAACATTTCTTCCACATTTCTTGTCTTCAACCTCTTCACCCAGGTTTTAGCCCCCGGCTCCTTGTCGAGCTTCTCCTCGTCCCCGAGGATTTCCTGAATCCTCTGTAGTTCCTCCATTCCCTTCGTACCCCCCGGGTCGCTCCCACGAAGGTTCGCCGTCACTCTCTGCCTGAACTTCTCCCATATCTGTTCCTCCGTGTTGTCTCTCTCCTTCAGTTTTACCCTCCTCGCGGGCATGACATTTGGCCCCCTGTTTGCCTTCAACTCTACGCCGCTGCCTAGGCATCTCCCCCACTTCTCCTCCCTGTAGCGGTCGACCACCGCGAGAAGCCGCAAGCGCTCCCACTTGCTTCGCACCGTCGGCGTCGGGACACGTCTGTCCACCTCCTCCTGTTTCATTCGTATGCCCTCCTCCACCTGCCTATAGGCCTCGGCCATTCGCTCTTTGCTTAGGTCTTTCCCTAGCTCCTTCTTCCTCTTTGCCCAGGCCTCGCCTATGCGCCTTTCGTCTCCTGGCGCTGCCACCATACGCAACAGCTTGGCCTGGAGCTGCTGCATCTGCTCTATGTCATGGTCAGACAGCTTCGACGTGTCCAAACCGTAGAGCAGCGCCGTGTCTACCAGTGCCGCTACTAACATCGTGCGATCTATCCGATCTATGTCCTCATCTCTCAAAAGTGGGCCAATCGCCCGCCCTATTTTTCTCGCCTTATTCAGCCGCTCGGAGACCTCCGGTTGGGTCGCCCCATATATATTCATGACATCACCGACCAGCTTCCCATTTCTTTTTATGAGGTCCGCCCCCCCTGAAGCGTACTGCACATTGCCAAGTCTCTCATTTAGCGCCCGCCTCTCTTCAGTTGTCAGCTTTTCCCTCGTAAGCACTTCGGTTTTGCTCTTATTCACGATCATGCTGCACCTTGCTCCCACCTCCTCGAAGATCTCCACAGCTCTGACCGTTTTCTCCACACTGTGTCCCCAGATGCTCGTATCGTCCGCATAGATTGTCAGACTGAAGCTCTTGTCTGTGTTTCTGTTTGCGCCAATTACTCCCGGCACATCTACCACCACTCCCCGCCTTGGCTGCCGCTCCTCCGGCGCGGGATTCCCCCACTGGTGCCTTCTTGGCACCCAAGTTCTTCTGCTGTTTTCCCATCCCCGCCGCGGCTCCTCCTCCGCGGCTGCCTTCTTCTCCACCTCTACCCCCCTCAGCCCTTCCTCCTCTAGCCTCCTCTCAATCTCTTCACTCATCGCGAGGGTGTAGATGATGAATAAGTTGGGCGATATAGGCGACCCCTGATATACCCCGAGCTCTATCTCTACCTCCTCCGCCCTATGCTTCCCCCACTGTGAGACCATGCGGGTCCTCGCGTGAAGCCTCCTTAGCCTGGCCACATAATCAGCCGGCGCTTCAAGTTCTAGCATGATCCTCCACAGCTTGTCTCTCTTCG